CTTAAAAACCTTCTCAAAACTCATCGATACTCAAATCTCGATAAGCTTTTCGATATCGATAAGCTTATCGATAGGTTTATGAAGGGTTTACTCATTAAAACTTGCTATGTATAAGATATCAATCAAAAGCTGACATTCTTGGTTTTCCAATGAGATAATTTTTAGATTGATAGCTGTTCTAGTAGCTGAGATCTGAACGATCAAACGTGAGATTCGTTTGTATCGATGAGCAAGTCTAGTACTGAGATAAAAGCTCAAAAACTTGTCTTTCTATAGTTTCTAGAATAGAAAGTATCGAGTTAAACTATAAAATGAATTCAGATCCTTCATGCAGTCACAATGGACATAGCTGTAACAATATCCAATTGACAAGGAGTTTCCGGAAAAGAACCGAGGTAAGCTGAAAAAGAAATCGAGTAAGTAATAAGAAATAGGAATAAGTCTGCTAGGAAAGATGCGTTTGCGTTTGGTCACAAACAAAGATCAAAAGTCATGTTTAGATCAAGCTCTCATCAATTCCACAAGCCGGTTTTGGGTTGTTCTTGTTAGAGGCAGCGAAGAAAGATGAGTTGATCAGTGAATACACAGGAGAGGTCAGTGCTACAGTATACAGTCATTCTGCAGTACTCTACAGTATTCTACAGTCATTCTACAGTACTATACAGTACTATACAGTCACTATACAGTATTCTACAGTACTATACAGTACTATACAGTATTCTACAGTACTCTACAGTCATTCTACAGTACTCTACAGTACTCTACAGTACTATACAGTACTATACAGTATTCTACAGTACTCTACAGTACTATACAGTACTATACAGTAATTCTACAGTACTCTACAGTACTATACAGTACCCTACAGTCATTCTACAGTACTCTACAGTATTCTACAGTACTATACAGTCATTCTACAGTAAACTAGTTATCAACAATATCAATACAATAATTCTACCGTAATCTAGTCATCAATAATCAATATAAATCAATTTAAAAAGCAATTCAGATCATTGAAACTGACGAAAGCGATCGACGAGGAAAAATCTACGATCGAATCCATTTATCCTATCAATTTGGTCAGTTATTTCTATAATTATTGTAAAGATTGTAGAATAGTTTTAAAATAAAGATAAATGAAAGTTTAAAATCCATTGCGAAAGCTGAAGTTCTTACAATTACTAGATAAACTTTAGGAATGAATGAAGAAGAAACGTGTGACGCTTTTCGCATTGGAAATCCGATTCGTTTCGCAAATCATTTAAAGAATCCAAACTGCAAGACAAAGGTCAGAATGGGATTTGTTCAAGAAGATTGTTGGAGAGATATAGCTGGAAAAATATAGTTGGAATGATATAGTTGGAAAGAGATAGCTGGAAAGAGATAGTTGGAGAGATATAGTTGGAAAGATATAGCTGGAAAGAGATAGCTGGAAAGATATAGCTGGAAAAATATAGTTGAATGATATAGTTGGAAAGATGGAAGAAAATGATAATAGAAACATTTTCTTCCATTTTCTTCCATAAAATTTTGCTCGTTAAACAATAAGGAAACTTCTATGGAAGAAAATCATTGAAAAAAGAATGAGAAAAGCTTTTAATTTGCTTAGATTTGCTTAGATTAGTTTAGATTAGAATTTGCTAGATTAAATTTAGATAAATGCTAAATGGTTAGATTAGAGCTTGCTAGATTAGCTTTTAAAATCGCTCAATTCCAGCTCAATTCTAGCTCAATTCTAGCTCAATTCTAGATTGTGTTGGTGAACGCCGAGCATCGAATCGGTATCTATGCTGGAAGAGATCTAGAAGCTGGTGAAGAGCTCTTCTTTGATTATGCTTACAATGAGTTGGAAGGACGCAAATTTGTGGACAAGAAGAATGGTTGGTTTTTGGTTTGTCTGGCTTTGGCTGGCTTTGGCTGGCTTTGGCTGGCCTTGGCTGGCCTGTCTAATCAAATGTGTATGTAAAGTCTATGTAAAGACTATCATATCCTAGCCAAATATCTATATAAAGTCTACCGTACTCTAATCGAACCTCTACCGTACTCTAATCGAAAGCCTACCATACTCTAATCGAACCTCTACCATACTCTAATCGAAAGCCTACCGTACTCTAATCATTCTCTACCGTACTCTAATCAAATCTCTACCATACTCTAACCGAATCTCTACCCTACCCTAGTCTATCTAAAGTCTATAGATCCTTGCATTTTTAACTAAGTTACTGTAACTACTATAACTACTGTAACCGTAAAGACTGATTGGCTAAGCTACTGATTGGCTTATTGTAGCTGATATCAGTTTGTATGCTAAGCCATCCTTTAAGCACTATCAGACATTTGAAACGCGCCCCTCCTTTTCCTTGGCAATCAAACTTTGAGCTCAAATAACTTCGTGTTGAGCTACTCAATTTAAACCTTCTTACCATCATCAGATTCGCCAAGTCTTTCTCTGTCGATTGGTACAAAAGCTATTGAAATTAAAGAGCTTAACACAAAGAAATTTGAGCTCAAAGTTGGCAATGTTAAAGGTGTATTAAATGTGTTGGTTGTTTTGGTTTAAATTTGGTTTAAAACATAAAACATCTGCCCAAATCATTCCAGCTCCAGTTAAAAGAATGATTTCAGTATCCGGTAATGGGAAGAACAAGGTCAAAGCGTCGTGAGTCACCAAGAATTAAATACTTATAGAATTGTGAAACTAAAATTGAATCTAAATCTCTTTCTCTTTTGACAAAATCGATCTTTAGATTAAGATATTTCTTGATATTTCCTTGATCTCTCTTGTATTATATATTGAATAAACTTTATCTAGCAATCTTTTGAACAAAACAACGAACTTGTTTACATTCAAATGAATCTAGAAGTTTCAGAGAAACTTTATTTTCATATTCAGAAATATCACAACAAATGACGACAAAAGTAAAGAGATTTTTGCGTTTTTTCTTTTTGTCCGGATCACAGGCTCAACTCTCAATCCCTGGCACACAAGGTTTAAGTCGAAGTCAGGACTAAGATGACAACAGTTACAGCAACAGTTACAGCAACAGTAACAGTAACAGCAACAACAACATCGACAACAACAATAACAACAGCAACAACAACAGCAACAACAACAGCAACAACAACAGCAACAACAACAGCAACAACAACAGCAACAACAACAGCAACAACAACAGCAGCAGCAGCAGCAGCAGCAGCAACAACAACAACAACAACAGGAACAGCAGCAGCAACAGTAACAGCAACAGTAACAGTAACCAGTAACAGCAACAACAACAACAACAGCAATCATTAGAGAACCTCATTAGAGATTGAAAAACAAAGGACAAAAGGAAACATTTAAAACTTAAGATTCTTTTTCAAAAATACATTGTTATACAAGTTTAATCCTTAAAATCTAATACTTAAGTCCTTCTCGAATGCTTAGAATCTTAAAAACCAATGAAATGCGAGACTAGTGGCAATTCTAGTGACAATTATCGTATTTTAAAAGTTTCAAAATAACTTTTGAAAAGAATTGAATGTTAGATTTCTCTTTTTCTCTTAATTTTCTCAAAATATATGACCTTTTTTGTTAAATTCGCTCAAATTTCTCAAAAAAAGAGCTTTCAAAAAAGATTGAGGCTCAAATTTCTCAAAAACCCTTCAAAAATTCAATGTATTAGACTAAAAAGAAAGGGTTTTCTTTCAAAAAAAATCTCTCCTTTTAAAGATATTTTCAAAGTTTATTTAGATAAATCGAAATCTACAGACTTTTTTTTAATATTTGCTTAGTTGAAACTATTGGGTTGATGCATAATTATCCGGACTTCTTTTATAAATGATTTTATTTAACAAAAAAATAACATAAATAGTTAGAAAAATATGTTTAATTGATTATTCTGGAGCATATTCACCGCCTACATCAATAACTGATTGCCATTTGCTTGGAAGACGATCGATTCCACGAGCGAAGAATAAACGATCTTTGGAGGCAATCCACGCTTTAACATCGTCTATCAAGTCATCCAAATCGTTGTAGATCTTATTTGTTTGCCAATTTTTGAGCGATCGATTGACGTGGTAGTCCGTTGGGGCTTCAGTAGGAGAATATGGCGGGTGTGGAAGAAGATCCCAGCCCTTACTAGCGATGGATTCGACGACATGGCGCAATTTCCGTACTTTGCCAAGCTTTTTGAGATGGCGCACGATCGTTGACTGGTCAACATTGAATTCATCTGCCAGCATTCTGGTTGTCAGGCTTTCGTCTTCTTCAACGGCTTCCAGAAGTGCCTTGTCATCGAATTCTGATGGCCGTCCTCTTCCTGGTTCATCATCAACACTTGTGTTACCGGACTTGAAACGATCGAACCATTCATAAACTGTTGCACGTCCAATTGTTCCTTGACCAAAAAGTTCTTTGAGATCGCGAAACGACTCTGCGGCAGACCATCCCTTTTCGAAGTGGTAGAGCATGATATGGCGAAGATGGATATGATTGTCGACACGCATTTTGTTCACTAAAGAATAACGAATATTTTAAAAAAAAGAAATAGACAAAAAGCTTTCAAAACAAAAAAGATACAAGCACGCAAAAAGAAGTCCGGATAATTATGCATCAACCCAATATTTATTGAACAAATTCTCAAAAGGTACTTCAGTTTCAAAAGGAAAAAGTTCATTGAAATCTCTTCAAAAATAGATTTTAATGAATAAAAGTGTTAAAAATAACTAAATTTGCAATGTTTTTTGTCAAATATGTTAAATATTCTTGTCATTTCACTTTTTTTTTATCAGTGAAAATCAGTTCATCAGTTGTTTTCTTCTCAAATCATTCAATCATTCATTCATTACGTTTTTATAAGCCAATTTCCTTAAAATCTCCTTTATCTACAAAGTCTCAAGCTTATTTTGATAATATTTATTTATTTATGTTTTATTTGAGCTTTATTTATGTTTCTAATTGTTTCGAATTTCATTTGGTTGATAGAAATGAGGTTTTTCTAAAGCCTCAATCAGCAATGAAAGTCGACGAACGTGAGAGTCAAAAGAATCACAAGAAAACGGCGGTGGGTTTTGAAAATGATAGGCTCCTAGATTAAATTACAAATTAAGCTCATCGATTTTCAAATCTATAGAAATCCAGAGCTTTAATTGAGCTTTCGTCAGGAAGAACTAGAGAATGGAAGGGATTGGTTGAGGCTTTAGAAAGCCTTTCATCTATCTTCCTTTCATCTATCTTCCTTTCATCTATCTTCCTTTCATCTATCTTCCTTTCAAATCGAATTCCTAAGTTTCTAGTTGTTTCTAATTTCATTAGGTTGATAGAAATGAGGTTTTTCTAAAGCCATCAATGAAAGTCGATGAGCGTGAGAGTCAAAAGAGTCACAAGAAAACGGTGGTGAGTTTTGGAAATGATAGGCTAGATTGAAAAAAGGATAGATTGAATTACAAATTGGGTTCATTGAATAAAAGATTGAATAAAAACAAGATTCCATTAGATTCCAGTAGATTAACAGTATTAAAATATCTTAATGAAATGTTTTCTAACTCTTGAAACTATCGTAAACTTTCTAATGGCTGTATACAGACTTTTCTACACTACCATAATCTCTAATAAAAGAATCTCATTAATAAAAGAATTCTTTGAGATGAACACAAGAGGTAACTAAATGATCTTCAATGAAAGTTCAATACTTTTCAGTTCAATACGTTTCAGAAGAAAGAAGTTCAAGTTCCATTGGCTAAAGATTGTTCGGATGAAGCTGAAGAGGATGAAGTGAGATTCGTAAAGAAGAATGGAAAAGTCTTAGCAAGTGATGGGTGTGATATTCTGGATTTCGATTTGAGTGATCCGGCTTGTCGACAGTTTTGTCTCTTTGCATGGGTTTGATTCAAGAAACTATAAAATGCTTAACTTTTCTTGATATTCAAAGCCTAAAGTATTTTTGGCTAAGAGCAAAATCTCCAAACAACCAGCTTTCAGTGTATCACATTTATCGGCATTCGCTTTCGACCATTTGATAGTAAACTCGCGATCACTCTTCGGCTGATCTATCAGGGATTGGTGATCGCTTTGTGTAGGGATTTGTTTTTGATTGAAAAAAGAATACAAAACTTTTCAGGTTTATACACTTGTGGCTACGATTTCTACCATGCAGTTTATCACTATGATCCAAGAACTTCTGGCACTGCTTATCAGTGGATGGTCGTTGTGGCTCAAGCAATGTTCTCACAAGTTTGTCAAGTCATATGGATTAAACAGGGGAAGGAAGATAGATGGAAGGAAGATAGATGGAAGGAAGATAGATGGAAGGAAGATAGATGGAAGGAAGATAGATGGAAGGAAGAGAGATGGAAGGAAGAGAGATGCTGAAGGAAGATAGCTGAAAGGCTTTCTAAAGCCTCAACCAATCCCTTCCATTCTCTAGTTCTTCTTGACGAAAGCTCAATTGAAGCTCTGGATTCCGGATTTCTTTCACACTCTTAAACACGCTCGAATCGATGATGGAGGGTATTTTGATAAGGTAAATAATGGAAGAAATGCTAATATCTTAAAATTAGATCTACGAATCTTTAAAGATTAATACAAATAACAGACAGTTGCCAAGAATTCCATCTTTCAACTTGATTCTAGATTTAGAAAGCATGGCAACCAAGTCAAAACAAGACAAGTCAGGGTTTCCAGAAGTGGATAAGTATTAGGCTTTCCAGATCTGGCATAAGCTTACTGTAACTATAACAGTTTGTAGTGAAATCTAAAGCTTATTCATTGCTCAGCCTCGCGAGCGTTCAATCCGAAACAACACGAACCGCTTTCTCTTTCTCTTCTTCACTGCAATCGGCGCAAATTTTTGCTATTTTCTATCAGTGCAATTCGACTTCGCTACAGAAGTCATTCATCCAAGTTTTCGATATGTAAGAGAAGACTTTGCTAGTGATGGGATTGATGAGATTTTTTAGACTTATATTTATGAAGAGTTAGTCTATCTCCGGCTCTACTTGATCTATTTCAATATGGAAGTCTGGGCGATTGGTTTGGACGAATGTTAAATGGAAATTTATTCTATTTAGCTCTTCACACTTATATGTGCTTATCAAATATTATGTACTGGGAGGCGAAGAAGTTCAATCGAAAGTTGAAAGAGGTAAACGGTTTGCAGAACTTCAAGTACTTGTACATTACTGTACTTGTGTATTGCGGTACTTGTACACTGCTGTACTTATGCGTTACTGTGCTTGCGCATTACTGTACTTGTACATTCCTGTACTTGCGCATTACTGTACTTGCGCATTCCTGTCCCTGTACATTACTGTACTTGTACATTACTGTACTTGTACATTCCTGTACTTGCGCATTACTGTACTTGTACATTCCTGTACTTGCGCATTACTGTACTTGTACATTCCTGTACCTGCGCATTACTGTACTTGCGCATTCCTGTCCCTGTACATTACTGTACTTGTACATTACTGTACTTGTACATTCCTGTACTTGCGCATTACTGTACTTGTACATTCCTGTACTTGGACATTCCTGTACTTGTACATTCCTGTACTTGCGCATTACTGTACTTGTACATTCCTGTACTTGCGCATTACTGTACTTGTACATTCCTGTACTTGTACATTCCTGTACCTGCGCATTACTGTACTTGCGCATTCCTGTCCTTGCGCATTACTGTACTTGTACATTCCTGTCCCTGTACATTACTGTACTTGTACATTACTGTACTTGTACATTCCTGTACTTGCGCATTACTGTACTTGTACATTCCTGTACTTGTACATTACTGTACTTGAACGGGGTACTACATACTACTGTATACTTGTAATACAATACTGTACTTGTGCATAGACATTGCACTTGAATAGGGACCTGATTTTCGGTCTGGTTTTCGATCGATTCTATTCGATTCTGTTCAATTCGATTAAAATATCGATTGAAATCGGTTTGGATCGAATCAAACTCAATAAAATGAATACCTCCAATCGATTCCCCAATCCCGAAAGCCCCCGGGTATAAATTTACAGCAATATTTTTATTTAAAGCCATCTACAAAGCAAAAGACTAATATGTAAATGATTGGCAAAGCGTTCTTTGTCGGGCAGTGTCATCGCTCTCCATCTGGCATAGGCCCCCGATAGATAGATGTCCCTTTTTTGGCATCTGTAAAGGAAAAGGAGCGATGACCAGAGGAGCCGAATTCTTCGCTATTAGGCGTCACTGTGCCCAATTTCTTTAGATCGATTCTTGTCCCATCTTTGGCTATATCTTTGATAGAAATTTCAGATCCTGTTAAAACAAAATTAGTTGAAATACTCAATGTTGGCCTGAAAAAGGATTTCTTCTTTTAATACCAGTTTAGTTTTCTGTTTTCAGTCTCAAAGGCTTTTTGTTAGTATTCATTTTTCTAATTCGCAAAAGTCCGCTCAAAAAATAATCTTCAGTGATTGAAAGATACAAAAGTTATGAAAAGTTTGTTCACTGTGCTTTATGAGAATTAGAGAATAATGGGATTGGAGAGATTCGAATCGAATCGAAAACCAGATCCAGTGCACAGGCTTTTCAGAGCTTCAAAGTTGGACTTGGAGTAGGCCAGGTTTGGGGTATTTGTTTAGCTTTTAAAGCTTAGGCTTAGACTTAGGCTTAGGCTTTTGCTTAGGCTTGGGCTTAGGCTTAGGCTTGGACTTAGGCTTAGACTTAGACTTATGCTTTTGCTTAGGCTGAGGCTTTGGCTTTGGCTTAGGCTTAGGCTTAGGCTTAGGCTTGGACTTAGACTTAGGCTTAGGCTTTCAGCTTTCAGCTTCCAAATCCAAATATTGGGTTGCCCAGTTATGAATGCACGCCTACTCTTGATCAGCATACCTGAGAGCTATACAATTTTGGTCGAAAAATGGATAGCCGACTTCTTTGCCACAAAAAAAAAGCCAATTTTTACACTGAGGGAATTCATTCTTTGCATGGAAGATGGAAACAAATATTGTTGAACAAATGATGAATATATTGTTAATTGAGCTATTAAACTAAAAAGTTGCTATCTTAAAAACGCGCATTTATAACTGGACAACCTAATAGCTTTTGAAAATCAAATAAGATCTTTAGATGAAAGCCGAGACTCCAGAGGAGATGGTGAAAAAGGTGGAGGAGATGATCCTCATTCACACGCAGCTCAATCGATGCGTCAGGGAATTGGATCAGATTTTTAAGGTAAAGAGAGATTCGATTCCTGGATTACAGTAGTTCCAAGCCTTTACTGTAATCAATTTCCTTAGATCTACGCTTTCCTAATCGTTTGCTCGATCGTTCCATCGACTTTGTTCACGGCGGCGATGGTGCTCACAAGGACATCGATTATCGGATTTTTGCTTTGGTTTGTTTAAAAAAATCAATCAAATAAACTAACAATCATTTAAATAAAGTTGTTTCAATGAGCTTTTTAAAAGAAAAGAAAAGTTTTTCTCATTTTTTGATAATTTCTTGTACGGTATCAAAGAAAACAAAGAAATCCACAGAGAATTCGTAAAAAGTCGCTTAATTAGCATAGCGGAGAGCTCAATTTGCCTTCTGAAAGCATTGAAACGATTGAAGGCTTCAAGAAGCAAGGAAACAAACAAAAATCTATCATAAAATATGATAGAAACAAGGTTATAATGGATTCAAGGTGAATTCAAGGCTACTTTTCTAGAATCAGACATAAAATTGTTGTTTCATCTCTGGTTTTCATTATTTTCTCATTCTTGACAAGATTATCTGAATCTATTCACATCTTTACTTTCCAGAGATCTTATAATTACCGTTTGCTCAGCTAGTTTTGAAGTTTTAAAGCTGTTTTCGGGACTCTAGCTCATTTTCGCCGTGACCCAGACGCAGAGCACGCTTCTCTACGACTCACACAAGCCGGGTTCGATCCCGAACAAAGTCTGGTAACCATAGATCTGTCAGTCTCAAAGAATAGCTGATGTACAGATAGAATTTAGCATTTAAACCATGAATATCGACTTTTTCTCTTATAAAGCTTTTCTTTGAGTTTACCATCAATGATGATGTGTCTCTATGGATATTATGGAGCCACTCTTACTCCAGCTACTCTACATGAAGAGGTTAAGTTTAGAATTAAATTCAAATTCAATTCAAATTCAATTCAAATTCAATTCAAATTCAATTCAAATTAAATTCAAATTCAATTCAAATTCAATTCAAATTCAATTCAAATTCAATTCAAATTCAATTCAAATTCAATTCAAATTCAATTCAAATTCAATTCAAATTCAATTCAAATTCAATTCAAATTCAATTCAAATTCAATTCAAATTCAATTCAAATTCAATTCAAATTCAATTCAAATTCAATTCAAATTCAATTCAAATTCAATTCAAATTCAATTCAAATTCAATTCAAATTCAATTCAAATTCAATTCAAATTCAATTCAAATTCAATTAAATTTTTTTTTTTTATCTGTCTTCGCTCTTAGGTGTCCCTATTTTGCGCAGATCACAACTTGCTTCCACACTGAGGCAGAAGTGTAGTTGTCGTAGCCGATGATACTCCGATGGCCGGGCTGGGGCGCTCAGAGGGGAACCGATGGGAGTCGAACCCACGACTAACCCGCGCCGACGTTGCTCAACTTGGCAGATCGGACGGGTTCGCCGCCAGCCCTTTCTCCCACGAGGGCCCATTAAATTCAATTTAAATTCAAAATTAAAATCAAGCAAAAAGTTTTATTAATTTTAAAAGAAAAGAATCAAAATAAAGCTTATTGATAAGTAAAAATTGACCATCAATCATTATAAACCCTTTTCCCGACTCCCTCCATCAGCAGCGGTGTCCGAGTGGTTAAGGAGATTGACTAGAAATCAATTGGGCTTTGCCCGCGTAGGTTCGAATCCTGCCCGCTGCGATTATTTTTGTTTTTAGGAAAAAAGCTTCAGGATCTTTGAAAAGTGATTGAAAATGATTGAATTGGACTAATGGATGAACTTTTATTGAGGTTTAAGCTTGGTTTAAAGTGTAATAAGTCTCAATAAACATCGATTGGTGTTTGTAGACGTATTTTGAGTTTTCTGAATGGATTTTTGTTAATCTCGCTATCAAAACAGCAAACTTTTCTCCTTTGGCTTGAGCACTTTCTTTTCTTTCTTCCTTCCTTTCTTCCTTCCTTTCTTCCTTTCTTCCTTCCTTCCTTTCTTTCTTCCTTCCTTCCTTCCTTCCTTTCTTTCTTTCTTTCTTTCTTTCTTCCTTCCTTCCTTTCTTCCTTCCTTTCTTCCTTTCTTCCTTCCTTCCTTCCTTCCTTCCTTCCTTTCTTTCTTTCTTTCTTTCTTTCTTCCTTCCTTTCTTTCTTTCTCTTCCTCAGCAATCTTTCTTTACCATTCCTTACTTTCCTTTCCAATTGGCTAGATTAAAGGCCAAGTCAGTGCTTTATTTTAAGATTTTCCAGATTTACAAGTCAAACTAGATACAAGACTAAGTCAATTGCTTGGCTTGGCTTTCATCAAGTTTAAATTACAATTAACTTGCCATCGTTGTCATCAACTTGTCATCGATCTGTGTACATTCTTTTTGATTTTATTTAAATCAAAGAGTTTCTCGAGTTAGTATAGAGAAAAATTTAGTTAAGTAAATCGAAAGCGACTCTCTGCATGAACAACAATATTTGGGTGCCATTTGACGAGAAAGTGAATAAGGTAAAGTGAAGGGGTGTACACTTTCTAGTTCTAGCTTTATCCATTAGTCAAATGCATGTACACTGTACATTATTGTACATATTGAGTACACTAGAAAAGGGTGTGTTTTGATTTCAAGCAGAAAGTTCAAGCAGAAAACTTTTTGAGCATTTTTTTCTTTACAGTAATTCAATAAAGAATTTCTCTTGAAATGTGCAAATTGTAATCTTTTAAGAAAAGGATTTCTGTTAGATTACATTACTGTACTTCTATTAGATTACTGTACTTCTGTTAGATTACTATACTTCTATTAGATTACTGTACTTCTGTTAGATTACTGTACTTCTATTAGATTACTGTACTTCTATTAGATTACTGTACTTCTGTTAGATTACTGTACTTCTATTAGATTACTGTACTTCTATTAGATTACTGTACTTCTGTTAGATTACTGTATTTCTATCAGATTACTGTATTTCTAAGGTTTCTCACACTCTTGTCATGCATTTGGATCAAGCTGATTTGGGGATATCTCTCTGGGGATTCGCACTCGTCACAAAGCCAATGATTCTTACGGTAATATCTTATTTAAACTTCAATAAAGTACAATAATCTTAAGAAATTTTGATAAAAGAAATCTTTGGGGTCTTTGGGGTAGGCTAGTTTCCGCATTTTTTTTTTTGCGCAACAGGGTCATTTGCGCAACTCACCATAACTCTCTTCTAGATCGGCCAATCTTTATGATTTTGGTGCCATTTTGTTGCACTTATTGAGATCTACAAAATGAAACCAAAATCATTAAAGATTGGTCCACTTAAAAGAAAGTTATGGCGAGTTGCGCAAACGATCCAGCTGCGCAAGTGACCCTGTTGCGTTTGCGCAACTCACCATAACCTTCTTTTAAGTGGACCAATCTTTAATGATTTTGGTTTCATTTTGTAGATCTCGATAAGCGCAACAAAATGATACCAAAATCATAAAGATTGGTCAATTTAGAAAAAAAGTTATGGCGAATTGCGCAAACGACAAATGACCCAGTTGCGCAAATGACCCAATTGCGCAAAAAAAGTTGCGGAAACTAACCTATCCGTATGGTAGAATTAAACAATAAAAATAAATCACTTTTATTAGAGAAAATGATACTCCAAATCTTTTAAAAAAAGAATAAAAGATTATTTGAAAGAAATTATATCAAAAAATATTCTTTTCTTTAGACAGTCTCCGTCATGATGACATGTTTAGCCTTTTTTCTTGAGCTAAAACCAAAAGAACCAAAAGATTCTGCTGTAAACGTCTTGAATTCAACAATTTCTCATTGAAAATCCTTTTTTTAATAAATATTCTCATCAAATAATCATTGCTGATCAAATAAAAGAAACCTTTCTTTCACAATGAATGTTTTCTTTTAAGGAAAATGTGCTAGAAATGTTAGAAAAGTATGCTAGAGGATTAAAAGCCAAATTAGTGGCCAAACTAGTGGCCAAGCTAGCGGCCAAGCTAGCGGTCAAATTAAGCCAAACTAGTGGCTAAACTAGTGGCTAAATTAGTAGCTAAATTAGTGGCTAAATTAGTGGCTAAATTAGTGGCCAAACTAGTGGCCAAGTTAGTGGTCGAATTAAGCCAAACTAGTGGCTAAACTAGTGGCCAAAATAGTGACCAAATTAAGCTAAACTATTGGCCAAACTATTGGCCAAACTATTGGCTAAACTATTGGCTAAACTAGTGGCCAAATTAGTGGCCAAACTAGTGACCAAATTAGTTGGCCTTTACAGACTCGATGAATATCTTTATTGATTGATAAGCTTAAAATTGAAAACAAATTTTATTGAACAGAAGGCAAAGTGTTTGGTTTTTGTTTTGTTTTTTTAATTGGCGTGACGGCTTTGCTTGGTGTTTCCCTCAAAGTTGATGAGGTTTCAATGATTTTTGATCGATAACAGTGAACTAAAAGAGAATTATTGATTTATAGACACTTTATTCATGACCTGAGATAAAGTGCGCTAGATTTAAGCTTAAAACACATCAATTCATACACAGAAACACGAAAAAGGTCGATAAAAAGCAACACGATTGGATATATGGAATATAGGGGTAGCACAGATAATGTCAAGGATCCACTAGAGCTTCAGGATCAAGCTCAAGATCCACTAGAGCTTCGAGATCAAGCTCAAGATCCACTAGAGCTTCAGGATCAAGCTCAAGATCCACTAGAGCTTCAAGATCAAGCTCAAGATCCACTAGAGCTTCAGGATCAAGCTCAAGATCCACTAGAGCTTCAAGATCAAGCTCAAGATCCACTAGAGCTTCAGGATCAAGCTCAAGATCATCTACAGATGATTGAAAGGTTTCGAGACTATTGGACTCTCTCTCTCAAAACAAAACTTGTACTTTGTTCATTCAAATAATCTTTGAATAATTATAATCTTTGAAAACTCATTTTCTAATCGAAACTATCTAGAAATAAGGATTTTTGTGTATTTAGAAGTCGGCTTGTGTTGTACAAAAAGTGTTTGTTCTTTCGAGATTTGACAAGCTATTGAGAAATCTATTAAGAAAGTTATCAAGAAAGCTATCAAGAAATCTATTAAGAAAGCTATTAAGAAAGTTATTAAGAAAGTTATTAAGAAAGTTATCAAGAAAGTTATCAAGAAATCTATTAAGAAAGCTATTAAGAAAGATTTCTTTTAGCTTATTCGAACTGATGCTCGTCTCTGGAAGTTCTCTTTTTGAATAAAGAAAGCTTTGAAGTGAACGTTAATTTGTGCATTTTTTTGCTTATAAATAACATTCCTAAATGGAAGTCAATCAATTTTTTGAAATTTAAATCTTTTTTTTACAATTTCTTACTTACAATTGACTTAAAACTAAGAAAAATTAACGCAAAAAAATCTTTTTGAATTAATTTTCTTTGAAAGATCATTACAAAGTTGTGCTTTGTTCATTCAATTTATAATCTCTAGGGAATTTTAAGAAACTTTCATTCATTTCCTTATGATCATTGGAAATTGAAAAGTTTTAGAAATGAAAAAAAAGAGAAATTTCAAATTTCAAACTCGAAATCTCGATGTTTTTTGATTTAAATCATTAAAAAGAAAAGCTTTTTTTGAATCAAAATTTCATTCTTTACAATGTTATAAGCATTTTTGAAACTTTAAAAAGACTTACGAAATTTGTAGACAACTTTAAGGCACCGGATACGATAGGATTCGACACCAACAAGCAGAGCGAGAGCCTGGAAATTTCAATGGGAATTTCGGTAACAAGATTGTACATTAAAGTGTAGTTTAAAGTGTAGTTTAAAGTGTACTTTAAAGTGTAGTTTAAAGTGTACTTTAAAGTGTAGTTTAAAGTGTACTTTAAAGTGTACCTTAAAGTGTACCTTAAAGTGTACTTTAAAGTGTACATTAAAGTGTACATTAAAGTGTACCTTAAAGTGTACTTTAAAGTGTAGTTTAAAGTGTACTTTAAAGTGTACCTTAAAGTGTATCTTAAAGTGTACTTTGTGCTTAAAAACAGAAAGAAACCCTTTCTAGTGTACTCGAGCTTTATTGATTCCTTCAATTCATTTCAATTCATGTAGACATTGATGTAGGAAAATGATTGTGAGTCCACCAGAAAGAAATCGTTTTCTCAAGCACAAAGTACATTCATTTCTTGAGTTTTTTATCATAAAAGTGATTATTTACCAATCAAAAGTGCTAAAATTATAAGCAAAAATGAAAAACACAAAAATGAAAGCTGTCAATCGATTGAAATCATTCTCTTTCAAATCAAAAACATTCCGAATTCAATCATTTTTTAGCGTTCATAAGCAGAAAACAATTAAGAGACATAAAATAAGGTTTTTTATCTATTAGGTTGGCAACTAAATAATGGCCCTCGCCCTTTTTTGATAAAATCTTTTAATCTTTGCGTTTAATCTACCCTCGCTTGTTGTTAATTGAATATTACTGAATTTCTGGTGCATTATTATACGTTTTTTACTTTCCTTGATTTGATACTTTTCAAATAATTTTGTTTAGAAATGGAAGATCTCAAATATCGAATGCGTGTCTGTCTCTGGTACGACTACAAACAAGACAAAACAGCTGCTGAATCCCACAGAGATTTATTGCGAGTTTTTGGTGATGAAGCTCTTTCCGAAACACAATGTAAGAGATGGTATCGACGGTTCGAGGAAGGGGATGAAAGTCTTGAAGATGAGCCTCGCCAAGGACGACCCGAACTTCTGCAGAACGATATTTTGGAAGCAGCTTTAAAGGAGGATCCAAGTCAAACATCACGCGAGCTAGGGGATCGATTGGGCTTTTCGCATACTGCAATCGAAAAGCGACTCCATGCATTGGGGAAAAGTAACCGCAGTGGAAAGTGGATTCCGCATGAATTGAGCGAAGAAAATAAGGCTACTCGTGTTATCACCGCTGGAATACTACTAAAACTTGCGAAAAAGGGAAGCTTCTTGGATTCCATTGTCACTTCTGATGAAAAATGGATCTTTTATGATAATCGAACGCGAAAACGACAGTGGCTTAGCACAAACGAAGACCCAAAACCAACGCCGAAGCCGGATATTCACTCAAAGAAAACTCTCCTCTGTGTGTGGTGGAGTTCTCGTGGGTTGGTGCATTTCGAGGTTCTCAAAAGCCGGCAAACGGTTAATTCAGAACTCTATTCGTCTCAACTACATCGTGTAGATCAAGCAATTCGCTCTCAAGGACTCGAACCCTCTTCAATTCATTTTCTCCATGATAACGCAAAACCACACACTGCAAAACTTACAATGGAGAAAATCGAGGAGTTGGGCTGGAATGTTCTTCCTCATGCGCCATACAGCCCGGATATGGGGCCTAGTGATTACCATCTTTTTCGATCGATGCAACACTTTCTAGCCGAGAAAAAGTTCAATGACCTTGAGGAAGTCCGAATTTCAGTGCAGAAGTTCTTTGACGATCAACCAGAAGAATTTTTCAAGAGAGGTATCCAGTTGCTCCGTCAAAAGTGGAAAGAAGTAATAAAGAATGACGGAGAATACCTTTTGGATTGATGTTGATATTTGTTCATCTTGTTAATAAATTTTTTGTTTTTACTGAAAAGGGCCATTATTTAGTTGCCAACCTGATATTTAGCAGTTCAAAAAGTGAACCTGAATAATTGGATACCATCCACAAGTGACATAAAGAACTGTGAAAGCGCCGTCAATCGAATTGCTCAAACCAACGACCAAACACGAAAGAAATAGTGGGATTTGGAGAAGAAGGATCGGGATTAGAGCCTGAAAAATTGGAAAATTCAACGCTAAAGAGCTAAATTGATAGCTGACAGCACTGACAGCTGACAGCACTGACAGCTGACAGCACTGACAGCTGACAGCACTGACAGCTGACAGCACTGACAGCTGACAGCACTGACAGCTGACAGCACTGACAGCTGACAGCACTGACAGCTGACAGCACTGACAGCTGACAGCACTGACAGCTGACAGCACTGACAGCTGACAGCACTGACAGCTGACAGCACTGACAGCTGACAGCTGACAGCTATCAATTGACAGCTGAAAAGCTGACAGCTAATCAGTTAATCAGTTTAAACCCACCTGAACCAACAACACTCGAATCATTTGCACTTGAAGCTTTCTCTGTCTCGAATCAAGACTTGAGTTAATCTAGAAGTTGACTTTTGGTAAAGTTTAACTGTTTTTTAAACTTGTCAAGATACCTATCGTACTCTAAAATGTGACTAAATCTAAGCTATCGTACTTTAAAATTACTACCGAGCTAGATACGGTAGGTTTTTGAAAGTCAACAGGTTTAGGATGAACTTGGCTTGATTTCTAGGCCAGATACAGACATTTTATTTGACGGTGTATTTGACTATCAGCCAATTTTTAGCTTCAACTCTGTCATACTAACATTTTTGAACATCAAAATCGTGCAGTACACTGTCGTCGACATGGCCAAGAAGATGAAAAGACAAAGCACAGCAAAGAGGGCAATCGCAAGCACATTTGGAACATGGAGGGACGAGTTTTGCATTGTTCTCTAAAACTTGAGTTTATTAGGGTTTTGTTGACCGTTTCACAGCAAAAAGCTAAAGAATTAAAGGCCAAGTCAAAGCCATGGTATTGGCTTGGCTATGGCTTGGCTATGGCTTGGCTATGGATTGGCTATGGCTTGGCTTTGGCTTTGGCTTTGGCTTTGGCTTGGATTGCTTTGACTTGACGAAAATGGTGCCTGTGCGTACTCTAGACGCGGCTCGTCGGAAAAAGCGGCACCTGGCACACGGGCCAGATACGAAGCCCCAGAAAACCCTTTCAGCCGGTTTAATTACCCAAGTTTAAAACTCACATCAACTGTAACAGCCACGAAAACGGCTTGCGCCAAATCGTATCGACTGGCAAGAGCGTAAATGAAATCAGAGCAAGCGCCTGTGCTATTGAGGTACTAAAATTTGATTTTCACCCAAATATTTCCAATTTTTCCTTGCTCACCTGAAAACTATCATAATCATTGTCGATTTTCACACACCGACCGGGAAAAACGGCAATCATGCATAACCAGAGAGTCCAAAGGATGACGATCGATCCCGAGATGAGTATCGTGATCATTCCAACGAGAAACGTTTGTCGTTCTTTGATTTTACTGAAAGAGAAAGATTTTAAGCCTTAGATTTGTTAGAGATGAAGCTAGATTCTTTATTTGAGCCCTAGATCTAAAATAGAAAAAAATCGAAAGCTCTAGGCTTTGAAAAGCTTTAAACTATTCAACTAATCAGCTACTGTGAATAATTGTAAGGATGCGCTTGTCAAATTGTAAATTTTATAACTAGATCAATGATGTACTTAACAAGGAATCGATTGGAGAAGTTTGTTCTTGTTTTTATTGAAAACTTCTTTGATTTTCGAAAAAGCAAAGTGAAAAACTGGAAAAGGAGTCGAACCCTCGTGCCTTGCTTTGTAAACCATTGCACTAACCACTAGACCACCGAGCCACCCGAGCTTGCCCTTTGAAAAGGCATTAAGTTTAACTTTACCTTGTCTTAGTCTAGCCAATTTTAGTGTGTTTAAAATGCTCATTAGCAGCTAATTTTTACATCATTCGACTCGTCTTTTCAAGCTCTACAAGATGAAATTGTAGATCAAGATTCTTCTAGATTATCGAGCTCCAGTCGGTTCCTTGTAAGCCTAAGTCTTTCAAAAGCTTTCAGCTGTTCCTAGATCTTCTGTAAGACTGGCTTTTCAGAACTGGCTTGTCAGAGTTGACTTTACAAGATGTCAGTTTCAATTGTCAGACTGTGTTGATTGTGTTTTTTTGATTTTAAGCTCAAATCCCCCACTTGCAAATGATGAGATAACGATGAACGATTTGCCCGGTTGACAGCGTGACACTGTTGAAGAAGAGAAACAATTGGGCCACCAAGAGACCCAAATCGAGCACATGCGGCACATGGGGTAGACTCGTCCCAACAATCAACAACGTGTTGCTCTCGATGTAGATGTACTAGAAGATTTCAATTTACATTCATTGCTTTAGCCTGAAACGTATGCCTTTTCGTTCACTACTAAACTATCCAAATCTCCAAAAAGTGCACCAGAAACGGGGCCTTTTCAGTGTCAAAGTCCCACATGAAAGTAGACTTTGTGTAGGTGAATTCTGAGTAGAAATTACTCTTTTTAGCAAGAAGAGAAATCTTTTTTAAGCTTTTTTTCAATCAGCGCAAAGAAAATTTCGTTTAAATATTTATTGAAAATCTTTAGATTTTAGTTAATTTTATCTCTTTTAATGAGAAAAATGTCTTTTCTTTTCAACAGCTTGGGAATTCGATTTCTCGCAAGGTACAACTAAAGATACAAATAAAAATTTGAGCGATTTCCTGTGACACAGAGCTTCTGTATCATTCTTGATGCTGACCAGGGATGAGAACTTTATGTTCTGTGCGTACTCTAGACGTCGGTTGTAAAAAAAAGCGGCATCTGGTACACTTTCTCGGATGTCGGCTGCCGAAAAACCCTCCCAGCCAGTTTAATTACCCAAGTTTGTGCGTACCCTAGACGTCGCTCGTAAGAAAAAGCGGCACCTGGCGCACTGCCCGGATATGAGGTGCCGAAAAAGCCGTTTGGACCGGTTTAATTACCCAAGTTTTTAGCTAACTCTTTTTCAACTCTTTTTAGCTCTCTTTATTGCTCTTTTATTGACTTTTACACTACTTTATAATCCTCAGTTTGTAGCACAGCCAGCTCATCTATTTCTAAACCTCCAATTAGGATTTTAGACTCATTCGAATGATGATTTAGAGTTTAATTTCAAAAGCTTTTTTGGTATTTGATGTTTAGTTGATAAAAACAGTTTCTAAGCTAATTTTGATTGCAAATTCTGGAGGAGAGAGGTTTATTTCTGAAGGTTTTCATTTCACTTGCCCAATCAGCTAAAGCATTGACCAGGGTGAAGATCATGTTGTGAACGAGGGAACAGTACACAATATAGCGATATTTGCCGATATTCTGGAAAAAAAGTGGATTTTCAGTCGTGATTTTAAGGCGAATAAGCAATTGTACCGTAAAGAGTACCGTAAAAAATCGTTTGAATCGAATACTTACATGATGTGAGTGTTTGACGGCTAGATGTAGAGCTAAAATATTGGTGGAAATGCCTAAAATGAGCATGATCCATGTGCTCATGCATGTCAGAATCGAGTCATCATTGTCTAAGATGCCCACTAAAAGAAGAAAAATAAAAGAATCGATTTTTCGCCTCGATGGCCGACTGGCTAAGAGCCTTGTATCTTAGTCGGGAGGTCAAGGGTTCAATCCCGCCCGCTGGATTATTGGTTCTTTCTCTGTGAAAAGGTAAAAACAGCTTGAAAGCCAGTTATTGAAGTTGAAACGAGATTGATTGCACTACTGTAAGTACTGTAGGTACAACTACTATATGTAGGTACTGAATGTGACTTAAATCTAGGCTTAAATCAAGGCTTAATCAATTTTCAAACCTTCTAACTTTCTCCCATCAAAAGATATAATAGTTTTTTTGTTAAACAAAGCAATACAGTCCTTAAAACTCTTCCAAAAGTTTACCTGACATAGGGAATAATGTACTGTACTGTAGTGTACTGTACTGTACGGTACTGACTGTACGGTACTGACTGTACCGACTGTACGGTACTGACTGTACTGTACTGACTGTACCGACTGTACTGTACTGACTGTACCGACTGTACTGTACGGTACTGACTGTACTGTACTGACTGTACCGACTGTACGGTACTGACTGTACAGGGAAGACTGTACAAATAAAGATAGGGAATAGAAATCGACTAATAAACAGACTGCTGGCTTATTACGATTCTAGAATAGAGCCAGAACTGGATTTAGCTTCTGGATCCAGAACTGGATCTCTCAGATCAAATCCTTTACAACAAACTTTAAAAAAATTAAAAACCACTTACGGGCCATGCATTAAATGTCGGAGAACAGGGAAATTAGCTGAAAGTTTATTGAAACATCCGACTACAATGAAACGAAGATACAGTAAGCCAAAAGCCGAGCATTATTGTTTAGACGGAAATCAGGGAAGGGGTTGGACTTTCAATATCAAAATTTCGAAAATTTTTACATCTTGTCATGATCTCTCTGGGGATCTCTTACGGCAAACTTACTGTTTTTGAAGAATTTTAGCAAACTGAACTTTTCAAGCAATAATAATATTGTTTTTTGGGGGTTTAAATGTAAAAAAAAATGTGATTTCGAAATTGAGGAAATGATTGTTTTTGGAAGAGGAATTGCAGTTATAAATTGGAACAACAAGAGCATTTTTGCAAGTGGGAATAGTGCGCCAGAAAGCGTGCATTTGGGAGAGCCGAGCACAGAGAACATTGAACATTGATCGGCTATTTACTGACCTTTGTTCAGCAAGACAAAGTGAGCAAAACGACTCTAGATATGAGAAATTCTGTGCACTAGAAGCTGTGCGTTTATGCGAGCAAAAAGCAACAGATTAAAATGTTGGGTACTTTACCAGCTGATCATGCCGATCAGCCATTTTCTGGATCTTTTGGGGCGGATGCTTTTGTCGCCGTGGAGCAGTGGATAGCGCGCCGGTCTATCGCCCATATGATCCGGGTTCAACCTCCGCGTGCGACTCGAATTGTGCTTTTTAAAAAATTCAAAAGCACGTTGCACAACTACATGTAATTCCCTATTCAACAGCGCAAAAATCATTTCAAACGGACCTCTAGGGGCTTAGGAGTAGCCCGCACAGACAGACAGACAGACAGACAGACAGACAGACAGGCAGACAGACAGACAGGCAGGCAGACAGGCAGACAGACAGACAGGCAGACAGACAGGCAGACAGACAGACAGGCAGACAGACAAACAGACAGACAGACAAACAGACAGACAAACAAACAGACAGACGTCTCAGTCCCTTTATATCTAATAGATTGGCTACAGTTTATGCCAAAGTTTTGTCCAGTTATTGTTCTTGGCTTTGCCTAGAAATTTGGTTGGATATTTTATCCCAAAAGTTCCTCTTTACATTGATTTCCCAATTATCGCTTGAAGTTTTAAATTCATGTACAAAATTCAAAGCGAAGCTCCAGCGATGAGTCCAGTGAAACAAAAACCCTTTTCCGGCAGAAACTCGACTAAATTAGGCGTCAAAGTTCACAATTGTGAGAGAGGAATTTTGCAGATTCTTGTCAAACTTGAACAAGAGGACGGAAAAAGGATCGACAGTTTTTTTTTTCTGTACATTGGGGAATGCTGTAATTTCATTGTAACTTGACATTTCTTTTGTATTTTAAACCGTTAAAGCGTCAAAACCAAAGAAACAGTTTCGAAAATGTACCTATTTAGCTCAAGAAATGCATTCAAAAATCAAAATAACAATGAAATTTTGGATTTGTGCAAATTTTCGAACATCAAAGTTTAAAAGAAAGATTTTTTTTGTTTTCGCAAACTTTATATTTTGGTATTTATCGTACTTTTAAACTCGAAAATTTGATTATTTTTGTGATCTTTGAGTAAAATTTTAATTTTCAATCGTTAATCAAGATCTGATAATCATTTTTTTTTTTACCGTATTACCGTATAGAAGTTAGTTAGAAAAGATTTTAGGTGATAAATCATGTTGTGCAAATGTTGTGCATTGTGAGGACTGTAACAGAGCGTTTTTTCAGAGTCCTGCAACTCATACAAATGTTATTTTCAGCATGCGTCTCTATCATCGGCAAGAACAAGAACTTGTGATTCACACAAAGAAAAGTCATTGCTTATGGACGGACATCAAGAATTGATTCTTCATCTGATCATTTCAATTTGTTTAGCCGAGCAATATCGCGAGCGCTTGAGGTAATAAAAAATGCTTCTATTAATATTGGGTTGGGGAGGATGAGTCGGCGCCAAACTTTAAAGGGACTTTTTGCACACATAAAGCCTTCTTTAAACATACGTTTGGTTTGATCAAAAGGATCCACTATTTCTCTACAAAATCACTTTTGAGAGATTCCACAAAGCTTTTCTTTCGTCGAGTTTATGAACTTCCAAACGCAGCTGGTTAAAATGGCAAAGAGTCCGACTCATCATTTGAACAGTTTCTTTCACATAAACCTTCTTTGGTGTTTATATAAAAAAGATAGAGCACATTGAATTACTTAAGTTGCCAAATTTGCAGGAAGATCCCACCAATGGTTTTTTCTAGATCACAGTTTGTAGTTTTTGTGAAAAAATGGCTTTTTCTTGAGCGGAGGCGCTGTTTGAATTTTCTTTTAAATGTCATTTTGTAGAGAATTAGTTAACCATTCTACTCATATCAAACGCATATTATTTCACGAAGTCGAATAGAAGTTTTAGACATTTTTTTCATTTTCGGCGCCGACTCATTCTCCCCAACCCAATACATATAAAATCATATTGTTGTTTAATAACGTAAAAGCAATCAGCAATTTTGAAAGTGATTATCATCTAGAGATCTGTAACGATCTGATATTAAGTTAGCCTTACTGTTAGATTGTATTATGCAAGAAAACCTACTTATTTGGCTTTCAAATTGACCTCCGCTCAATGGTCGAATAAAGAACATGATCCGAACTGTCCGTCAACGTGCCACGCAATTTGCATCCACAAAGATCCTTGCCGCATCATCTGCAACAGCTTTCCGGGCGACTTCACTCGTCCATCCTCTTTTTCATCAGTCAAGGAGTTCATGAAGTGATGGATAGAGTGCTGGAAAAAGAAGGCGGTGATGAAATTGATGCCCACCGAGGATCTCATCATGGCCACATCTGGATGAGGATCGTCTTGAAGCTGGGAGAGTTTTAGATTTAACTTGAAGCTGGGAGAGGATTTAACACAAGAACAACTTATGGAACCCATCGAAAATTTATAATTACCACTATTTTCTTAATGTGCACAACATATGATCCTTAATGAATTTAAAAATTGTAATTAAGTGTCTTAATGAAGCCTTAAACTTATGCTAGCAAATCATCAATACCAACAAAACATTAGCCCCAATCGGGAAAGAAAGCCTCTAAAGAGGCTAAAAGTGTTTTATACTGAAACCTCAACTACGGACATCCAGTAATTCCTCGGCAAATTAATCGTGCCTTGAAAATAAAAACTTTCTGTAAATTGACAACTCGAGAGCAGCACACCAGTTTCGATTCGCGATCTTCCGAAAATTATTTGAAATGTTTGGCGAAATTGTGGAACGTCTTCACTACATGTACATTTTTGCCTAGTGTGCAAATTTTCAGAGGCTATCAGCTTCAGAAAGGCAACGTCGAGGATTTTGTTCTCGGTGCTTTTATTAACGCTTGGAAAACAAATGTATTGTTAATCTAAAAACAAATCCTAAATTACAAAACACTTCTAAAAATCTATCACTTTGAAAACAAAATCAACAATTTCAAGCATCAACAAACTTACACAAAGGAGAAAAATACAACAAACTTGTAAATGTACTTGTTGATGTAATCATTTTGTCGGTCCAAATAATTCAGGCTTTACGGAAACTTGATTGATGCGAAGAATCGTTACTTCGTCGCTTAGCCCTAAAATTCAAAAAATTGAAAGATAGGTTTACTAAAGTTTTAGCATCTAAGACATAAAGCATAGGTCAGAGTATTATTATCAAAATAAGATACAATGAAGAATATGAGCCCTTTGATGATTCTCGTGCACGTAGTAAGGTTCCGGATATTTTGTCGTCTTTTCTACAACCGTCGCCTCAACCGACACTGAATCAAGCAGCGGTCGACCGAAGACCGAAAATGACGAGCCTCCTACGGCCAACACCTATAATATTCAAATACCATAATTAAATTATTCAGAAATTTGTCTTATTTCTTACCTTTAAGCGTATTAACTTCAAAAATCTCACAAACCTTTTCCAACTTCATTCGATCGCCAACTTTTAGGGGTAAAGTGCCTTCAAGTGTTATCAAATCGTTGGCACTGACCTAAAAAAAGAAACATTAAAGGTTCCAAATCCATTCTTGACTATCAGAGATAAAATTTAAATTATTAGTTAATTAATTTTGTTATACCTTGAATTGTCTATCATTGATGTATACAACAGCGAAGAGTCGTTTTCTCGAATCGGTAGCCTCTTTCTCAATTTTTGACGTCGTTTCGGCACAAGATTCGGCTGAATCGATTATCTAAAAAAATATTAAAAAAATTTTCAAACATTATGGCATTTCTATCCTTAAGCTTTTAAACAAACCTCGGCAGTTTGATTCACTGTAGAAAATCTTCTCGACGTGCTGGCTATCAAGACGTTTAAAGAGCGCCGCAACATCTAAAAAGGAGCAAAGCTTTAATACATTTCTGACACATGAAATTCTTTGCAAATTTCGGTAAGGATTAAGAATTAACTACAATTAAACATTACACAAATCGCTAAATATTTATTCACTTCAACCAAGAACAGAACAATAAACGAATAATCAAACAAAAACAACTCGTAAAACAATAGTTTACCGCTTCTTGAAAACCGAATTTCCGAGTCCCATCTCTTCTTGATGTATCTGAAAAAGTGATGTCAAAATTTCATTTTGATCTACGATAACACAAATTAATTCTTTTTTAAAAGCGCATACTTCTCTGGAAAAATGGGCAAAAGCAGCTTTCTCCTCCTCTGTTAGGCTGTCGATGAGAGCGTCATCGTCCAAACCGACACCCATTGCCTAAATTAAACATTCTAGCGGCTGTTCTGGTTTTTTAGAATACCATAGAATAAAAAAAGGTTTACCGTTAGTTGTCTCTCAATGTCGGTTTCGAGTAGATCGTAGTCCTGAACGGCACCATCAAGAACCTGAACTAGAAATGTTACCAAAGTTGACCATGAAACATAAATGCTTTAACCACTCAATTTATCAAATAATTATCAACAAGTTAGAAAAATCCAATAAAACCTAACCTTTTTCATATAGGTGTCGTCCTCCTCGTCCGAGTCGATCACTTCACCATCGCCTTCTTCATTCGGTTGGTCACTCGAACCTGAGTAAAAATTAATAAGTGCTTAAGTAATAGCAACTTACCAGGAAAATCGTCCATTTCACCGTTCACATACTTCTTCATTCTTTCTTCAAACGTTTCAATCGGTGGTCCAGTGCGTCGAGGCCCTAAAATAAATCATCAAACTGATGCATTTTGCTTAATAAAATCACAAACTTTAAAACAAACCGTCAATGTGTTCCCTAACGCAATTTTCGTAGAAAGTCTCCGAGCATTTGTTGTGTTCCTTGCTTCGATAACATCTAAAGGTAATAGAATTGTACTCTAGATTTGATTTAATATTCTCAGAAAATATCTGATCAAAGCGATGCATGTAACACTGTGTTAAAATATCTAAAAAGCTTAAAGGCACATAGATTTAACAAAAAAGACAATATCAAAAATAGCATTTTCGCATCAAAACCCGATTTTATCCGATTTCAACCCGTTTAATTACAATTACAGTTTGATTAGATATTGATTTAATGCATTGCACGCAATAAGAATTATTGGTTTAATAACACAACTTAAACACTTTCTCCGCGAACTTTGTAAACCATTTCGTACATAACTAGAAAACTCTTACCTTATCGAGCAGTAGTGTATATGACATCTGGGGCACTCGTACTTGGCCACATTTTGTGTTGCGCAAAACGGACATCGACGCTTCTCTGATGTTGATGATCCCTCTATTGGATTCTCCATTTCTTAGTAAAAGCATATAAAAAGTGAAGGTTTAACATTGATAAAATTGTGATAGAAAAACGAGGGAAGAAAAATAGAGAAGGGACTGGTGAAAAGAAAAACAAATTATCACAAAATAACTGAACATCTTTATTCGAGCCGAGTATTCAATTTCAAATTTTGCGGTTACCGTATTCTCTCTAATAGTAGTGCACTCTTTAATAGTAGTGCACTCTCTAATAGTATTGCGGTTCGAGAGGGGTTTAAAAAAATAGTAGTCGAAAATTTGAATTTCTGGTGCTTCTTTTTCATCTAAACCTTTTTGACGTTATGTTTATGTGACATTCTAAAGCTATTCAAGCAAGCAAACGTGAGGATTTTTGTTTTACTCATTCATTAACTATTCTTCACATGGAAAAGTTAGCAAAAAATCTAAAATTGTTGTGCAAAGTGCAAAAGCATCTTTTTGTTGTTTGTCAAGACACAAATTGTCAACTCGCCGGCCCACAACTGTATGTCAAAAGGAGCCAAAGGAGTACGTGAAAGAATTGCAAGAATTTTTGGAACAAAGATCTGTCTTACTTTGGTAAATGATAAAACTCTTTAATAGTAGCGCCTCTCGAACCGCAATACTCTAATAGTATTGCGGTTCGAGAGGCGGTTGAAAAAATAGTAGTGCGCACTACTATTAGAGAGAATACGGTATATAAAGGAATTTCCTAAGAAATTTTCATTTTGAATAGTTGAATAGTTTCCTATAGGTTTAAACTTTTACATAGAGTACATTTCTTTACCCGCAACGCTTTTAAGGCCTGGGAATTGAAAAATTTTTATTGAAGAGGGAGTTTTGAAGAATTTTATTAAGGAGTGAGTGTTATACAAGCTCTAAAATATGTTTTTAACAATTTCTGCAACTAAAAATGCGCTTTAACAATAATAAACTTTTAAAGACTGTCTTTTCCTAATATATGCTTGACTTTAATACATCAATTCTTTAAAATACTTTCTTCATAACGTTCTTTTCAGCTTGAATGTTGAATTGTTTAACTTTTATGTTTTTGTAAATTTATTTTCTCTCAGGCCATGGCCATCATTCTCCAAGGAACGATCGCTGCTCTTGGGTACTTCGAGAATGGAGTCTACTATCGAGAACCGGATTGTTTTGGTGAGTTTTTTGAGTTGCATTTATAAACTTTTAAAATTGTTAGTCTCAGCTTTCATTTACTGTTCTAGCTGAGACTTTTGTACTGCTTTAGTCTTTCCCGTATAACGAATGACTCTAAATCAGTTGTTGCTAGTTTATAAGTCTTTGAGTTAAGCCCATTGAGTTGGTGCTCATGATAAATCTACAGTAAGTGCCGTGTTTCTCAAAATGATTAACTTGTTCAATCCATTTGTTTAGAATCGTTGAGAGACATCATTCGCTTCCTCAGAAACGATGATAAGCAGTTTGCGGCAAGATGCAAATGCGGGGAAAGCAATATCGTTGAGAATGATCTTGTTCCGATCATGTGCACTCAAGGATTGACCAATGAGCTTTTCGATGTTTGCTTGAGGTTTGAAAGTTACTATTTTTACTGATGATGTTATCTTTTTAGGTTATGCGCTAACTTACTGCAGCCAACTATTGTCACATTTCAAGGTAAACCGCCTGAAGACAAAGAACAAGAAGAGGTATATTAGTCGTCTTTTGAGCTTTCTCATTAGTTTAACTTTTAGCTCTATGTGAAGCTTCAAGGCTATTTATCGAGAAGCAAATCCGCATTTGCCAATTCTGAGCTGTTCAAAGTGTTGCGCTTGAAAATGGAGAAATATTTTATGGACACGGTAATTTGTTTGCTGATTAATTTTTTTAATTGAATTTTAAGCCATCGGAGGACCGCGACGAAGACGATCGACTTTTGATGGAGAGGATTCTTCTATTACTTCGATTCATTTTCTCGATTGGACAAACTTACAGCAATAACGAGGTGGGAGCTGAGAGAGATTACGAGCTCATTATGTTATTATTGAATAACCTGTCAAAATGAAGAAAAGGAATATTTTAGCACATGCGACGAGCACAGGAGGTTCATGATCTTGTCTTGAAGGCATTTCTAGGATCGGGAATTGAGACAGTTAGTTTTTACACCAGAATATCTTTTCAAACTATATTTTAGGTGCTCATTTTTATTGGATCGAGTAGAGTTGATCGAGATTTTCATCTCAGCGCCCTAGAAATCATTTCACTAACGTTAAAAGAATATGTAAGTATATTTGATAGTTGGGAGTCTATTTTAAGTTTGTAGGACCCACAAGCAATACTTGAAGCGAAAATCGGTAGAGATGAGGAAACAAAGAAAAAAGACGAGATGGAGCTGCGACAAGTACGAACCAAACTACTTGGATGGATTCATTCATCACATTTTTAGATTTTCGAAGAGGAAGAACGAAAACGAGTTCTCCAACAGAGAAACGCTATTTCACTTCGTCATTCAAGGTATTTTCACGCACCATTGGTGTGTGAATTCAATCACCATCTGGATTAGCCGAATTAGCCCTAAGCCGCTAGCCAGCCTATTTGTAAAAGTTTACGGATCTTACCAAACTCGAATCTCTGGCATCTGACACACTCAACGTTTTTTGCTATCATCATCTTTAGAACGTAACTTTGAATTTAGATTTGGCGGCTCATATGTAATCAAGGGACGATCTTCAATTAACCCCGAAAAAGACATGCTTGCAATGAAGTGATTTTTCAAAAAGTAATCTTTTTTAATTTATTTTTAGAGTTGTGAAGGATCCAACGCAAACGGACTACATAGACGAACGGAAGAGCAAGAAAATACTGCCTAAAAATCGGTTAGTGTATGAGTAAGACTCGAAACCGAAGTGTTTTAGAAGAATCACAAATGAGAGATCGCTTGTCCGTGCGCCTCCAACTTCTTTAGCTTTGCTGATGAATGAATACATCAAGAAAATTTTTGAAGGATGTTATAATAATCTGACGAGAAGCACTAAAGAAATGGTTTGTTTGGAGACTAACTTAACAATGTCAATTTTTAGGCTTTTAATGGTAGCACTCGAACTCAAGCTCATCGAAATGCGGACGTTCAATTCTTTGTTTTTCTTCGTTTTTGTCTTCAGTATGCCCGACTTGCAAAGCTTCCCCTGGAAAAAGTGATAAAAAAATAAAAATACTGTATTATTTCCCTTTAGGTTAATGGGATGCTGGGAAAAGAAGCGTTTCACTTTGTCCAAGTGAAAATCAACGACTACCTTGAAATCACTAAAGTTGAGAAGCAAAAAGCGAAACATCATGGGATGAAGGCTCAATATGCGCTTTCTTCCTACAAAGAACTGATTCTTTAGTAAGTTTAAAATTTGCGAGAAAATTGAACGGTAAAACTTTAGCCACCAATACTTGATCGATCAAGGAACACAAGTGGAAAAAGAATTCGGTTTGGAGACGTGCGATCATATCCTCAAAATGCAAGAGTATCGTGAACTTGGGATTCTCATCTTCAAGCAGTTTACGGTTAGTTTGCGAAATGTGAGAAAAAATAAAGCCAATAAGCTCAACAAAGAGTTAAAGAAAATAAAATGTAAAAATCATCACATTTAGCCCGGAGTGTTGACAAAGGGATTTCTTCGCGAACTCATCTTGGCCACTCACTACTACTTGAAGATCCTCGAAAGAAGCGCCAAAAACAACTCGTTAAAAATTATTAAGAAACACAAGAAGAAAAAGCAAAAGAAGGTCAAACAAAACGATGAAGGTTTTGATGAAACTAATATTCTGATCAAGGCTTAGTTCTTATTTAGTCAAACTTGCCAAAATAACCGAGAAAAAGCACAAACTCTTGGATAAGATGACCGAGAATCAATTGGAAGAACTTTGGGGTGTGCTTCAAACTCCAGTCGAAGAGGCTTTACTGGTATTTCAAAGACGTTTGAATGTTTACAACCATTTCAGGAAACGGATATCGACACGGATGATTTGATGCCGATTAACTCCACTCTCCAGGTCGAAGATGATGATCACAAGTTTGTCTAGTCTCAGATGATTAAATTAATTTTTGTGGCTTAGGAGGTTTTTGCTGCTTCGAATTCAACGGGCTTTGCGGGATTCAGACGTAAGACTCGCAGTTGGTCTAAACAAGGCAGGACGACAAGTGAGTACCACTTTATTAAAACCGGTGAAGTGAGTAAACTTAAGGTTCTTTAAATGTTGCATTCGCAGCAATGTTTTTATGTTTAGCTAATTGTTAAAACTTAATTTAGCTTTTCCCCACTGATGATACTTTTGGTAAAGATGGAGATTTCGTCGAAGAGCTGGCTCATTTAAAAGAACTGTTCTTTGTTGATTTGAGAGAGGTACTTTTAGTTTTTCCATGTAACGTTTTGCTTTGTTCTGTTTTAGGTAGCGGTTTCCTTACAAGAAGCCGAAGCCAAGCTTGAGGGATATCTCAAAGGGACTGCCGAAAATAAAAACGAGGAAAACGATGAATACGATGAATACTCTGAAGAAGAAGAAGAGTGCAGTTTTTTTAAAGTGAAATTACTGTATGAATTGTAGAAACTTTGATTTGGTCGAAGAAAACTTTGAATTTAATAGCCATCTCGTCCAATTTGCTCGTCATGATATTTTGAAATGGTTTGTGATTTTCTATTCGTTACATAAAAATGATTATGTTTAGGTACATCCTCATGCTCAACGATTTTTTGACAAATTCAAGCGAATTGAATAAAGCTATCATTAAAATGCTGCACCGGATAGCTTTCGACCTAAAAGATCCAAGCAGAATTTACCAGGTCTGAAATTTATAATTTTTCATTTACCTAGCTTTAAGACTCTAGGTTTCCTTTTTCCAAGTTTTGTTGAACGTTAAAAGCCACATTTCATCGATCGACAAAGAAAAGCAGAAAGAGAGCCCACATTACGAGCTCTACAAGTTTGGCTATCATTTTCTGACTAGGTAAACTTATTTCTGCAGCTTTTCAACTCATCGACATTTTTAGTTTCTTCAATGCTTTTCAAAGAATTGGTCCGCAATTATTCTTGGAAAGTTTGTTCTGGAAGACGCCAAAGGAATGTTACGAGATCGAACACGGATTCGGAAGCTACTTTAGCAATCAAAAGGAATCTGCGCCACAAGCGTGGACGGAAGAACTCGAAATTGAAGTGCGAGATTTGCATCGAGAGTTTGCCGATATGGATGAACGACCTTCAGGTGAATTCTAGCGGTCCAATAATTTTTGTAAAAGTTTATCTAATTCAATTTAAATTTAGGGATGGATATGCTCGATTTCATTGAACACAATCTTTCACGATCCAGGAGTCGAAAACAGATTCACCGAAAGTTGAAAGAACTTGGCTTGGACACGCTTGGCGCAAAGATGAGCAAGGGCAAGGGGTACGATTTATGCAGTTTTTTATATTCAATTTTATTTTTAAGGACTTTATCCGGGTTTCCTCTCGTTCCCGCCAAGGATGCTTACACGACTTGGCAAGGTCTCGGAGACGACAACAAACGTAATTTTTTACGGGGTCAATATTAATCATTTATCTATCGTTTAGCTGATTTGGTTGAGTACATACAGAAACAACTTCTGGAAGAGCATGGTGAATTTTCTCGTCCAAAGATCATCAAGCAGCTTGCGTATATTGGAGCAAATTATGAGAGAAAAGTCAAGTAAGAGAAAAAATTTAATTTAATTTTTTTCGATTTTTTTGAATGAAGCCTTGGAGTGAAGGCCTGCTTTCGGAATTGCGAGCTCTAAAAGAGCAGTACGAAGAGACGCCAGATGAGGAGCGATTGGGAGGTTGATTCGTTTTTTTTATGCCTTTCTTTTATAATTTAAGTTTAGCTACTTTATTGAATTATACGTTGCGTCTATTGTCAGAGAAGAAACCTAGAAAGCAAGTAAGTTACTTTCGTTTGTTCTTCTAGTTAGCTTTTTTAGGTCATACAGCAGCTTGTCGCCCTTGGAGCCGATTTGTCGGAAGAAATGCGCAAAGAAACAGAAGAGAAAGCATCGAGGAAAAAGAAAATAATGAAGTATTGTTTGAAATATAAATTAAGCATGCCATAGATATGTAGACATATTGTAGCACAAACGTGTTTAGGCCAGAATCTTCCGATGACGACGAAGAAGTAGGCGAAAGGAGCGCATCGGAGCCCGAAGCTTCTGAATCTGATGGTAGTCGCTCTTCTGACGGAGAAAAGAATGAGAAAGAGTCTCGTCGATCAAAGAAGTCCCACAAAGTTAAAGTAAATCTTGAATATCTTGAGTCCAACTTTATCCTCAATCTTTTGCTTTAGAAATCCAAAAAGGCAAAACATCGTTTCGACGAGTCTGATGACGAGGAAGCAGTTCGTTCACAAAGCTCTCTTTCGAGTACTTTATCCATTTTGTCATTTGTTTACATAAAAATATTTTCAGATAAGGAAAATTCCACTTCATCTCAACAAACGGCCGGATTAACAAAGACGCGGTCAAAAGTATGCGAACTTCTCTAGTTTGCAGCATTTTTTTTCAGGTCACTAAAAAACGTCCCCATTTTGAGGATTCGGAGGACGATGCAGAAAATATGCAAGGTGGATCAAGTCCAAGTTGTTTGATTGATTTTATTTCTAACAAATTCGTTTAGATAATGAAACACAACAAGCATCTCATTTCGATACCGGTGACGTTTTGGCTCAAAAGGTTGTTAATTACTGAATTTGTGTCTGTGTGCCATGCATTGGTTTTAGTCTACAAAGAGGCGAACTCTGTTGAATGATTCGGATGTGGAGAATGACGACGAGGAAGCAACCTTATCAACTCAACAAACGGCGACCCAAAGTGTTGTACCTGGTATTTTGACAATTTGACAAATACTTTTTACATAAAATTAAATTCAGATCAGGAAGTTGACCCGAACGCGGAGAGTTCCCAACTTAGCAATGACTTGGAGATATCAAAGGTTGAAAGTCTTTAAAAGGTTTTTATTGTTAAAATTTCAGCTTACAAAGAAACGCCAGCGTTTCGAAGATTCGGACGAAGAAGAGGAGACAATAAAAGAATCAATCGATGATCTTCCATCTTCCACTCAAAGCTCGGTTTCAGGTTTTGCTTTTGTTTTCTATTATTAACTTTGAAGTGAGTATAATTGAAAAGCCGTTCAATTTTCTGTAAAAACATCATTTTTTCAGATAATATGCGGAAGCAAACTTCAAACGACACCACCACCAAACGACGTCGCGTTGTGATAAGTGATGATAGTGATTCGGATTAAATTACACTTTTTATTGTATTTACGTTTTGAATTAATTTGTTATATACGGTTATTTGTAAATTGCTATTTTGGTATTTTGCTTTCAATAAATATTTAATTTTAAACTGTGGAGAAGCTACCGTAGCCTTGCGTATGTATTTCGTGTGCTGGATTTTTTATTTGAGTTATGATTTTTCTCATTTGCAGGAATGGAGTTAGAGTTTGAGGAAACGCAAGCCTCAGTGGCTTTTTCGTCAAAGGTGAATAAAAATATGATTTTTAAAATTTTCCACTAAAGATTGTAAGCTGTGTATCTGACGGGGTTTCTTATAAATGAGAAATATGAAAACTTTTAAACTCTTTTTTTTTGAAACTATTTACAATTTTTCTTTTTAGGAGAATTCAACTCGTCTTTGCGTGGGATTTCTTGACGGAGCAATACACTTGTACGACTTCAATCCAAAGGATCTCTCAAGAAAGGTGAATATTTTGCTGTTTTTTAAGCCGAAACTATTTTTTACTCTTATCTTTCTAACTAATTCTATTCAGGATTTAGTTGCTGTTTGAATATCGACTCAAAGCCGCCGTTCGTAATGTGGCCATTTGTCCGACAGAGGAGAATGTTTATGTGACAAGCCGAAATCGAGCCCTCTGCCAAATCGACGTAGCAACGGGACTAAGGTAATTTTTTCAATCGAAAAAATTGGACAATTCTATGATTGTATTGTTTATGTTTAGAACGAGATGTATTCGGGAAGCTCATTCATCAAAGCCATCTTCTATCTGCCAACTGACATTAGAAGATCAACTGCTTGCGACCGGGGATGAAGATGGACATGTAAGTTTGCCTTGTGTCAGTTGAATTTAATGATAAACATTTCTTCAGATTAAAACTTGGGATCTGCGTGTTGCTTCTCCAGAAGTGCTTTCATTTGAAGAGCAAGAAGATGTAAGAAGTTTATGAGCAGTATAGAAGTATTATTTCTTTTAAGGTAATCTATCAACTCGTACAAGATCGTCTCAAGTTGCTCACCGTTTCAGCGGACGGCACTTTGGCAGTTTATGATGTAAGATTTGAGCTTTTTTCAGATTTTTATAAGTTCTTTAGCTTCGAAAGGGAAAGATGAAAACAAAGAGTGAAACAATGCACGGAGAACTACTTTCGCTGGTGGTAAATAGAAAGTAAGTTGTGGGGCATTCGTTTCGCAATAATTTGTTTTTTTAGATTCTGTTACGCTGGTTCCAGTGAAGGGATTTTGGAGATCTTCAGAAGTGGCGAATATGGTGGGTTTAAAAACGAAATTTGTATACAAAATCCATTGAGATTTAAACGATTATTCTAATCTTGTATCTAATTTCTTTTTAGGTAACATCGTTGAGCGTTTCGAGACGGGTCTCGCATCGGTGGATTCGATTATCGAGCTACGACGAGGGCTTCTGGCCGTGGCAAGTGGAAATGAGACTGGGATAAGGCAAGGTTTTGCATTAAATTTTACGAAGTGTTTTTATAGAATTTTTGTTTTGTGTTTACGTTAAGCTTTTAGATTACTCCATGTAAATCCAAACAAACGGCTTCAATTATTGGGAGAGCATGAGGGAGGCGTTGACTCGATGTTCCTCAGCGCGGATAAAAAAGTGAGTTGATTTGGTTTTGAGGATTCTAAAATGAGAAAAAAACATTTTAAATGTGAAATGCTATAGATCTTTCTAAGCTGGACCTTTTAGTGGCTCCTCTCGAGTTCGATGGCTGATCAAACGGTGAAAGTTTGGGACGTGAAAAAAGTTAAACAGAAGGTACGTGTTTGGACTTATTTAATGGCCAATAGGATTTAAATTATATTTTTTAAACTTTCCAGCATAAATTTTTTAAATTACCAATTTTAGGTTCCCATTTTGACGGCTTCGGCGGCAAAGGAAAAGGTGAAGCAAAACGGGAATGTGAGCAACGACTTCTGGGCGGATTTGGCGGAGGATAGTGATTAGGATTGTTAATTTTTTGTTATTTTGTTTTCTTTGTTAATTTGTCGTTGTCTTTTATGTGTATGTTGATTTGACAAATAAAGTTTCATCTCAAATGTTTATTGGGAAAATTGTTTTATTCAGGAAGTATCTTGTGTCAGTTGCACTATCGGTTTTCACAACAAGATGTGTTGTTGCAAAAATGTAATGTTGCCTTTTAAAATTTCATAACGGCTTCACTTTGTTTTTATTTCAGATGCTTTGTGCTGACGGTTCGGGTCCACGAGAAGGATCGATTTCTATAGAGCGAATCGATCAAGCCGGAAAGTTGCTGAATGATGGCACCCAACCGTTGGCAAAACGTTTCCAGTAAGGTTTTTAGGCTCTTGAACTAATAACAATACTTGAAATTTTTCATTCTTACGATCATTACGCGTATCAATCCAAATTGCAAATTTAATAAATTTTAGAGCCTTGTTCTTTCTGCGAAACATTCGATGCGATCGATCGGTGAGTTGGATATCAAAAGGATTCTCCGACCCATCGGCTCTTTTGAAGGTGAGTTGCTTTGTGGAAATTTATGGATTGACGGTTTTTATATTCTATTCAATTGCTTGTTTTAGCATGAACTCGCCTATTGCCTTGGGCAGATGGAGAACAAAGCCGCCGTCCCGGAGTTGATCTCGGTTTTGGAAAATTCTAGTCAAGTTGGACATTGGCTTTATTATTTCTTAAATGTATTGTACAAAAAACTTAAAAGCTTCAAGTTTATTTTACGTTGAAAACCTTTTCAAAGATTCAAATTTTTGGAACCAATGGTTCGTCATGAAGCGGCTGAAGCCCTTGGAGCTATCGGTGACCATGCTGTGAGAGGCGTTCTTCAAAGTTATTGCAATGATCCCATGCCTGAAGTAAGTTATTCAGTGTTAGAAACTGAGGAAAAACTCAGGGAATTTCCCTAAATCTATGGATTTTACATTTTGTAACTTGATCCTTTATTGAAAAATGCGTAAAAATATTAAAGCTTTTTTTCTAGGGACCATCGGTTTAGCAAAAATTGATTCAAAATCACTTCTGATACCTAAAAACAATAAAGATCAGCTAAAAATCTCGTAAAGCTCAAAAACCTGACATTTTTTAAGCCCCAAAACTACATTTTTATCATTCGAAACTCATTTTTTTGTAATCTACAGGTAAAAGTCTATTTTGATAATTTATTTTTCATAAGGGATGGAAGTTGATGGGGACCCCCTAGTAGAATCTCGTAAAGGTTTCAAAAATTGAACTTATTAAAATTTGTAGCATTTTCCGATTCTGAATATAATTAAGAATTAAGAAAATACTTTGCTTAGAAACCATTTTAAAACACACTTTGTTTAGGTTGCTGAAACCTGTCAGCTTGCCCTGCAGCGTTTGGATTACGTTTCGAATGGAGGAAAAACCAGTAAATTTTTTGGTCATTGTAAAGTAGCAATTGTCTTAATATTTATTTTCAATATTAAAGCTTACTTTTTATTTAGCTTCTCCATACGATTCAATTGATCCGACTCCCTCGGCTGAAACATCCGATATCGCTCAACTTCAGGAAACTTTGACAAATGAGAAGAATTCGTTATGGGATAGGTAACTTTTAGATTTTAGACATTGCTTTTGAAAATATTTTGACAATTTATTATTTTTAGGTACAAAGCAATGTTCAAGTTGAGGAATATTAGCACGGACGAGTCGATTAAAGCTTTAGCGTCAGGTATTTCTTTGGAATCTTATTTTTCTATGAATAAAACTTTGACTACGTAAAAATTAAATTTTGTTCATAGTCAGTACTTTCTATCCACTAAATCTTTTTATATTTTAGGTCTTTATTGTGAGGACAGTGCCTTGTTTCGACACGAGATCGCCTATGTGCTGGGTCAAGTGCAAAATGCGACAGTTATCCAGGAATTAAAGGTGAGCATTAACTCTTTTTTAGTTTTTTATATACTTCTTAAATTAAAATAACATAATTATTGGCTGTAAATTTATTTAAGGTTTGGAAGTTAATTTATTTAAAGATTTAAGGAACTCATTTAGGATCGTTTGATGCTCTCGAGTGAGAACTGTATGGTGCGACACGAGTGTGCTGAGGCATTGGGAGCAATTGCTACGGATGAGTGCGAAAAGGTAGAGTTTCAAATAGTTTTATTTTTAAAATGGATCTCTTTGCAAAAAAAAATATTGAATCAGGAGCAATTTGTACATGAATTTGAAAATAATTTTAAATTGGCGATGTTTTGTATTGAGCGTTTCAGCTATAGCTTATAGCTAGTGTGCGGTAGGTATATTATTTGGTAGCCAAAGAAAAGAAATAGTAAGCTAAAATTAGATTTTATTTTTAAACGAAATTATATCTATTTTTAGATTCTCAAGGAATATGCAAAAGACAACGAGCAAGTCGTTCGTGAATCTTGTGAGGTTGGGTGATTCTTGTTTTTAAATGTACTATCTGATTTACTGTAAATATGAACTTTTCTCTTTTCAGGTGGCGCTCGACATGGCCGACTACGAGAACTCGGAGCAATTCCAATACGCATCACACTAGTCAGTTTCTTTTGCATTTTGTGATTTTGTGTGCCTGTTTTGTTGATTTTTTTGTTACCCGTGAGTTGATTTTAATGGTTGTTCATTGTTGATTTTAGATAAAGATTTTATAATACTTCTTCATTTCATTTCTTTTTACTCTTATGTTTCTTCCTGATTTATTGAGTCAGGAAGAAAATTCTTCGAAAAATATAAATTCTAAAGTTTTTTCTTAATTTTCAGGGCAAAATGGATGCAATTTGTTATTGAAAATTCGAAATATTCGCCAATTCGTGAAAGCATCCATCGGAGTCAAAAAGAGGTCAAAAATCAACTTTATCTTGGACGCTTTTTGACTTTTGAGTGCTCAAATCAACAAGAATGACATGACGGATTTTTCAGAAAATAAATTTTTTTGTTTTTACTAATTTATCGTACATTGTAAACCTCAAAATTTGAGCCAAATTCTGAATTCTGAATTTACACAAATTAAAGTCGTGATTCCGGTATTTAAAAAGCCACCAATCAAAAGCAAAAAGTAGGAAAAATGAAAGATAAACGATGAAAAAAAAAGGCGCCTTTGTTTTTTGTTTTTTTCGTTGAAAGTTGAAAAGTTTGGGATTTCAAATCAAATTTGAGAAAAACGCCTAAAAAATGACTTTTTCTAAGCTATTTACCTTTTAGCTATTGAGTCAAAATTTTTTTCATTTGAGCTGAGTCAAAAGTTTTGCATATTAATATGCGAAAATCTGCTCTCCTATAAAATCTATCTGTTCTCCGAGTGTACTTTGTGCTTGGAAAACTTGAAACGAATCCTTTCTGGCTTTCAATCCTCAGCTTTTCATCAATTTTCGATTTCTAGCTTTGGAAAAGTACTTGAAGTCTAAGAAGTTTTCAAGTGCGCTAGATACGGTGCGTTTTGATAAAAAAAAAATCCCCTTCAAACCCACCGATGCACGATTTGATCTGTCACAAATAAAAGCCGCTTCAACGAAAGGGAAAATTGATGTTGTTTCGTCAGCGAGATTCACAGCTATAGAGCTATAGAGCGTCAGCGAGATTCACAGCATTAGAACAAGTCGACAATTCTGGTTCCTTTCAAACAATTCTCCACTTGAAACTCTTCGCTAAATGTTCTTCTATCAAGTTCACTATGGTAGGCACAGACTTGGGTAATTAAACCGGCTGGGAGGGTTTTCCGGCTACCTCTATACGGGCAGTGTGCCAGACGCCGTCTTTTCGTACGAGTGACATCAAAGGATTTCGAATGGCTTCTTCTATTTTTGAAATTTTTGAGAGCATGTACTCTTAATCTTTTCAGCTTTGATCAGGTGCGTTTTTTTGACGTTTCAACTAGATAAAGAATGGATGAGGAAATGACTGCAAATTTCGGGATTTTTGATTGAAATATACGCACGTAGGGTAGGCAGAAACTTGGGTAATTAAACCGGCTTGGAGGCTTTTGGGGTGATCTGTATCCAGACAGTGTGCCAGACGCCATTTTTTTCTTACGAGCGACGTCTAGGGCATGCACAAACTTGGGTAATTAAACCGGATTGGAGGCTTTTCGGGTGATGTGTATCCAGGCAGTGTGCCAGGCGCCATTTTTCCTTACGAGCGACATCAAAGGTACGCACCCTGGTCATTGATGAGGAAATGACGGAAAATTTGGGGATTTTTGGTTGAAATATACGCACGTAGAGTAGGCAGAAACTTGGGTAATTAAACCGGCTGACCGGAAAACCCTACCAGCCTCATATGCGGACAGTGTGCCAGACGCCGTTTTTTCGTACGAGCGACATCAAAGGTACGTACAAACTTGGGTAATTAAACCGGCTTGGAGGCTTTTGGGGTGATCTGTATCCAGGCAGTGTGCCAGACGCCATTTTTTCTTACGAGCGACATCAAAGGTACACACCCTGGTCATTGATGAGGAAATGACGGAAAATTTGGGGATTTTTGGTTGAAATCTTAGCACGTAGGGTAGGCACAAACTTGGGTAATTAAACCGGCTTGGAGGCTTTTCGGGTGATCTGTATCCAGGCAGTGTGTCAGAGGCCGTTTTTTCTTACGAACGACGTCTAGGGCATGCACAAACTTGGGTAATTAAACCCAAGTTTCTGCCTACGCTACGTGCGAATATTTCAACCAAAAAACCCCCAAATTTGCAGTGATTTCCTCGTCCATTTTTTATTTAGTTGAAACTTCGAAAAAACCCACCTGATCAAAGCTAAAAAGATTAAGAGTAGATGCTCTCAAAGATTTCAAAAATAGAAGAAGCCATTCAAAATTTTTCGAGATCTTAAGAGAACAAAGGGGGATTACAGTATTGAAATTCAGAAGAAAACGAAAATTTTGGGGCAAATTTTCGTTTTGAAAATAACTTGGCAACTAATCCTTTCAAAAAAAAAAAAAAAAAAATAAGGTTTCCGGGGGCGAAACGCTTTCAAACTACGAAGAAAACTTTGAAATTTTTGTAAATAACGTCAATCATTTTACATAAACGAAGTTAGATAATCGAGAATATTTGAATATTTATAAAGGCAAGAAGTTCACCAAAATTTCCCTTTCGTCATGTTTATATTTATATTTTTCTTTTTCTTTTTATATTCAATTGGAAAAGCCGGATGTCAGGTGGGATTTTGTGAATTTAAGCTTTAATTTTAAAGCTTTAGATTTGAAGATTTGAAGATTTGAAGATTTGGAGAGATAACAAATCTTTTAGTAAAAGTTAACAATAAATTCTAAGTCTAAATTTTCACCTTAAACAAGTCAAAGTCTTTTCTAAGAGATGTACTTTGTGGTTAAAAATTAGAAACGCAGCCTTTCTAGCGCATTGAAAGTTACATAAGATTATCGAGTACTTTGTGCTTTGTGCTTAAACAAACCCTTTCTGGCGCACGGGATTCTTTCATTTTATTTTCTTTTTCAAGCTGTTGATATAAGAAAATGATGAATTAGGTAAGTTGTGCCAGGAAGGGTGCGTTCCTCTGAGCACAAAGTACATCAGAAGATCACAAGGCTGCCAGATTCAAGGAAAAGCTTTTTGAAAAACAATTTGTGACAACAAATTGACTAGAATGCTGGATCACGGCTTTAGATGGTCCAATGACGACATCTAAAGCCTCTCAAGCATCTAAAGCCTCTGAAGGCATCTAAAGCCTCTGAAGCCTCTGAAGCCATCTAAAGCCTCTCAAGCATCTAAAGCCTCTGAAGCAGCTAAACCCTCTGAAGCAGCTAAAGCCTCTGAAGCAGCTAAAGCCTCTGAAGCATCTAAAGCAATAAAATAGTGATCTCCACTACGAAAAAAAATACTTTTCAAGCAAATTCCACTCTAACCAACCCAATTTAGCCGACAATCGCCCCATCGGTGAGCACCCAGTCCACCGGTTTGCCCGTTTCCTCAATCCCACCCACAATCACCACTCAATCAATCTCATTAACATCAACGTCAACCACTTCAACTCCATCATTCACTGGATCAACGACAATCCGGCCATACTATACCTCACCGGCGCCTGATCCCTTCGCGATCGGGACACTGAAAATCGGATTTATGGGTGAGGTTTGAAAATGGCTCAGCCTTGCACTTTGTGCGAAGGCTAGTGGCTAGCGCCTAGCACTAAGTCTATTTGGGTTTGAGCTGGATCTCAGCATAGTTCTCGGAGCTAAGGTGCAAGCGATTGCTTTTGTTGGACCCTTCAGGTCGCTGTCATGTCTAGAAGTTGAGATATAAAAAGTCGATTTTCTGTTTTTTTTTTTGACAGCAAAACGTGGAGAAAGGTCAAGCTGAGTATCCTAAATTTCTCTTTTTAAAAAGAGAAAAGGCTTTCATTTCGCGATCCCAAAAGTCGGCTCGTAGCCTATTGGTTGAATGAGTCTGGAAAAACTTGGATTTTAAAAGCCTAAGTCTAACTTTGTCATTTCTCAGGGTATACTGTATACCCTGAGAAATGACAAAGTTAGACTTAGGCTTTTAAAATCCAAGTTTTTCCTTAAGCTTTCAAAAAGAATTCAAAGCAAACTTTAAAGGTTAGCAAAAAGAAAATGCCAAGTGAATGAAACTGTATGGTACAGTAAAAAAACAATTTGTGACAACATTTGTGACAACAAATTGACTAGAATGCTGGATCAGATGAGGATGCTTTAGATGGTCCAATGACAATGATCTAAAGCCTCTCAAGCACTATTTAAAAGGTATCATAGTAATTGAAAACCCCCCCAAAAAAAGGCAGCTATTTTGGTTTGGGCTAGTGGAAGATCATTGCAATTTGATTTCTGTACTTTTATTGGATTGAGGCGATGGTTGAAGTTGGGAGATTTTAGCCCAATGATTTCTGTACTTTTATTCGATCAGATCTTGGAACGCGGGAGAAAGCATAAACACAAATAACTCTTTTATTTGTTGGGGTTTTTCAATCCAACAAAAAACCTTAGCCTTTTAGACTTTAGGCTTAGGCTTTTAGAAAAGACGATCAAGAAAAGACGAAATATTCAGTGGCGGACGGCATTCGCCCAACGGAGATCGGTTTCTCGCAATCGGGCGGTGTCATCTCCATCGCTTTAGACGAGATGCGGCGTCAAAATATTCTCAATCATTGGAACATTGAGTGAGTTGAATATGCAAATACAGAGTGCACAAAAAGTTCTGTTATTAAAGTCTGTTATTAAAGTCTGTTATTCAAGTTCTGTCATTAACGTCTGTCATTAAAGTCTGTCATTAGAGTCTGTCATTAAAGTCTGTTATTCAAGTCTGTCATTAGAGTCTGTCATTAGAGTCTGTCATTAACGTCTGTCATTAACGTCTGTCATTCAAGCCTGTCATTAACGTCTGTCATTAACGTCCTAAAGTTGACGAAAGCTTGAAAAACTGAATCTGAATTAAAGAGCATTTTATTTGAATCTTTTTATAAGCCTTTATTCAATATTCATGAAAGAAAGTTTAGTATTTGCCTTAAAATCTATAAACCCAAATGAGAGAACTTTTGGTGAATCCTGTAGATCATATGCAAATGTTTTAGATTCTATCTAAATTTCACCGAATGCAACGAGACAACGGCAGCGGGGACAGCCGTCGAAATGTTCACGCAAACGAAAGTTGATGCCGTCATTGGACCACCGTGTAATCAGGGTGAGATAAGTCTGTCGGCAATCTGGTCAGCTTGCTGTAGCTGACAAGATCTGGGCTTACTGTAGACTGTAGGCTGTAGACTGTAGACTGTACACGGATTACTGTAGACTGTAGACAGCTTACTGTAGCCAGCTTTCTAGACAGCTTCCTAGACAGCTTACTGTAGCTACAGTACGCTTTATCCTTTAGCGATCTTCCCAGTGGCCGTCCTCTCCTCATTCTACCAAATCCCGCAATTCGTTTGGGGTTACTCGAATGCGAATGCGTACGCGAATGGAAATCGTTTCCCGTATCTGAATGTGATTACGCCGAACTCATTACAGTAAGAAGTTAAATTTTTGAGATAATCTTAGATCTTAGATATGGTTATGCTCTGGTTTCAATCATGCAATTGTACAATTGGAATCAAGTTGGCATCGTTTATTCGACTGACGAAGTAGCTTACTGTGACAATATGATTGCTGACTTTGAGGTGAGTAGCAGGGGAGAGATTTGGAACCGCATTCTGAAAGGGAAACCTTATATACCCTGGTTTGCCAAGGTTTGCCAGGGTTTGCCAGGGTTTGCCAGGGTTTGCCAGGGTTTGCCAGGGTTAGCCAGGGCTTGCCAGGGTTTGCCAGGGTTAGCCAGGGTTAGCCAGGGCTTGCCAGGGTTTGCCAGGGTTAGCCAGGGTTAGCCAGGGCTTGCCAGGGTTTGCCAGGTTGCGAGCGATTAGCTGGACAAAGAACACTTTGCCAGTCATTTACTGGCTATTTCTCTCTTGTTTTGTATTGAGAAAATGAAGATATTGAGTTGTGAAGATGTGAAGATGTGAGATGTGAAGAAAAATGAAGATATTGGGTTTCCAGGGTCAAGGAATCGATTGGCGGTCTTCTTTTTGTTATAGCTTTTCAGTAAAGGCATTATTCTGACTATTCTGACAACTTTATTGAAGAATAACAAGTTAAATGAAGAAATTCGATCTTTTCATAGATTACTTCATAGATTTGCCACTGTTTTAGACAGCAGTCGCCGATCCAATCGTCTACGGAGTGGATATTACGATCAAGGCAACCGTTGACAGTCTTAATTCGACGAGTTTCGATCCAGTGATGTCGAGAGTGAAACAAAGGGCAAGAGGTCAGTGATTCAAAGTGAGATGCTGGTGTTTGAAGTGAAATAAACGAGTAGTCGAGTAGTTTGAGTTAGAAAATCGGAGTTTAGCAAGAGTTTAACAAGACTTTGACAAGAAACAACAACAAGAAACTTAAAGCTTTACAAGAAATCTTCATTCTTGAGTACTTTGCACTTAAAGAGACGACAATTCAAATCAATTACAGCTAATTTGCATAGTGGATTGGTAGAAATGGCTTAGGCTTAGGCTTAGGTCTTTCGAACTACGATTTCAATCAATTTCAATCAATTTCATTTCAATTTCCTTTAAATTTCAGTTGTTTTGTTGTGTTTCATGTCCGACTATCGATATCGTCAATTTTTCATTTCGGCTTATCGAAATAACGTAAATTTTCATGATTTTTACTTCTTTTCTTTCAAATTATAAGATCGATAAATCTTTCTTTAAAGAAATCTTTGAGATCAAATCGATTTAGATTAAAATAGATCAAATAGATTAGATTAAATAGATCAAATCGATTTAGATCAAATAGATCAAATCGATCCAATCTATTTAGATCAAATAGATCAAATAGATCAAATAGATTAGATCAAATCGATTTAGACCAAATAGATCAAATAGATTAGATCAAATAGATCAAATCGATTTAGATCAAATAGATCAAATAAATCAAATAGATTAGATCAAATAGATTAAACAGCTACGATCAAATCGATCAAATAGATTAGAGTTTTAGATGACTGGACCGGATTATGTGTATATTGGGCTAAAAATGGGTGGATACGGCTTCGCGCAAGCCAGCTATGTCAACTCGACGAGCGTTGATCGATGTAAGGCAAATCTTGGAAGAAAATTCGATCAAAAGATTGCTTTTATCGAAAATTTCAAAAGATTACTTAAAATCGAAGAGTTCTCTAAACAAATGTTATCCTGAAGATATACTGGAGATAATTGCTATAAGACAGAACTTCGTTTAGCTTTAAAATCCTGAAATTTAAACTTTAAAAGCCTAATGTAAGCATGAAACAAAAGCTAATGTGAGCCTAAAAGGTTGAAACTTTAAAACTAAAACATTTAAAATCAACTGCCCGGCACGGGGGTCGAACCCCGGATCTTGTGGGCGGTAGATAAAGGTGTTCCCACCTGCACCACGGCGACCAGACACCCCTCGCGAAAAAAACCATCTTATGGCCGCCATGGTAATTATAGCTGGTTATAAAATAAATGCCAAAATACAACAACTCCATAGGGAATCGAACCCGGACCCTTTGGGCGTTAGACAAGGACGCTGCCGACTGCGCTAGCCGAGAACGAAAGCCCGGACGAAAAAAAGCCCTCTTATTTTCATTTTCAGTCTCTGACGGCTCTGTGCCGATTTGGGTGGATGGGTATCGAAACAATGTGGATGGGCAGAACAACAATGCCAAAATGGTTGCGTCAAGGATCTTGATTGTGAGATTTTCTCCAGACTGTAAACACAACCCTTCTAGCGCACTTAAGGCTTCAATGTACTCATTTGTTTCCATTTTGAATTTAGTACCGCCATGGCCGACTGGCTAAGAGCCCTGTATCTTAGTCGGCAGATCAACGGCTCAATCCCAAAGCTTATTCATTCTTTTTTTCCATCTACAGAATGGTCCACAAAAAAAGTGGCTCACTTTGCGTATTAGAAACGCGAATTGTGCTAATTTTTGAGCTTAATGGCACATCGTAGTGTCAGAATTGGTTTTGCCTTAAGGAACATTGACACAAAGTTAGTTTTTTTGAAAATTGAATGTACCGTATTTTCTCTAATAGTAGTGCACCCTGAGCGCCGCCTAAATCCCTCGAAATCTCGAGAACCCCTTATCAGAACCTATCGAAAATGTAGCTAATGGGCGGAAAATGTAGCTGACGATGAGATCTTGTGGGGGATTTGAGTGTTGAGCTTCTGTGAAAACTTTGGAAGCCGTAAAATGGTCACGAACTCGGCTCGACGAGATGCACTACTATTAGAGAAAATACGGTATCATGTATTTGGGGTCATGCATTTGAGTAGAGACCAAAATCTATGCACCCTATTCTCTCAAATAGTAGTCCACCCCAGCCGCCGAGTTGGTGACGATTTTACAGTTTCTAAGTTTTCGCATAAGCTCAACACTCAAATCCCCCACAAGATCTCATCGTCAGCTACCTTTTCCGCCCTCACATCGATACGTTCTGATAAGCCGTTCTCGAGATTTCGAGGAATTTAGGCAACGCTCTGGGTGCACAAGTATTAGAGAGAATACGATGCATGTAATGGGATTTCTTATTTTATCATAAATCCTTTTACTTTTTATTTCTTTAATTACTCTTTAATTCTTTTACTTTAATAATTTGGTTTTATCTCTCTTTTCTTTACTTTTTTTTTTAATCTATTGAATATTTTCATTAGATTTTCATTAAATTTTCATTAGATTTATTTTCAAAGGGCATTGTTCAAGCAACCATTTCAGAGCTATCGAAAATAGTTGGGGTTTTTAAGGGCGAAAACCCCATCTGTAGCTTTTTTTATTCGTCAAAAAGAAAGCCATCTTTTTGGCTTTTTCGTCTCCACTTAAATAAATGACCCCCAAATACATGATACATTGAATTTCAAAAGAAAACAAACTTTGTGTCAATGTGTAACCCTTAAGGCAAACCAATTCTGACACCACGACACAAGTACTGAAGTTAAATCCAAATCGTTCTTCATCAAAAATAAATGGTGTAGGAGACTCACTTAAATCTTTCCAACCATCTGCATAAACTGCTTCGGAGTCAAAAATGTCAAAAAAAGAAAAAACGCTGCGGTTTCGAATGGGTTAAAATTCAGCGCAAAAAGATTTTCAATCACGCAAAGTGAGGCACTTTTTTGTGAACCACCCTGTATCGGGGGGTTTTTTCTTTCCTATATTTAGAGCTGATGGGTTTGGCTTGTGTATTGTTTGTACGATATTATTCCTGTGAATAAACAATGCATTTTTAAAGTACAAGGGACGAGATTTACCGATTCCCTTTCAGTTAGACATTCAACGATCAATGTTGAGCGTCTCGGGGATGAATGCGGACGATTATCGATATGCTGTGCTTACAAAAGTCGGTTTCAATCTGATTTCAGAACATTTCTTTCATAAGCCTTTGTTTGAAGCTTTGTTTAAAGCTTTTTTAAAGCTTTGTTTAAAGCTTTTAAAGGAATGAAATTCGATTTTTGATTGTTTAAAGTCGGAAATATTCAATGAATCATTGACAATATTTTCAGCTACGAGATTATCCATTCTATTGTGGGACGGTGAATTGCACGAACAACATTGACACGGGTGATGGGGTGAGTTTAGCTGCGGAGTCGAATTTTACTGATCAGCTAGAGATTAAGCTGCTTATATGATCTTAAGTATTGAAAGTATAGATAAAGAAAGAATAGCTAAAGAAAGCATAGCTAAAGAAAGAATAGATAAAGAAAGCATAGATAAAGAAAGCATAGATAAAGGAAGCATAGATAAAGAAAGCATGGATAAAGAAAGTATAGATAAAGAAAGCATAGCTAAAGAAAGCATAGCTAAAGATCTTCAGGTTGCTGAAGATCTTTACTGGACAACAGTTAGTTTTCAACTGATAACCTCGTAGCACAAAAGGCAGGCAAAAGACAGACAAAAGGCTAAGATAGAGTAGATGTCGATATGCGATTTATCGATAAAGATATTCAGGTGTTCATTGAGATATTCAACTCTTTAGGTTGCTGTTTACACAAGTTATTTCCATGACGCTTTTTTTCAATTCGCTCTCGTCGCCAATGCAAGCCTTGCCAACAACAATAATGTCTATGATCCGGTGAAAGTCAACAGCTATGTCTCGTCGACAATCTCGTCGTTTCAAGGTGCCAACTATTGCATTCTAAACTATTCTAAAGTCTAACTAAAGAAAAAGAAAAACAAAAACAAAAACAAAAAACTGCATCGGGGATGCTAATTTGCTAATTTTTGCTTAGAAAAAATAGATTTTCCTAATTTCAGGCTATTCGGGCTTTGTTGAAATGACCAGCAATGGAACGCGTCTCCCACAATTCTTCCTCTACGGTTTAGATCCAAATTATCAACAAAAACTCTTCCTCAACATTTCTCCGATTTCCGACGATTCTTATTATATGGTAATTTGATATTTCTTTCTCTTTTTATATCTTTATTATATCAGATTCTTTAGATTCTTTAGATTCAGATATATTTTAATTTTTCTCTTTCAGTCAGTCACTGAACTCTACACGAGTGAGACTGGATCGATTTGGGCGAATCGCGGTGGGGTGAGGCCATTGGCAAAGCCGGTTTGCGGGTGAGTTTTTTAAATTTACATACAGTGGCGGACAATTAAATAGAACCGATGCTCCATTTGCACAAAGACCACGAATTTTCCAACAAAACTTGCAACAAAATTAATGAAATCGAAAGTTTCGAAAAAAAGCAGATTTCAAGATCGGTTCTATTTAATTGTCGCCGCTATAATGGGGTAGGCTGAAGGAAACCTAAACTACCAAGTTACAGAGAAAGAACTTTCAGCTAAGAGCGGTGCCAATCGAAAGCTAAGAAAACATAAAAAAAATAGCTGTTGATGTCTTTTTGAATGGGTGTGAAAATAATGGAAAATTCGTGATCTTTGTGCAAATGGAGCATCGGTTCTATTTAATTGTCCGCCACTGTAGCTAGCTAGCCAAAATCTCATCAAATGTTGTAGCTTTAGTCAAGTAGTTCTTTGAAAAGCCAAAGCTGAAGCCAAGTCTTTAATTCTGGCCTGGAGACAGCTAGAAACTGCCTCTAATAGAACGCCACTCTAATACAACGCCATAATAACGAGCGTACAGTCGCGTAGTCTAACTTTAAACGTCCCATTCTCAGCATTGCTTTATGCTAAAGTGTGGGTTTGGGTATGATAGCCTTTGAAATCTAGTATTTTTTGGTACCAAAATTTTTTGGTGCCATTTTTTGGTACCAAAATCTAGTTAGAAAAATTCTAGGAGCTGAGAAAAAATGACAAGGCGACTGTACGAGGAGGTGGCGTTCTATTAGAGTATTTACGGTAGTAAGCTCGCTATTGTCAACTCTACAACTCTACAACTTTGCCTTTTGTTCTCATATTGTTGCTAACATTAAATCATAGCCATTTAGAGCCAAAGCAAGTCAAAAGCTTTAAAATAACGGCTTGGTTTAGCTTTTTGTTTTTGGCAATTTTTGGCAAACCGCACCTATAAGAGAGCGTCACGGCTAGGAAAGCTGCTTTCCTAGCCTGCTTTCCTGCTAGGAAAGCAGCGGTGGTTTATGGGATAGTGTGCTAGACTCCAAAACCTGTTCCATTTTTGCTCTCGGGTTCAATTCCGCTTGCCGCCAAATTAAGTAAGATTTGAGTTTTTGCCTTACAAGCATACAAGATCGAAGCATTCAAGGCAAAGAAAAGCCAAGGAATTGAAACTTTGCTTGAGAACGATTCTAGAGCTATGCCTTGGCTTGTAAAATTTCTAGAACTGATTTTTGAGTTAGCGAAAACGGTTCTAGAACTGAAATCTCTATAATCGTTCAACTTTCCAGTGATTACTTGCAGATTCACTGGCGATGAGTGTCCACAAAGCGTTTGGCAGCAAAGCGGTGGGTACATTATTGGCGGCGGAGTGTTGCTGATCGTGTTCAGCATTGCGCTTATTTTCCTCGCGATCTACTTATACTAGTGAGTTTGTATACTAGTTTTTACTAGTTTATACGAGTTTGTACTAGTTTATACTAGTTTGTACTAGTTTTTATACTTCTAGAAGATCAATCAATTTTAAATCTCGAATTTCACTTAGATAGCAAAAAAAATTTACAGTCAGAAAAAGCGGGAGCAGGAGCGCCTCGACGCCGAGTGGAAAATCCCGCACTCGATGCTCGAGACGCCAAATATGAGGGTGAATTTCGCTGTAATGTCTACGATTTTATCGAAATCTTTAGGAAATCGACAAATCAAAGATCTCACTTCAATCGGGCAACTCAGGCAACTCGAAAAACACCCAAGGAACGCAGAGGACTACGAAATCGACATCGACAATGAATGTACGACTGAGTTTAATGCTAATTTCTAGTTTATAAGGATAATCTACTGTATCTAAACTAGAGTTGTAGCATTTAAAATGAAAAAATTAAAATAAATGGCCTTACGGCGGGTCGAAGCCGAACCGTGTGGGCTGTAGTAAAGCGCGCTCTCGACTACACCACGGGGAGAAGTGAAGCTGTGGAGAGAAAAAGCCCGATAGCCGTCAGGGTTATAGCTGGTTATAACATAATAAGATATTCAATTATCAAGCTAGATAACATAAAAAGATATTCAACTATCAAGGAAATAAGCATAAAAAGATATTCAATTATCAAAGAATTAAACATAAAAAGATATTCAATTAAGCTATTTCAGGATAAAAGCGTATTTTTCCTTTCTGGTGAGCCAGTGCAAACGAAAACCCACCATCAGACGGCTTACTTCACTGAGTTTGATTTTAAACAGTTTAGAGAGGTAAAGCAATGATGTTTTTTAGTACTCTTTTTTTACATATTTACTTTTAGATGCGAAAAATGGAACACGACAACATTTGCCGTTTTTTGGGTCTTTGCATTGAAGTTGCACCGCCGATGTCAGTGTGGAAATTTTGTGGACGCGGCTCGTTGGATGTGAGTGTTTTTACCGTTAAGTTATAGTGTTTTTAACAATTTCAATTTTCTCTGGGCAATGTTTGAAAAAGAAATTTTTACATTCAAAAGCTAAGCTAATTAATGTTTTTTTAAAGAGTATTCTAAAAAATTTTTTTAGGAAGCAATCATGAAATCATCGCTCGAGTTCGACGGTTTCTTTATGTATTCCCTGATTCGAGATATTGTTGCCGGATTGGCGTACATTCACAAATCGACTCTGCAAATGCATGGACGATTCAGGTATTCGAAAGATTTTGTGTATTAGGTATTTGGTTTTCAACTAAATAACCGGCGTTTTTTGGAAAAAATTGAAATGATGACTGCACCAAATGAGCGGCGGTGGCTACTTTGCGCCAAATTTTTTGCGCAACTCGCCATAACTTTCTTCTTCGTCAATCTTTATGATTTTGGTGTCATTTTGTTACACTTGTTGAGGTCTACAAGATCAAGGAAGTTATGGCGAGTCGCGCAAAAGACCTAGTTGCGCAAAAAATTTGGCGCAAAGTAGCCATCCTCCAGATTAAGACAGATTTTCTATATTTTTAGTAAAATTTTTAACCAAATCCATCCAGCCGTTTTTTTCTGAATTTTGGTTTGAAGAAAAGTTCAAATAAAGAATTTTGATCATCTGAATAACTTGAAATTTGTAGAAAACAGCTGCATGGATTTTACTGGAAATTTCACTAAAATTTAAGAGAGATTATTCTTTCTTTGGCATAGATGTCAATTCCCATCAAAAAAGTTGCCAAAAGTTCTTGCCAATTTTCCCTACTCGCCTTTGCGTTCCTGAAAAACCCTCCAAAAACGAAAGCTTTTCTAAATTGGCAAAACTGGAAATATAGATCTTTCCAATGGTGCAAATTGTACTTTCTTTAGTGCATTCAACATTTGTAAAACTGTTAATTCGAATCCAACAATACCTTTTAGTTCTCACATTTGCATGATTGACGATCGATGGCAATTGAAGATCAGCGGCTTTGGGTTGACGTCACTCAAGGAAATCAACAGTGAAGAAGCATATCAAGGTGGGATCTTGTAAATCGAATCTTTAATTATTATTAGGTTTACTCTGGACTTCACCCGAGATTCTTCGCGGAAACGTTGTCCGGTCGAAAGCCGCTGATGTTTATGCTTTCGCCATCGTTGCCTCACAGATTGTCACAAGGAAAAGCGCTTTTAATTTCGAGAATCGACGAGAGAGTACAGAAGGTGGAATTGCAAGAAGCTTAACAATATAAAGTGGCTTTTAGAAATCGTTTATGCCGTGAAAAAGGGGTTGAATCCGTTGATGAGGCCGTCAATTGAAGTGCCCGATGGAGTGGATTTAAGTCCGGCTATTGTAAGTTACAATTCGTTTTCCTTATTGGTCAATTTGTTTTCTAAAACGCATCTACTTTTAGAAAACTACAGTAATCACACAACTAAAACTCAATCTTTTTCAGATACATTTGATTCGAGATTGTTGGGCAGAAAGTCCCGATGATCGTCCGTACATTGAAACAACAGAGAACCTCGTGAAAGCGATGGTAAGAGATATGAAGAGAAATTACATTGAAATTGTATTTATCTATTTATAAATTAAAAACTTTTAGAATATTGGAAAGAATCAAAATCTGATGGATCATGTGTTCCAAATGATGGAATCATATGCAGAAACATTAGAGAAAGAAGTCGAAGATCGAACGAAACAATTGAGTGAGGAGAAGAAAAAGAGCGACATTCTGTTGAATCGCATGTTGCCAAAGTGAGTTTAGAGGATTGGTTGTTGTTGTGGATAAACGTGTGCCACTTTGTCTAAATGTTGGGTAATTAAACCGGTTTTCTTAATTAGATTTACCTAAACATGCGTTCATCCACAACAAAAGCAACAAGTGCTTCAAATTGGGATAACTGAACCAAAGCAGGCAGCAAGCTAGGCCAACTCAACTTGCGTAGCTAAACCGGAAAAAGTGCAGTAGTTCAGTGCTTAATTTTATCCAAAACTAAAAACTTTCAGACAAGTGGCCGAACGCTTGAAATTGGGTCAATCAATTGAGCCGGAGAGCTACGAGATGGTCACGATTTTCTTCTGCGATGTTGTCAAATTCACGAATTTAGCCGCTCGATGCACTCCTTTACAAGTAGAGAAGGCTAAACTAAAAACTACAAATGTTTTTTTTTCAGATTGTCAACATTCTCAACGACTTGTACTCCACTTTTGACACTGTTGTTGAAAAGCATTCCGTTTATAAGGTAACGTAAAAGCTATTCAGTTAGAATATCTAAAGTTTTAGGTGGAAACAATTGGAGACGCGTATCTTTGTGTTTCTGGATTGCCAGTGCGGAATGGGGTTCAACACGTGAAGAATATTGCCGATATGTCGCTTGATTTCTTGGAAACTGTAAAGGTTGGTGATTTGATCCGATTCGAATCCGGAATCTGGGAAATTCGGAGTCCGATCTAGTCAGCTAGTTTTGGAGAACGTGATGCAGAATTTGAAGAAAAATCCAGCAAAATCTAACAAAAGTTTTGCCAAAAAGGAATCGAACTTGGGGGGAAAATGTAGTGATCGTTTTTTATGCAAGCGTTTTATTCACTATACCACCAAGTCACGTTTGAGGTCTCTGAGAGAACCGTTTTAAAGGCATCCGGCTCCAAATTTTCGATTCGAGAATCGATTGGCGATATTCATTAAGTCTACTATTTGGATTTTATTAAGTCTGGAACTCGGGTTTAGTTTTAGAAGAACTTGAAAACTTATTAGCCTATTTTTGAGAGATTCGCAGCTTTCAAATAGTTTACTCTATTAGATCTTTTCAGGGTTTCCGAATCAGTCATATGCCGACTGAGAGAATTCAATTGAGAGTCGGAATGCATTCAGGGCCTTGTGTTGCCGGGGTGGTTGGGTTGACAATGCCGAGGTGAGTTGGGGAACCTGTGCACATTGCTTCTTGAAGTAATCTTGGATGAAGAAAGCTCAAAAAAACCTTTCTAGATACTGTCTCTTTGGTGACACAGTCAACACAGCATCACGAATGGAAAGCAACGGGAAACGTGAGTTTTTCGACAACGAAAAATTACTCTAAAATTATTTTAGCGAGCATGATTCACGTATCAGCAGAGGCTCACGATTTGTTGCTGAAATTCCCAGGATATATAATGGAGGAACGAGGAGAAGTTATCATAAAAGTACGTAAATGTTTGGTTTATTTACCCAAGCAACATTTAGAGGGTTAGAGAGTCATTCATTTACCTATTATTGTCTTGACATCCCACTGTAGCTAATACGATTGTAAAATACACAAAATCTACCGTAAATACTGTAATAGTATCCCACCCCCATAATGACGGTGCGGAGTGTTGCGTAGTCTAGCTTTGGACGCGTTTTTCTCGACACTGGTTTATGCTACAATGCTACAACATATATCAAAAAATAGCTGAGATTCAGGGCTATTTTTTGATACCTAAACGCGCATTGTAGCATAAAGCAGCGCAGAGAACGGGATGTTTAAAGTTAGACTACGCAACCACCCCGAAAAAACGCGTTTTTCTCGACACTGGTTTATGCTACAATGCTCGTTTAGATATCAAAAAATAGCTGAAATTCAGGGCTATTTTTTGATACTAAATACGCATTTTTTGAAAGTACGGGCGCTTTGAAAAAAATGAAACACTAAAAAACTTTTGCGACTACACGGATGTACGAGGGCGGTGGGGTACTTTTACAGTGTTTACGGTATGTATAATATAAAACTTTAACACTCTAAAATTATCCATTAAATTAGTTTATCTATTGAAATTGATAAAGATTCGAAGATTCACAGCTTTATTTTGATTATAAAATTTGAATAGTACTCTGTTTCCTTTTTAGGGTAAAGGAGTCATGGAGACTTTCTGGTTGCTCGGCCGAAACGACAATACATAATCGAAATCGACAAACAAATACAAAAAAAACTATTTAAAATCTTTAATTTGTAATAAAAACATTTTCAAAATTCAAATTGCACAAAAGGTTTTAGTTCAATGAATCAAAAGAATTTTCTCAGCCAATTTTGAGTTGTCTGACTATGTTTCCAAGGTGATTTGGGTTTTCTAAAAAGATTGCTACAAAAATTTTGAGCATTTTATGATTTAAAATGATGCAATGACGATGAAATCGAGAATTTTCTACCCGAAAATACCTAGGAGTTGCCCGAGGTGAGTTCTTGGGGTTTCTTTTTCTTCTTTTTCTTTGGTGTAAACTTTTTCGATCTTCTAGCGCTTTGAATGCTTTTGAGATTTCAAAATTTAATGTAAGGCTTAGGCTTAGGCTTAGGCTAAGGCTTAGGCTAAGCCGAGCGTTCAAACTGATATACAGTTGGTCAACGATCTATTTCTATATGTCTGTTTATCTTTTATAAAATTTTCTTTATCTATTCTGTACTTATTTTGTACTTTATTAGTTTTAACATTTTTTTTCTTTAATCCTATTTTTCTTTTTTCTTTTTGTCTATTCAAGATTTAAGTTTTATTTTTAGGCGATGGATCGTTGGATGAACTTGAAGAGCTTCGAGATTGCCTCGAGCGAAATGCGATTTTTTTTTGAGGAGGAACGTTAGCAGGCTTCTACGAATAGATTGGCCAGAAAACGAGGTGGATGAGAAAACTAGAGAGAGAGAACGATCGCTCAATGTTCGGAGAACGCTTGTTCAAGGGAAGAGAACGACGAAGAACTATTCAGCTCTTCCCGAAGGCGCAAGGCCGATTTAAAGCAGCTTAAATTGGAAGCTGGAATACGTCAAGGATTTTTCTGTGCACGCAAGAAGTATCGAGTTGATCGTGCAATGCTTCAACGATGAATCGGACAAAAAAAAGTTGTGCGGTAAGAAAGCCAAGCAAAACGTTTGAAAGAAGGCAGGCGAAATTTGACGTCCAGTTGGAGTAAAAGCTGTTGAAATGGATCAAAGAGCGAAACACGAAAATCAAAGCTTCTCGGCATTTGATCGGAGAACAAGCGCTCAAGATTGGATCTGGTTCACTCGAAGAATTCAACAACAACTTTGCAGCGATTAAAGGATGTTTACAGAAGTTTCTCAAGAGAAATGGATTCACACTTCGGATTTCTACTCGCACAAAAGCCACCAAAAGAATTCAAAGACGTCATCATGAACTTTGTGATTTTTCTTTCACAACTTTGCCAAAAAGAAAGAGATTAGATGATGAAGAAATAGATGATCTACGCTTTTGATGAAACTAGAATATAGTTTGTTTGATAGTTTGATATAGTTTGATCCAATTGGATTTCATTGTTTGTATTTTCTTGTTGTTCAATGATATTTTGTTACCAATTTGTTCGATTTCGAATTTTTGCATTAAAAAAGCCCCAGGGTTTCTATTAGAGTTTTTAGCGTTTCTTTTTATGATGAATTCTTCTCGTTTTAGATTTCCGATCGATAAAACCGAAGGTGCAGCTCATGGAGTTCTCAATGTTCGATGTGCTAGCTGCAGTTCAACAATCTCGACAAAATATGGTGAGAGTTACATGTAATATAAAATATTTTAAGACTTAGATGCTTTTGAACAAAAAAAAATGTTGAAATTTTGAAAATTTTAGCGCGTTAAGATTGAAAAGCAAATCATTTAAACATTTTTTGAATCAAAAGTGTTTGATTTTTTTTTTTTTTTTGAAAACGAAACATTTCTGTTCATGAATATGAGTGAGCAAACATTTCTCTCAAAATTTAAAAAGAAATTTCTCCATTGACCTATTGAATTGCTTTTTTTTTAATAGAATGGCCTTTAAAATGCCTCTAAAATGCTTTTTAAGTGATTTCCTTTCATTTTTTTTTTCATGGTAAGAAAAAATTTGGCTAATTTTGAGTGTTTAAGTTCAAATCAATGAGCACCAAATCACATTGTGCTCACTTTCTCGAAGACTATCAAACCAGTTCAATTCGTCAATGCAGTCGTTCTTTTCACTGTTCATTTCATTGTGTCTCTCTCGTATGTCGATTTTTGATGATTCGATCAATCGATCAATCACTCATTTCTCCCATTTTTCCTCTTTTCATCGATCAATCACTTTTCCTTGTTTTACTTCTACATTTATTAATGACAAGTATAAGCTAGCTTGTTATCAGTTCTATCAGGTTGAGCTAGTTCCATTAGACTCCATCAGATATATGAAGCAATTATGGTATTATAAAGCAAGAACAAGTGATCACGTGCGTACAGGATGTTCAACAATACACAGTCAGCTTACTAGGGAATGTGATCAAATCAAGATCAAGTTTTCACATGAGTCCATCTGATAGAGTTTTCATGAATTCTGAATATGTTTTTAGTTTTTCCGGAACGTTTCTGTAAAGCGAGATATTTGGCATAAAAGATTTGGCTTTTTTCAGCTGATTTAGAAGCTTTTCTCATTATTTTCGATGGCCTAATGGTTAGGATGGCCGCGTTTGAAACTTTTACCCCTGATTCGAACCCCTTCACTGGTCACTCTTTTTTGCTTTTTGTTTAATTACCAAAAACTATGATCTTGACTCGTTCTTGATTCGATCTTGCCTTGAAAAAATTCCCTAGCAAGCTGACTGTGTATTATATGCACGTATATCAATTTTCCTTGCTTTGTAATCCCAAAATTGCTTCATATATCTGTTTTCTTTCGCTATTATTTGCCTTTCAGTTGCTAGGAATCGATTCCAAGTCAGGTTGTGCAAAAAACAGACAAAAGTTGAAGCATTTTAGCTGAGTCAGCATGAGCATGAGCAGTCAGCTGAGTCCATTTCAGCCATCGATATGTTCAAACCTCTTCATCTTGTCCAAATTACTGTAATCTTTCACTAATAACAAGGTGCTATCGAAAAATAGATCTGAAGGCTTTTTTTTGTCTCAATCTTTAGTCCATTTTTCTTGTGGTTATCAATTTGGTGACACACGGGGGACTCCAAGTGAGAGCCTCACTCCTCCTAGGCAATCCCAAGCCTCTTCTCGGCGATGAAAGGGATAAGCACAGCACACATTTACATAAGAATAGACAAATCATTCAATAATAACAATAGTAATTAAAATATCAGTTTGCCTCGGAGCTGACACTCCAAAATAATGGAGAGTATTTAATGGTTGCATGTAAAATATTGAATAAATTGGCTGGCTTATCAAATGGTTTTAAACTGATTAATAACTAGCAATGATGAAGTAACTTTTGCATTTTTATTTTTATCATTTCAAATCTTTTCCTAAACGATTAAAAATACGAAACAATGACTATTTCTGCAAAAAGCTAAGCAAACAAATGGAAAGGGAAAGAGATGTTTTGTTTCTAAATTTTCGCTTAGAATTTCCTCACTGAAACATTTTTCAGTTGATTTTACATAATTTTCAATAGATTTTTTACTCGTTTAAACTTTAAAAAGCGTGAGAACTCTTTTCCATTTCCATTTCCATTTCCATTTCATCCATTTTGTCCTCTATTTCAAGGTCACTCGATTGTATGCCTCATTCGTTTCCCGCCCTAAAAAATAAAAAATAGGAATTGAAATGGGAAAAGAAAAGACGAATTTTTCGAATGTGCCAAAAGGATAATTGCCCATATAGACTAAAAAAAACTCCCCCGTTTAAGATCTTTTCTTCTTTTCTTATGAAAATCGATTTTGAATCTATTACCTCAATAAATAGATGAATAAAAAACAAAGAAAACATTCTTTTTCGGGAGTGGGACAAACGCGACCTTTTTTTTGTGCACCCGGACATTTGCGCACCTTTTTTCGCGTTTTAAAAAAGCTCTAAAAAGCTAAAAAGCTCTAATATTAACCAATTTCTATTCCAAAAATTGTTTTTTTAGGTAATTTGAGGGTGTCGAATTCAAATTTTGACATAACAGAGCGTGTGGAACCAATTTGATAGATAAAACGGCTAGATCAAATTACAGAAAATAAAATTGTCGATTTTTCTCTTTGTATAACTCTGTCCGTTCACTTCCACAAGCTCTGATATGTCAAAATTTCGATTCTACGCCCTAAAATTACCTAGAAAAACAACTTTTGGAATAGAAATTGGTTAATATTAGAGCTTTTTAGAGCTTTTTTAAAACGCGAAAAAAGGTGCGCTAATGGGCAAGGTGCGGAAAAAAAGGTGCGCAAATGTCCGGGTGCGCAAAAAAAAGGTCGCATTTGTCCCACTCCCGAAAACATTCTTTTTCTCTTCAACTTTTTGTAATTAACTCAAATCTTGACGAAATTTTTAACCTTTTTTTGACCTTTTTTAAGCTCAACTTCCATTTCCAATCAACCCATCCATTGTAACTTTAGTGAATTCGGAACTCTTTACCCTATTTGTAACTTCAGAAGTTCTCCCCACATTCGATTTGCGTCAATGCAAAGAGCTTTGCCTTCACTTTTTTTGTCTCTTTAAGGTTTTTTTTATTTACCCATGTCTCAAATTGAAACCTTATGCAGAACTTCTATGAGAAAAAAAGAGAAAAGGGATTTCATTTTAAAAATGTAAAAATCATTAAAGTTTTTTTTTTTCTAAAAAGTTTTCTTGTTAAGCCAATTTCTGTAAACAAATCTCTAATTCTCGTTTTATTTATCAATTTCTAAAGTTATTCTTGTTCACTTTGATTAACTGTATTTGATTTCTGTTTTCCTAACGAATATTCTTGTAGGCAGAGAAAGAAGGAGAAGAGGAAGAAGAAGAGGAAGAAGAAGAGGAAAGAAGAAGAGGAGGAAGAAGAACCGGATAGAAAAGAGACTTTTTGCTGATTCGGCCGATCTCATCATCTGATTTGAAGGAAAGAGAGAAAGAGAGTGAAAGAGGAGAAGAGAGAAATGGAAGAAGAAGAAGGGAATGAGGGGAGTGCCCGGCTGTGTCCCTGTTGGCCTCCATCTAGACATCACAGGTTGGCAGAGGAAACGTTTATCTTCAGCTTTCCATTCTTTCTTCTATATCCGATATTGTATCAAATGTACCACTCTTATCATTGTTCTTATGTTCTTTAAATTCTTAATTTCTTAAGTTTCTTAAGTCATTTAATCTGTTTAAAGTCTAAAAAACTGATGTCAGGGAGGGGAAATCTCGAAATGGTCTTATGATGGAAGAAGAAAACGAAAGGAATGGAAAGAAAAGTGATAAGGAAAAGAATGGAAATCGAAGAAGACCGAATAAAGATGGAGAGAATAGACAAATTGGGCAGATCGGGAGGAATACAAGTCCCAATCGAATTCGCCGTTTCTTCACTTCAATTCGCGAGCGAGTCGTCGGTGGGTTTTTTTTTGTTTATCGAAATTTTTGTCATTAATCTCAAAGTTTGTAAGCTTATTTGTCTTTGGCGCACTTTTATAATCGAAATGCTAAATTTCAATACTAGTTTGGTAGGATGCACTTTGTGCTTTAACAGAAACAACCTTTTCTGGTGGACTCAATTGTCTTTCTATAAAGCTTGATCTATAATGCTTGAGCTATAGAGCTTGAGCTATAGAGCTTGAGCTATAGAGCTTGAGCTAGAGCTAGAGCTAGAGCTAGAGCTTTAGCTACAAAGCTTGAGCTATAAAGCTTGAGCTAGAGCTAGAGCTATAAAGCTTGAGCTATAAAGCTTTAGCTATAAAGCTTTAGCTATAGAGCTTCAGCTATAGAGCTTCAGCTCTAAAGCTTGAGCTATAAAACTTGAGCTCTAAAGCTTGAGCTATAAAGCTTGAGCTAGAGCTTGAAACCCCGTTTTCTGAATGTTAAAACGTTTTCCTAGTTCGAGAGATCTTATATCATAGTACTCATTTCACGCCATCTTATCCCTTTTTCATTAAAGATTGAGTGTAGTTGAGCAATCAAATTACAAATTTGTCTATTCTAATTGAGCTTTTTTCTGTAAATTTGTATGATCGCTATAAAATGAAACTCTAATAACTTAATTTATGGTTTTCTTTTATTTCTTTCATCAATCATCAAATTGTTGTCTGTTTTTGAAACAGATCAATATCTTAAAATTGAACTATTAGGGCAAAGTGTGCACTTTTTAGTCGCTTATCTCAAAATTCGTCAGGCCAGAGTTTAGGGAGCAATATAATGGATAGAAAAGAAAAGAAAAATAAAATATAGACTAGAAAAACTCCAACCATTCCAGAAAAATAACAAAAAGAGAATGAAAAAAAAAGTTGGAAAAGAAGAAAAGAGAGAATTTTGAAAGGGGAAAAGGCTGATGAACAAAAGTGATGGAAAAAAACGAAAAAGAGAACCCTAAAGTAGCCAGCCGATCAATGGGCAAAAGTGACTCGATTTCCCGCCTTTTCTTGTCTTTTCTGTCCTTTCTGTTTTTTTGTTTGTTAAGATTTTATCTGGATTTTCTGATTTTGAAACAATTGAATCAATCAATCAATGTTAGACAAGAAAAGAGGTTGTTTTGGTGATAATTTTTTGATTTTAAACAAATTTTTCATTTTCAAGTTTAATTGGGGTAAATTCAAAGTAAAATAGAGTTTAAAAGGGGATTTCTTATAAATTTTTAAATTATTGAGTTAAAAATAGCATTTAATTTCTTTAATTTCTTTTATATTCATATGAAATGTTGCATTTATTCACAGATTGGATTAAAAAAAAAGCCATTTTCCCATTTTTACATACCCATTTTCCCAAAAAAGCCATTTTTACAAAATGTTTTCACGAATTCGTTGGCGTTTCACATTTCACATGAACATTTTGCGTAAGTATTTAGTTTTTAAACTTTTATCAAGTGCAGATGATCATTTTAAAGCCATTAAAGGCAAGGTTTCTCTTCAGAATACTCAATTTTGCTAAGTACTTGGCAGTAAAACGCTATTTGTTTTGTCAATCAATGAGCATTTTTGTTCTTTTGTTCTTTTGTCTTTTCTTCCGTTCCTTTTTGCCTTCTCATCTTTCAACCAATGAAATTTTCGCCATTTCGTCATTCATGTAAACATTTTGACCAACAAAATGACAAATTTCGGGCACTTTAAGACACTTTTTAACTTTTAATTTGATCTGTTCTGTTCATTTTAAGCTAAAACATTTTTTTCCATGTCAAAATCTTTAAAATTTCAATTCTAAAGGTCAAATCCCGAAAAAATCTGTTCAAATTTGGAATTTTCCCTTTCTTTGTGTTCTTTTTTCAAGGCTACCCCTAAAAAGTGCATAAGGCGGCAAAAAATATACGAGCGGGAATCCAAATCCGCTCTTTTTAACGGTCAATCTTCTAAATTTTTATGTTTAACTCAAGAATTGGCCTTATTTTGCAATTCTAAAAGTACCTTTAGCACTTTTTTTGATGTCATTGATGCTCGGAAACCTTTTAAAAAGAATTTTATCAAATTCATGATGTTTGTATTGAAAAAACACTAACTTGCAGCAATCCAACGAAATTTTAAAATGAAAGGAATGAACTGCAAGAACCTTTAAATAGCCCCGCGCGCCAAGCCAAAAACATTCAAGCTATTAACTGAATATCAAGGACAAGAAGAATTCTTTATTAAATAACGAAAGTTCGCGAAATTATTCACTTCTCTTATGGGAAATTTAATTTTTTGTTTAGCTCGCGTCGGCGCGAGCAACACGTCAGAAAGCACGGGAGCTGTCGCATCCGCCGCATCGGCGATGGCGCCTCGCGCCACGCGGTTTGGACCCGTCTCACAGTCGCTCACGGGGGTAAGTTGTTTGCTAACCTATACTGTTTGATCCTCAAAGCTCTAAGCAACTTCTTGTTTTGTATTGTATTTAGTAGTTAGCTGTTTTTGTAGAAATATAATGATTACTCGTTTTTTTTTGCTGCATTGGCAATTCTTGTTTTTAGGTTCTCGAGCGGATATCGCAAGCACGAGCAGCAGTCGTCTACTCAACGGATGTAGAACGTGAAACTGGATCGGTATGGTTTACTTATTTAAATGTTTCTTTATAATTGGTTAGGACTGTAAATATAATAGATTGTTTTCTGTAAAAGGTTAAAAACATCTTTATATGATGGTTTATAAATTTCTTTTTTAGTTAGTCACTTTACTGAAGGATGCTGGAGTGGAGGATCCCCTCTGTCTACGGGTTGATGACGAGGCGAAAGGATTTCTTCATCGATTGACACTGCGTACGAATTGGCCGTTAGTTTACGTTAAGGTAAGCTGTTTAACGTAGTCATAGTGGTATTGCAATTCTTTAAATAACTTTTATCTTTAGGGAGACGCAGTTGGCGGATTGGAAGAGCTGAGCAAGATCGCGAAGAATGGTCACCTCACAGAATGGTTGAAAGAACATCAGTAAGTTTTATGAGCTGGAACATCTCACAACTTTACCTTTAAGGTACGATCTCGTCGTGCTCGGCGGTGGCTCAGGTGGACTTGCAGCGGCAAAAGAGGCAGCAAGGTTTTCCATTTTGAAAGAAACAAATTAATTATTTTTAGACTTGGCAAGAAAGTCGCGTGCCTCGATTTTGTGAAGCCGTCGACTCAAGGCACAACATGGGGACTCGGAGGAACATGTGTGAACGTTGGCTGTATCCCGAAGAAGTTGATGCATCAAGCGGCAGTACTTGGCGGTTCACTGAGTAAGGTTTTACGCTAATACACTCTTTTGAACCCTTAAACTTTGCAGATTTACCATTCCACTTTTAGAAGACGCACGTAAATTCGGTTGGAAGTTGCCTGAGGGGGAAATCGGCCACAATTGGAAGCTGATGAGAGATGGTATACAAGATCATATCGGTTCGCTCAATTGGGGATATCGGGTGCAACTTCGAGAAAAGAAGGTGAGCGATTTTCTTAGCTATATTTACTAATCAAACCATCTAGGGTTAAAAGTGTCCTAGCTAAAAAGTAGATGTGTTGCACGTTAACGTAAATCTTAAGGTTGACTACCTTAACGCTTATGGAGCGTTTACTGGATCTCACGAAATCACGTGCACGGACAAGAAGGGAAAGCAGGACAAGCTCACAGCCGACAAGTTCTTGATTGCCACCGGATTGCGGCCCAAATTCCCCGATCTTCCTGGAGCTAAAGAATATACAATTTCTAGGTAATACTTAACGTTTATCTCTAATTAGACGAAAATTTAGTGACGATCTCTTTGCTCTTCAATATTCTCCAGGAAAAACGCTATGCATTGGTGCTTCATACGTGTCTTTGGAGTGTGCTGGCTTTTTGAAAGGAATCGGATTGGATGTCACGGTATGTTTTTGGAATTAAGAATGATAGCTTGGTCAAGAGTTACTTGCTGAGCATTATTATGGTTAAACCAATTGTGATTTTATGTTTCAGGTGATGGTTCGATCGATCTTGCTACGCGGTTTTGATCAAGATTTTGCTGAACGAATCCGCGAACATATGATTCAATATGGGGTCAAATTTTTGAGGTTAGTTGTACACTGATGTATCGAAAATTATGCGTCTATTTAGTGCCATTCCTACCCGAATCGAAGAACTTGAACCGAGGACCAAAAAAGCAGCCGGACGGTTAATGGTTTATTGGGATGTGATCGATAAAGATGGAGTCAAGACCGAACATTCGGAGGAATTCAACACTGTGAGAATTTTGTTCGTCTAGAATTTAGCTTTTCATGTTTTACCAATCCAACTCTTAACGATTGTAAACAATTCTAGGTACTCTATGCTATTGGTCGTGAAGCGCGCACCGAAGATATTGGCCTTGAAGTGGTCGGAGTCGATAAAGCCAAGAGTGGAAAGGTATTGGTTCGATCTTTGAAATGACTATCTATTTCTGCTTAGGTTGTGGGTCTTCACGAGCAATCACAATCGGTTCCTTGGGTCTATGCGATTGGCGACGTTTTGGAGGGAAAGCCAGAGCTCACCCCGGTGGCAATTCAAGCTGGACGCGTGCTGGCACGACGAATCTTTACGGGAGCAAATGAATTGGTTTGTTTTAGTCTATCAATAAGACTAAATCTTAATTCCTTTTCATACCTAACTAAATAGTGCTTTTCAGACTGAATACGACGAAGTGCCAACGACAGTCTTCACACCTTTGGAATACGGATGTTGTGGTTTGCCTGAAGAAGATGCTATCAAGAAATATGGCAGGGTAGAGTTAACTCTGACTTTATTTTAATAATAGTAACATTGTTTTAGGACAACATCATTGTCTATCACAATGTGTTCATCCCGCTCGAATACACGGTCGCTGAGAGAATGGAGACAAAGCACTGCTATTGCAAGTTGATCTGCTTGAAGGACGATGAGGTAACTACTTTAAATAATAATATTATGAAACATTTGTGTAAATTTAGGAGCGTGTTGTCGGATTTCACATTTTGACACCATGGGCTGGAGAGATCACTCAAGGATTCGCGATTGGAATGAAGCTGGGAGCCAAGAAAAGCGATTTTGATCGTCTCATCGGAATTCACCCAACTGTCGCTGAGGTACGATTTCCTCATTGCTAAATAGTCAATCAAGAAGCAAGAATTTACAATGTGTTTTTCAGAACTTTACAACGCTCACCCTGGTGAAGAAAGAGGACGGCGAGAAGCTGGAAGCATCGGGTTGCTGAGGTTAAAGTGGGTTCCTTGTAGAGACTTATCCGATTTCTCCTAAATTATACCTTTGAGAAATTTCACATAGATTTGCTATCGGATAAGTCTTACTTGGAACCAGTCCCCTTGGCGGCCTGTTGTGGGTGTGCGCTTTGTGACGCCATCGGGCCAAACTCCTCGTGAGCGCCCGATACCTGATTCGTCGCCCGCGCAGCTGTCGTCCCCATTTATTCTTTTGGATATTTAAGTTCTTCGGTGATAGCTCGTTCGTTTACTCTATACTTGTGTCAATCACTAGTATTTTTTTCTAATTCTTTTGAGTTCAATTGCTGGGTATTTATTTATCATTCATGTATCATTTTTTCCCAAAACTTTTCTTGTCACGTTTGTACCGGTTTCAAATGTTTAGTGGCTCAGTTTTTAATCTAAATAAATAATTATTTTTCAACGCTAGTTACTGGGTGGAAAACGTTCAATGAAAGCCGTGACAATAGTAGGCAAAGGATGAAAAATAAACACAGTAGCAAAAAGTGTAGTTTGTGTTCTTTTCAAACGACTAATCGTTTTGTCTCTTGCCCGGATCAAAATAATTACCATAGTGCGCTTCATGCAGATGACCGGAGGGCTTCGTTCTGAAACTTTTACTCAAAAACAAAATACGACTGATTTTTATTCTGTTGCAGTCCAGCCGTTTTCGAAGAGATCTACAATGATCTTTGGTGTACGTGCTCAACATTTCATTTGTCGATTCATGCACGGATTGCAGCGAGACGGAAAGTCCAATTTTCCTCGAATGGACCTCAAAAAAGGCAAAAAAAATTTGGCCAACATGGTCCTCTCAGTTTACGATTCCCAACTCCACCCATCTAATGGTATCACATTGTGGAAAGGACGAACGTTATGAAAGTCCAGCACCATTGATGGATCATTTTAAGGGGTCTATCAAACTGTTGATGACTCGAGGAATTCTAAAAGAAAAAGTTGAGTTTGAGCATGCGATCAAACTAACAGGTTTGCTTTGTAGACATCAGCGCGCAAGGGTTTAATCCCTCGAGACTTCGGAAACTCTCATCGAGATTGATGTGATCGATGTGATGAATCGTTCACTTTTTAGTACACGTGCTGCAGTTCGCCCAAAATCTGCATTCACCATTTGGTTTCTGCTGTGTCGCAAAATTTATTACCAGCAAGCATTACGAAAAAAATGAATCAAGAATTGTTGAAAGGCATACAGTATATTCACACTCAAATTCGCGAAGTGCGCTTCCGGAAAAAACGATTTAGCTGGAGATTCTCCGTGAAGAATGAACGAAGCACGAAAACCTAAAAAAAAACATTTCACCAACATGTTTTCTTGGTTGGGGTTCATTTCGCCGAGCTTTTTTGTTTTGCTTATAACTTTGTCAAATGCCAACAGATTTAGATGTTTTTGGTGCCAATCAACGCAGAATTCAGATTCAGATATGCTGATATTTGACAAAGTTATAATCAAAAGAAAAAGCGCGGCGAAATGAACCCCAACCGAGAAAACATGAATTTGGTTCATTTAATTATTCAGCTCATTAAGATTACCTGAATGAAACCAATGATTGGAATGCAAACGAGAACAAGCAAGGCCAACGAATTCAAACTCTCAAAGTTTGTCTCGACAAGTGATCTAAACAAGATAAATTACCTAGTTTAAAATCAAAATAGGAAATTCTTACCGATGTTTGAGCTCAAGGGCGGTGCGCTGGGTAAGCAAATCTTCGACTTCTTTCAATGTCTGATGAATCACACGGGTTTGCTTCTAAAAAAGAATAGGATTTGAACAATGAATGCTGTACACTCTAGAAATTACTTAAACACTCAGTCACGTTAACTCAAACTCACATCGAACACTGTAATCGTTTCGAAAGCGGTCTGCTTTTGATTCTCGATTTTGATCAAATCCGATAGAGGAGTCCATTTCGCGTCGAGAAGATAGGCTGCCAGCCAGACCTGAAATAAAAATAACCGATAAAATATCGCTATAATAAACAGCTAGCAATTATGAGTCAAAAGTCACTCACTCGCGTCCCTCCACGTTGCTCACCGGTCACGCACAAACGATACATTCCGCTGGTGGTAAGGGAGAATCTAAAATGATCAAGGTTTAGAAATAAAAACAATAAAGCAAACTTTTCTTTGCGTCCTTGCGCGCCAGATATTTGGAGCAGTTGTTTTCCCGATTCGTCGAAAAGAGACACACGAGCCGATTCGCCGGGTGACAGTGCCTTAATTTAATAGGAATATGAGATGCTGATGCTGATGCTAATGCTGATGTTAGCTTTCAAAAACAAACAACGCCATAGAGGATCTGTAAAAATATAGGTAATTTGGTGCAACTTTTTGCACCTGAAGTTTGTGACCGGGGCTTTTTGTGCGCAAAAGACATTTTTCCATATCGTTGTGCGCAAATATCGCTGCGGTATTGTCATAGTCCCTATTTGATTACCGCAGAAAATGCAAAACTAGACTAGAAAAAACACGCGTAAAATAGAGTCTGGTCGGGCCAAGTCAAAGTGAACTTTATTAGCACCAAAAGCACCAACCTGATACCAAATACTCATCGACGGGGCTTCATCAACGTTGATTGACCAGAAGAAACATGTGTCGCTCGTTTCCGCCTTCAAACCGAGGGAAATCTAAAAGGAAATGATTGGAAAGGTTAAAAACATGTCCGATAATACGCTGAAGCAAAAAAAATGATGCTTTTTTATTAAAATGAGTGAAAAGCGATAGCTGTTAGCTTTTCTAAAAGTGGGATAGGCTACTTTGCGCCAAATTTTTTGCGCAACTTGCCATAACTTTCTTCTAAGTCGACCAATCTTTATGATTTTGCGCAACTCGCCATAAGTTCCTTGATCTTGTAGACCTCAACAAGTGCAACAAAATGAAACCAAAATCATAAAGATTGGTCGACTTAGAAAAAAGTTATGGCGAGTTGCGCAAACGACCCAGTTGCGCAAATGCCCTGTTGTGCAAAAAAAAGTTGCGGAAACTAGCCTACCCCCTAAAAGTTAAAGACAAGTTGGTACTTGTGGAGTATCCGGGGGGGTAAAATTTTAAGATCCGGGGGGTAAAATTTTATATACGTTATATACGACCCCTTTTAAAGATATTCAGCCGCTTAAGTGATTTGGTGGCAAATTCCCTTCAAATGTAAAGATATTCAATTTATTGAGGTGATTACTTGATTACGTGATTCGAGGTGATACTCGATCAAAAACGTAACTTCTACAAAATTTTTTTATGTCATTATTAGAAATGTTGATAATATCCTAGTTGGCGGCAAACATTTTCACACTAAATTGATGAAATTCTATTTAAAACGCTAAAATTAACGCAAAATGATATAAGTTTAAAGGTTTAAGTTTAAGGGTTTAACAAAAGGTTAAACATTTGCCTCAAGAATTTCATTTTTAGTTACAAAGCCTATGGTAAATGTAAAATTTCACGGAATTTGCGTTAATCTATTGATCTTTAGACCATTAATCAGATCATGAGCAATATTTTCGTTCTTCTTTTAAACTCTGAAAGCGATAGGTGCAAAAGATTGATAAAAGTAGCAGAATGGTCAAAAAGTAAAAAAAAAGGTTAAAATTTTACCCCACCGGAACCTATGAAAAAGCTTACTAAGAGTTTGTTTATCAACAATTTAAATAGAGATAAGTTAAATATAAGTTAAAAGCCTCTGGGAAAAAGGACAAATTCAAATAGAGTAATATAAATGTCTGGCTGCTTTAAATAGGTTGTTGGCGATTGCCCACGTTTTAGCGGGCAGAAAGTCGCAAAACGTCATTTTCAACTTAAAAAGGCATCAAGTCTTCGCAGAGTTGATCGATTTTTATTTTTTTGGTATCAAAATGATCTTTATAAAGGTCCACACAAAAGTTATCGGTTTTGAGGGCGCAATCTTTCGACCACGCTGAAAACGAGCCGCCGAAAGTTGGTCACTGCGAGCGAGTTGCTTGTAAAAGTGCGATTTTTAAAAAATGTATCAGACGGATTTCGATAATTTTTTCACCATTGAAATCAGCACATTTTTCTGCGTTGAATGGCTATTCAAACATGGAAAACGGATAGAAAACGATTTTTCGCCTTATTTCGCGCGGATGTGCCCCCCCGGATACTCCACAAATACCGACAAGTTAATATAAAATGATAATAATAATAAAATAAAGTTAAAATCAAAAGTTACTTCATGATCGGTCAGAACCGACGCGGAAAAGGGGAAAATGATTGAAATGACCAACAGCAAGAGGAACATTTTGGTGCCGAAATGCCGAAAATTTTCTTTTAACTCTGTCCGTCTGTCTTGAAAATTCGTATGCAGATTTCAAGAGTTTTCTAGAAAATTTTCAAATTTCTGCAAGTTTTAAAGCTCTTTTTAGAGACATTTAAGTGTTTTCTGCAAAGTATCATTTAAAGTTTTTATCCAAATCTATTTGTGAAGTTTCTTTTAATTTTGGACATTCGATTAACGCCCATTCTTGTGGTTCAGCTGAAAAATGCATTTTTGGTTTTGTAAAGCTTTGCAAAGCTTTGTTTTCCAGAGCTTACCTGATCCAAATAGCAAGAAATAAATCCCAGCCAAAATTTTTGTTGTTCCTAGCGTGCAAAAGATGATTTGCCAGCGGAAAGCAGCTGGCTGAAGTCTTGTGTTTTTCCAAATTACAATAAACTTACCACTGAAGATAGGAGGCTAACAAAATTTGTGCCTATAAGTTGCCCGACGCTCCCGTACACTTTCGAGACGGACATCATTGTGCCGGTGAATGGCGGAGCGATTGAGAGAGTCGATGTGAAATAGCCCATTGTACAAGTAGAATAGCAGGCACCTAGTGATGTTTGAAAGGGGATAAATAAGTAGGAGAAAAAATAAGGGCATTTTTCCCGATCACTCACCATACATTGCCAACAATGGCAGCGCTCTAAAGGGAAATTGGCAATCCGGCAAAAATGCCAAAAGAAATAAAGCTGTTGCGGCTCCAAAAGCGCCTGAATTGTCATAAATTGCCAAATCTTGTTTTTTTCGTTCAAAACCCGACTTATTGATTGAAATATTCTGACACCAGTTGTGTGTGTGAAGTAATTTCTTTTCTTTAAACAATCCCCAATTGGAGCCAAAATGTTTTTCGTTAATAGTTGACAAGTGAAGGGTAGCATTGTGAAGAAACCGTTCTAGAGGAATTGAAAGAAATTTGATTTAAAGAAAAAGATTTGATTGTTTACCTGTTTTATTGGTAAATGCAATACTTCTTTCATGTAGTGCGGTAAAAATGCTTGCATGATAATCACACAAAACATATCAACAAATGTGCACAAGTAGCAAGCCATTGAGACTTTTGAGAAGAGGATCGAAGACCATGGGACTTTGATGTTCTGAGGAAAGATTGTACTGGTGTCAGAGAATGTCAGAGAATGTGTCAGAGAATGTCAGAGATGGGAAATCCTCTCTAGCTCTCTAGCTCTCTAGCTAGCTCTCTAGCTCTCTAGCTAGCTCTCTAGCTCTCTAGCTAGCTCTCTAGCTAGCTCTCTAGCTCTCTAGCTAGCTCTCTAGCTCTCTAGCTCTCTAGCTAGCTCTCTAGCTCTCTAGCTCTATAGCTAGCTCTCTAGCTCTCTAGCTAGCTCTCTAGCTCTCTAGCTAGCTCTCTAGCTCTATAGCTAGCTCTCTAGCTCTATAGCTAGCTCTCTAGCTCTATAGCTAGCTCTCTAGCTCTATAGCTAGCTCTCTAGCTCTATAGCTAGCTCTCTAGCTCTATAGCTAGCTCTCTAGCTCTATAGCTAGCTCTCTAGCTCTATAGCTCTCTAGCTCTATAGCTAGCTCTCCTAGCTCTCTAGCTCTATAGCTAGCTCTCTAGCTAGCTCTCTAGCTCTATAGCTAGCTCTCTAGCTCTCTAGCTAACTCTCTAGCTCTCTAGCTCTCTAGCAACTTCCGATCTTTAATCAATTCAACTAGCTCTCTAGCAACTTTTCTGACATTGTAAAGTGGGTAAATGAACCGATATAACTTACTGATGGTAACGTTGAAGCAAGGAGATCGGTGTTCTCAAAATATCTCCTCTCTTGCACTCGCACGAATCGATTCTCCAATGGAGTATTCGTGATTCCAATCCACCAAAGGACAAATAAGACAAGAGTTATCAAAGCTAAAACAAAAGTTTAATCATAGAATTTGTTTGATACTTGAAAAGTAGAAGATAGTCGGCCATCCAAGGAACGATGAGCAAAAGATTGAGGACACCGCCGGGCTCACAGCGGCTGCGATCTAGAAAGCTTTACTTGTGAATGCTGTAAAGCATTTGGACTGTAATGATAAAAGACTATCATTACAGTAAGCCGCAAAAAGAGTATTCGAACAGGAAGTCTGAATACTTATGCTTATCTTGGCGCTAAATCGTTGAATACTAAATACAGAAGGAACTTGGACTTTAGAATATAATATTCAAGCGTTTCAACCTTTCAGATATCCTAAGAAAGATAGATTTCTATTAAAAATCTGATAATTTAGCTTTTAATTTAATATTTGGCAGGAAATCTAGCATTTAACAGGAAATCTAAGGGAAAGGAACCGAGATATCTAGATTTCAGACTCTAGAAGCCATCACACGCTCCCACAACAACTACCTCTGTGATCTAGTGAATAGTCTGCTAAACTACCGAACCTATTACAGTCTTTGTCCGTTATTGTTCATCAAGCTCGAGTCCCACTCTCGTCAATCCTTTTCCTTTCTACAGAAACCAACCGCATTTCCCGAAGTGAAGATAGCGGCCATGGAGGCTTTTTCAGCGGGAGCAAACCAACGAGAAGTTAGAGAGCTCAATGTGGGCAATACTAGACCCTAGAATAATATTTTAGTGACAAATCTTATGCTTTATTTTCCATCTTTACCTCCCCAAGTCCCATAACCACTCGATTCCCAAAGAATATCGAGTAGGAAGTTGATGAGGCCAAGAAAGGAGACAATGTTACAGTGATCAGATAGTCGAAAAGAGCTACTAAATAGGATATGATTTGAAAAAGGCTATGACTGAAAGCTATAACTGAAAGCTACGACTGAAAGCTATGATTGAAAGCTATGATTGAAAGCTATGACTGACTTAAGATGATAACTTTTGGTCCAAATCGATCAGCTAGATAACCAGCCCACCAAGTTGTTACAAGAACTCCGTAAAAACCGGCTGACATTACAAGAGATTTTTGATTTAATGTCCATAAGATTGTGCCCTAAAATGGTTACAACTAAAAATGCAAATCAGAAACTTACATTGTAGCCATTTTTAGCCGCCCATTCACCGCTTTCAGCTCCACATTTGATGTCTGATTGGAACTAGAGTTTAGATTTTATAAATGCTAAAGCCTGACAAACAAGATTTGATGAATAGGTTAGATTATATAAATCTTGATATAGATAAGCTGTAAGTGTTCATTTTAGTACTTAAAGTACTGTAAAGTACTGTAAAGGACTGTAAAGTAGTGTACTTAAAGTACTGTACTTAAAGTACTCTGCTTAGAGCTCCTTTAACTCAGCGTTTATCTGCAAATCTGCACTCTTTCCTCACCGTGAAATTCTTTTCCCATTTCACTTTCTCATTCACATCAAAAGCTGTCGAATTGACCATGCAAACGGTGGCAAAACCGAGATTTACTCGATTGATTGTGATACAAAAAGTGATCCCAGACATCAATAAAGCTACTCGAAATCGATGAGATTTCAGGGAATAGAAAGGAGACGCTGATTTTACACTATTCATTGCGCAAAGAATAGGTTTTAAATAGCTTTTACAATTCTACAATCGAAATATTTCAGTCGTTTTTTTTGAAAAGTATAGCTTTCCCCATTTCTCTCATGTAAAATTTGCATAAGTTCATTTTTTTGAGACAAAAAAATGATAAACAAAGAGTTCACTTTGGTAGAAAAAGCGTAAATCATGAGAGAATTGATTTTGCACACACATAATCACAAGTTACACATTAAGACCTAAGGAATATTCTATCGTTTATGTGAGACGGTGTAGGAGGAGAAGGACAAGTCTTAGTCTTAGACAAGTCTTAGTATTAGACAAGTCTACCCATTTGGATCCCTGGTTATCTCAATCCCGAGGGGAAGGGGCCTAAGGGAACCGATCTTGGGAACCGATCTTGGGAACCGATCTTGGGAACCGATCTTGGGAACCGATCTTGGGAACCGATCTTGGGAACCGATCTTGGGAACCGATCTTGGGAACCGATCTTGGGAACCGATCTTGGGAACCGATCTTGGGAACCGATCTTGGGAACCGATCTTGGGAACCGATCTTGGGAACCGATCTTGGGAACCGATCTTGGGAACCGGTCTTGGGAACCGGTCTTGGGAACCGGTCTTGGGAACCGGTCTTGGGAACCGGTCTTGGGAACCGGTCTTGGGAACCGGTCTTGGGAACCGGTCTTGGGAACCGGTCTTGGGAACCGGTCTTGGGAACCGGTCTTGGGAACCGGTCTTGGGAACCGGTCTTGGGAACCGGTCTTGGGAACCGGTCTTGGGAACCGGTCTTGGGAACCGGTCTTGGGAACCGGTCTTGGGAACCGGTCTTGGGAACCAGTTCACCATATGGGTGCGGTTACCTACAGCACTCGGTTCAGGGATTCGAACTAGAGAATCTAACCGAGCCCAACGTTGCTTAACTTGGCAGTGACTTGGCAGTGACGGGATACCGTGTTTCAACGTAGCGAGCATAATTGGATAATGTGAAAAAGATTGTATCCAAGCCCTCAAGATTGTATCCAAGCCCTCCAAGCCCACGACCTGAACGAGCTTCACCCTAAAAAAAGATAAGAAATGGAAAGATACGAAAATGGATTAAATTAGCACAAAAGTGCATTTTGAGCCTAATTTGAAAAAACAACCTTCCGAAGATTGGATTGTTCTGAGCTGAGCAAAATAGAAAATGAGATACGGTAGAGAAGTGATTTTGGATTCCAGTGGATTCCAGGCGGTGACTGAATGAGGGAATAGATGGACACACTTTTGCCTACAAAAGACAATTATTCGTTTACTATGTTACTATATTGGGTTGGCACCTATCAAAGGTCGGATTTTTCAAAGAGTTCAAGTTCTTTGAATTTCATGCTTTTGCTGCCCCTGCGGACCGAAATCCTTGGGATGAATCCAAAAATTCACAGCGACTCCCTACAGCACCCTTTTACAGGCACTTGGGATCCCATCTCGGCCGGCGGAGAACCCACCATTGTGGCCAAAATGAGCCGGAACTGGGTTTGCCAATTCTACAGCCGAAGTTAGTTTTGGGAAGCGGTGACCATATGGGGCAGACAACGGATTGGTTACCGGATGACCCAAAATGGACGCTTCCGATTTGATGAGTGAAAAAAAAAGGTATCCGCTAACACAGTATGCCAGATCGAGTGCGATTGTGCTCGCGCACAGTGAACACACCGGGATCCTCTTTTTTACATTTTAAAGTTCAAAAAAACTTCAAATTTTTGAAAAGAGAAATAGCACTCGGGGTTTTCGGCGTTGGAGAATCGATTGACAATATGCCTATTGAATTAAGTGGATAAAGAATTCTTTTCGTTTCATTTTAAAGCTAAAATCCACTTTGAAAGTCGACATTTGGTGTAGATTTGTGCTCAAAAATGGAAACATATTCTTTCTGGTGCACTCATTGCTTCAGTTTATATGATTGTTAAAAGAAAATTGACGAATCTAGTAGGATTAGAAAGGGTTTGTTTACATTTTTGAGCAAAAGTAGATCTCGATCACGTTCAGTGTGGAAAGTCGTAAACGGAAGAGGAAGAGGAAGAGGAAGAGGAGGTGGAAATGGAAGAGGAAGAGGAAGAGGAAGAGGAAGATGAAGAGGAAGAGAAAGAGGAAGGGGAAGAGGACGAGGACGAGGAACAGGAAGAGGAACAGGAACAGGAAGGGGAAGAGGAAGAGAAAGAGGAAGAGGTGTAAAACCAAAAATGAGATACCTATTACCACCTATTACCAAAAGCAAAGCCAAACAAACAAGCTTTGTCCAATTACTCGATTTCCAAAAAAGGAAACAAGCAAGAAAAACAACAAAATCCACTAGAAAATTCGATATTTCGCTATTTCCAACGAGAATTTCTCTTTCCTTGATACAATAAAAGGGAAAATATTTATTTTTTAAGTCTTTTCATCCAAATTCTTTAAATTATACTTTTAAAATCTAAAATAAAAGATAAATAGTTAAGTTTTGCACTTTTGTTTTTGCCTTTGCTTTTGCCTTTGCTTTTGCTTTTGCTGTTGCTGTTGCTTTTGCTTTGGTCTTTGCTTTTGCTTTTGTCTTTGCTTTTGCCGTTTACCTTTGCTGTTGCTGTTGTTGCTGCTGCTGCTTTTGTCTTTGCTTTTGCTTTTGCTTTTGCTGTTGCTGTTGCTTTTGCTTTGGTCTTTGCTTTTGCTTTTGTCTTTGCTTTTGCTTTTGCTGTTGCTGTTGCTGTTGCTGCTGCTGCTTTTGCCTTTGCTTTTGCTGTTGCTGTTGCTTTTGCTTTTGCTTTTGCTTTTGCTTTTGCTTTCGCCTTTTACCTTTGCTTTCTTTGCTTTTGCAGAAACCTTTGCATAAAAAGTCTATTTTCCCGTATTTTGATACTGGTTCTCTTCAAAAACTCGATCATTTTCCATTCGTTTCCCTCAAATTCAATAATATTTTGTTCGCCATAAATCAGATTTGCTTTCAATCGAATACAATCCAAAAAGAACTTTCTCTCATTTTTCATATTTTCAATAGCTTTCATTCATGGTTTATTTAGATATTCAGAAATTTTTGAAAACGATGTTAAAAGGGAAAAATTTCAACATTATATTCATCTTCGCTTTCACGTTTCTTCTTGTTTTCTATTTTTGGAGAAGAAGGGAAAGTTGGACTTGGAAAGAAGGTCATTTACTGTAAATAGCTCAATAATCTATACTGTAAATACCCCATTCCCCTCGTACAGTTGCGTAGTCGCAAAAGTATTTCAAAAGTATTTTCTAGTATTTCATTTTTTTCTAAGCGCTCGTACTTTCAAAAAATGCATCTTTGGTATCAACAAATAGCCCTGAATCTCAGCTATTTTTTGATATATGTTGTAGCATTGTAGCATAAACCAGTGTCGAGAAAAGCGCGTTTTTTCGGGATGGTTGCGTAGTCTAACTTTAAACATCCCGTTCTCCGCGCTGCTTTACACTACAATGCGCGTTTAGGTATCAAAAAGATAGCCCTGAATTTCAGCTATTTTTTGATATATGTTGTAGCATTGTAGCATAAACCAGTGTCGAGAAAAACTCGTCCAAAGCTAGACTACACAACACTCCGCACCGTCATTATAAGGGTGGGGCTATTACAGTATTTACGGTAAGTTCAGAAACAGTTTAGAAATGATTTCGGATTCGAAATAGAAATGTTTTTAAATCTATAAACAATCTTCTTTCAATGAGAAGATGAAAAGAGTTCTTTTATAAAGGTTTTTATAGAAAAAAAGAAAAAAAAACACGGTTTTCACTCGTGAATTTGCGCTGTAAGTGAAACGAAATTGACTTAAAAAGATGGAAATTGACCAATAACCACTTTTTATTTAAAGCAAAGCATAGGTTAATTTGTTATTTCTCAACGAAAGTACGAAAAGGAACGATAAAAAAATTTCTGGACAGAATTTCTGGATTGGAACCGTATTGGAACCGTATTGGAATCGTATTGGAACCGTAGAAGGGACCGTAGAAGGGACCGTATTGGAACCGTACTGGAACCATACTAGAACCGTATTGGAACCGTACTGGAACCGTACTGGAACCATACTGGAACCATACTAGAACCGTATTGGAACCGTACTCGAACCATACTGGAACCATACTAGAACCGTATTGGAACCGTACTGCCATACTGGAACCAACAGAACCGTATTGGAACCGTACTGGAACCGTACTGGAACCGTACTCGAACCATACTGGAACCATACTAGAACCGTATTGGAACCGTACTGGAACCGTACTCGAACCATACTGGAACCATACTAGAACCGTATTGGAACCGTACTCGAACCATACTGGAACCATACTAGAACCGTATTGGAACCGTACTGGAACCGTACTGGAACCGTACTCGAACCATACTGGAACCATACTAGAACCGTATTGGAACCGTACTCGAACCATACTGGAACCATACTAGAACCGTATTGGAACCGTACTGGAACCGTACTGGAACCGTACTCGAACCATACTGGAACCATACTAGAACCGTATTGGAACCGTACTGGAACCGTACTGGAACCGTACTCGAACCATACTGGAACCATACTAGAACCGTATTGGAACCGTACTGGAACCGTACTGGAACCGTACTCGAACCATACTGGAACCATACTAGAACCGTATTGGAACCGTACTCGAACCATACTGGAACCATACTAGAACCGTATTGGAACCGTACTGGAACCGTACTCGAACCATACTGGAACCATACTAGAACCGTATTGGAACCGTACTGGAACCGTACTGGAACCTAATACCGTATTTTCTCTAATGAAAAGCCAATCAATTCTTTACAAATTTCTAGATTTTGTTCAATAAAATCTTTCCAAAAAAAGCTAGATTGAAGAGTTTAAGATTAAGATTTGTTTACTTTTTGCTTACTTTTTGCTTACTTTTTGTCTTTCAGAGCGGGAGAAGACCACTGAAGACTCAAAAAAGAACTTTTTACCGCAATACATCATCGACTTTCACAAAAGACAAGCACCCGAAAGAGCGCTACAAATCTTGTAAAGAATTGTCAGATTTTTAAGTTTATTTCAATTTTAGAAGTGTCTATAATAGTGAAATGGATGATAAGACGAAAAAAGGGTATTACTATATTCTGATGGCACCAGAAGTGCATTGCGCGAACAAAGTTCGAATCGGGAACGTGGCTGATGGAGGGAAATGGACGTGTCATCCAATGGCTATTAAAGGTTACAATAGTTTGGAAGAATGTTTTAGAGAACTGATTTCAATCTAGCTCTAGAATATCTAGCTATTATTGATTTCTAATTTTCAGCTGATTGCGCAATTTTCTCTTTGGGTGTGTTGAATGATATCTCTTTTGAAGAGGAGATTCAAACGTTGACTGACAAGAAATGTGTTGCGCATTCGTATGATAAAGTGAATTGAAGAATAAAGGAATTGAATCTAGAATTGGATCTGGAATTGGATCTAGAATTGGATCTAGAATTGGATCTGGAATTGGATCTAGAATTGAGTCTAGAATTGGACCTGGAGTTGAATCTGGAGTTGAATCTAGAGTTGAATCTGGAGCTGAATCTGGAGCTGAATCTAGAGTTGAATCTGGAGCTGAATCTAGAATTGAGTCTAGAATTGAGTCTAGAATTGAGTCTAGAACTGAGTCTAGAATTGAATCTAGAATTGGATCTAGAATTGGATCTAGAATTGAAACTAGAATTGAATCTGGAATTGAATCTAGGATTGAATCTAGAATTGGATCTGGAGTTGAATCTAGAATTGAATCTAGAGTTGAATCTGGAGCTGAATCTAGAGTTGAATCTAGAATTAAATCTAGAATTGAATCTGGAGCTGAATCTAGAGTTGAATCTAGAATTGGATCTAGAATTGGATCTAGAGTTGGATCTAGAATTGAATCTAGAATTGGATCTAGAATTCGATCTAGAATTCGATCTAGAACTGAATCTAGAATAGAATCTTTTTAATTGAAACTTTAGAATTCACCAGGTGAATGGATTCTAGAGAAATTCCCGAAAATCAATGCTGATTTCACGAAGGCTTTAATCTCAAATGTTGACAATGATACAGTAAGTCGATTACGGTGAGCTTGATGCGGTTTTAACGATTAAACTATTCAGGCGGGCACTCGTAGCATCAAATCCGAGCTAAAACGCTTTAAACTGGATCGAGTTGAGATTTTAAAAATCGATATTGAAGGTTGATAAACGATAAATCGATAAACGTTGAGAAATCTTATTTTGAATTATTTTGAAACAGGTGCTGAACTTGAAGCTTTACCACCTTTACTCGAAGAAGTCGTCATTTGTCAGGTATTCGATTTAAAACTTCTTCTTTTAACATTAGTTTATCAAGACTTTCAATCTTTTGCTAATAGTTGATAATAGTTTTTCAGATCTTGATCGAAATCCATGCGAATCCGAAAGAATTCGTCGATTTCATTGTATTCATGGCAAAGAAAGGGTCATTTTTTTGAACAAATTCAACTTTTCAGCTATTGGAAGAACTTTTGACTTGAACACTAGGCACTTTAAGCTTTTTTAGAGATCTCTGATCTTCATTTGAATGTGATCCTTAGTTTAAGCAGAAGTACTTTTCTATGTACTTCTTCTGTACTTCTGTACTTCTTCCGTACTTCTTCTGTACTTCTGTACTTCTGTACTTCTGTACTTCTGTACTTCTGTACTTCTGTACTTCTTCTGTACTTCTTCTGTACTTCTGTACTTCTGTACTTCTGTACTCCTGTACTTCTGTACTCCTGTACTTCTGTACTTCTGTACTTCTTCTGTACTTCTTCTATGTACTTCTTCTGTACTTCTGTACTTCTGTACTTCTTCTGTACTTCTTCTGTACTTCTGTACTTCTTCCGTACTTCTTCTGTACTTCTGTACTTCTGTACTTCTGTACTTCTGTACTTCTTCTGTACTTCTTCTGTACTTCTGTACTTCTGTACTTCTGTACTTCTTCTGTACTTCTTCTGTACTTCTGTACTTCTGTACTTCTGTACTTCTTCTGTACTTCTTCTATGTACTTCTTCTATACTTCTTCTATGTACTTCTTCTGTACTTCTTCTATGCAAAATGAACAGTCAAGATTATACTGAAGGGGTTAAAGATACTCTTTGGCCGCATTTTCGACCAATTCTTGCACTCGTTCTCCATCTCTACTCTAGTCACTTTAAGCTCTTTTAGAGATCTCTTATCTTATTTGAATGTGATCCTTAGTTTAAGCAGAAGTACTTTTCTATGTACTCCTTCTATGTACTTCTCCCGTACTTCTTCTATACTTCTTCTGTACTCCTTCTCTCCACTTATCCAACAGTCTGCTAAACCCATTTTGGTGTCAATGGAAAAGTGGTAGAGAATCAAAAATCAAGCTTATATCCAGATTTCCAAAAAGATACACTTAGTAGTTCTGCTTAAAATTCGTTTGTTCTTTGTGCGGCCACGTAATCGCTCGTCGTCTGCTAAACCAATGAACAAAGAAGCTTTCTTTTCTCAAATTTCAACTCGTTTCAGCTATCGTATGTTCCATTTCGAGATCAACGGCCTTTCAATGGATCTCTGCGAATTCTCATTCATTCACGACTCATGCATGGATCAATTCAACGCCATCCCGCTCGCTTATTTCTGGGAGCTCATTCCGGCGTTGAAAAATGGGAATTTAACTTGAGTCTTTTGTCAATTCTCAACTCTTACGGATTCATTTTCTAAATTATTTCATTTAAAGCACAAAATAAACTCTTTTTGCTTGTTTTTTTAATCAAAAATTTAACTTACACGTCAAAGGTTTGAAAAAAAAATCAAATTTGATCAAAAGTCAAAGTCAAAGTCAAAGAAAAAAAGTCAAATTTAAGTAAATTTCGATAAGGATTCCATAATATTACTATTTACAGCTTAAATTGAATAAAATTTCAGTTCAGAAATTCTAATAAAAACGAGAAAAAAAAACGGCTTTTTGAAGCAGAAATAGCCAAAACGGGATTTCACTGATTTTTCACTGATCCAAGACTAGCAAAACCGGATTTATAAGGGAAAAATCAAGGCGCTGAAGCTTGAAATCAATATCATTTTGTTTTCTTTATTATTTTTAGAATGTTTTTATGGTTATTGATCTTTTTGCCGGCGATTTGTGCACTCACCAATGAAGAGGTTCGTTTTTTAAACTCTTGAAAACAAAAAGATAAGGTTTTACTCAAATTTTAAACTATAAAAACTGAAATGATTGTTTCGGAAATGATTTCAATTATAGAAATCTCTTTTAGATGATTTAAGACTAGAAAAACCGGACTTATAAGGCAAAAATCAAGGCACAGAAGCTCGATATCAATATCATTTTGTTTTCTAAACTCTTTAACACAAAAAGATAAGGTTTTACTCAAATATTAACCTATAGAAAGTGATTTATTGTTTCAGAAATGATTTCAATTATAGAAATCTCTTTTAGATGATTCAAGACTAGGAAAGACTTCAAGACAAGACTTATAAGGCAAAAATCAAGGCACAGAAGCTCGATATCAATATCATTTTGTTTTCTAAACTCTTTAACACAAAAAGATAAGGTTTTACTCAAATATTAACCTATAGAAAGTGATTTATTTTTTCTAAAACCATTTCAATTATAGAAATCTCTTTTAGATGATTCAAGACTAGGAAAGACTTCAAGACAAGACTTATAAGGCAAAAATCAAGGCACAGAAGCTCGATATCAATATCATTTTGTTTTCTAAACTCTTGAATACATAAAGATAAGGTATATTGACCTATAGAAAGTGATTTATTGTTTCTAAAACCATTTCAATTATAGAAATTTCTTTTAGATGATTAAAGACTAGAAAAACCGGACTTGTAAGTCAAAAACCTGGTACAGAAGCTCGATATCAATATATTTTGTTAACTAAACTCTTTAACACATAAAGATAAGGTTTTACTCAAATATTAACCTATAGAAAGTGATTTATTGTTTCAGAAATGATTTTAATTATAGAAATCTCTTTTAGATGAGTAAAGACTAGAAAAACCGGACTTGTAAGTCAAAAACCTGGTACAGAAGCTCGATATCAATATCTTTTTGTTATCTAAACTCTTTAACACAAAAAGATAAGATTTTACACAAATTCTAAACCATAAAAAGCGATTTATTGTTTCTGAAATCATTTAATTTATAGAAATTTCTTTTAGATTCAAGATTTCCGAGGATTAGGCGGCAGGGAAAGCGTTTTTTTGTTAGCCTTTGAGAAAAGGATCGCCAATTTGCCGATGGTCGGTTGTGATTTGAAATTTGTATTTGTATTTCATTCAAAATCTTATCTATTATGCAGATTTTCTTTAGTTTTACATTTCAGAATGAACAACGCAAGGCAATTGAGCGCTACGTGGCCACTATTGCTCCACATCGAAGAGAAAGCTATGAACTCTTTAAAATGCAAAAGAATAAAGACTATGTTCAAGTGAGTTAATGAAATATTTCTCAAATTTCTCAAATTTCTCAAATTTCATCGATTTTAAGCTTATTTTAGCTTTTTAGAGAATGATTCAGTTAAAACAGAAAGTGTTTGGAATTCTTGGAAGAGAGAAGTTCAGCAAGTTGATGGTGGTGAGTTCAGAGTGATTTTTGAGGGATCAATCTTTGTAAACTATCGAGATCTTGGTTTTAAATTCGTTTTTATTCTGTTTATTTATATTTTTTCTATCTTTTCTATCTTTTTGTAAAGAATTATAGCAAAAGTAAAGCTTTATTGCTTTTAGAAATGCAATAAAAAACCTTTTAGATCCTTCACAATCCGAAAATGAGTCGAGAAGTTCGTCTTTTTAATGCAAACGATTTGATAAAAGATGTGAAATTGATAGGACAAAAAGCAGTGATAATGGGATGGGCAAAAGATGAGATACCGGCCGGGATTCAATAAATATTTGTAATTGTTTAAGAACTATTGAGTTGGTCAATTGAAAACTGCCGGACTTTGAACTAAAATTTCTTCAACATAAAATCATCAATTCATTCCAAATGATTTCCATTATTATTGATGACTTGTGCTCATTTTACAGGCAATTTGCGTATTCCTCTTTCGTGGTAGGATTTTGGTTTGTGTGTGAGACAAGTGTGAGACTCAAAAAACGAGGACTGGAGATGTTCAAAAATGGAGAATCAGTTTGAGCACTTTCTTCAAAAGAAACCCATTTTGGTGTCAATAGAAAAGTTGTAGAGAATCAAAAATTAGGCTTCTAGCCAAATTTCCAAAAAGATACACTTAGTAGTTTCGCTTAAAATGCAAGTTTTGTGAAAATTCGTAAATTTGGCATTTCTTGAAAACCAGTTTTTGAATCGTTCTGAAAATTTGGATATAAGCTTCATTTTTGATTCTCTACAACTTTTCCATTGACACCAAAATGCGTTTCTTTCGAAGAAAGTGCTCAAACTGTCACATATGACAATAGGCGGCGGTTTTCAATTCACCAACCCAATAGATTAGCCTTGATTTGCGGAGAAGTCAATGTCGAATTTGAGCCGGACAGAAGAGATTGCGGAGGTGAGAGGGAAGGGGGTTATGTAAAAGCCCTGCGCCAGACGACGAGCGAATACGCGACCGCACCAAGAACGCGCAGCCATTTCAGAATTTAGAGGAGAGAGGGAAGGGGTTATGTAAAAGCCCTGCGCCAGACGACGAGCGAATACGCGACCGCACAAAGACCACCCAGTCACACAAAAACGAAACTAAACAAAAATGCTGAATTTTCTAGTTTCTGCTGTTTGCTATAGTACTACAATTTTCTCAGTTCTCTCAAATTTTGTTTACAAAGGGATTTTACAAAGAGATTGGTATTCTCTGCTTGTAGACAAAGCGAAGACAAAGCGAAGAGACGGCTGAGAAAAGAGAAGGTGGAATTGGGTTTGGTTTAGAATTTTCCCGCTGAAATCATATCCGATCAATGTGTGAAAGGTTTGAACGTGCAATTTTCTTTAGTTTCATCAAATCTTCTAAATAAATCTCTTATTTTCCATTCCAACAATAGATTCACTGTACAATTGAAAGAAAACAAAGTCAACTGAAAGTCATTTGCTTTCGCAGAATCATTCGCTGCATTCCGCCACCATGACAGCTCTTTGTTCGATCTTGGATTCGATCAACTACCTAAAATTCAACAACAACCTCTCTAGCCTCTCAACCTCTCTAGCCTCTCAACCTCTCTAGCCTCTCTAGCCTCTCTAGCCTCTCTAGCCTCTCTAGCCTCTCTAGCCTCTCTAGCCTCTCTAGCCTCTCTAGCCTCTCTAGCCTCTCTAGCCTCTCTAGCCTCTCTAGCCTCTCCAGCATCTCAACCTCTCTAGCCTCTCTACCTCTCTCGCCGCTCGCAAATCCTCCTTGTCTAAATGCTCCAAAAATAACGTGAATAAATCTTCCAAATTGTATCGAAAAGCATCACTGATCACTCTAAAATCAACCGATTTCTAGTTTTCATTGAGGCTCTTACCTGAAGTTCTCCATTCCCAGCAATCTCCTCCTCAACACATCACAGCAATTCGCCAAAAGAAACTCGACTTTACATCGATTTTTCTGCTCAATCACTTTATCTGTTTCTTCATTCTAAAAAAGGTTTCTCTATAAAGAAGGATGACAGGCATTTACATTAACAGCTTTATAGAAAGCATCGAAGAAAGTACACCAAGTGATTCGGGCAATCGAACGGGCATTCACCTCGCATAATCTAAAGGTAAATCATCGCATTTCGAAAGATATTTGGCTAACTTTTAAGAATTGTAATGTATTTTAAAAATTGCTTGCTACTACAAGGTCGTTGTAGCCGACCGGATAGGAGAACTTGTCTCCTAGTCGGTGGATCAAAGGCTCCATCCTGGTGGCTAGAAAAATTCGTTCTTTTTCCCATTGTTATGGGTTTTTTCTTAACAACTAATTGTAAGAGTAAAAGTTTCCTCCGTTGTGTGGTAATTGATTATTCGTCTCAAATAAATGCACTTTTTACTACCCCACTTTCCACAAACGAATACGGTGTATAATTCGCAAAAGAAAAAAGTTTTCCGCGAGAAAAAAAAAGATCCGCGAGAGGCGAACTTGCGGCTTAGCCGGCCTCATAGACCGCCAGTCTTGAACGCTATCCACTAGACCCCGGATACCGTGGGCGAGGGGCGTGTGACGGCTTCTTAAGGAGCCGAAATTCAAATATTCACAGGGATTCATTTCGAATTTTTTGAAGGAAAAAAGATCGGATTTAGTCAAAAAATGGTTAACTTTTAAGAATTGTATTTGTAAATTACAAATCTAAGAATCTAAATCTAAGAATCCTAATCTAAGAATCTAAATCTAAGAATCTAAATCTAAGAATCTAAATCTAAGAATCTAAATCTAAGAATCTAAATCTACGAATCTAGATCTAAGAATCTTAATCTAAGAAGCACGTGTGGCTGACTGGTTAAGTGTCTTTTATCTTAATCGGAAGGTCGAGGGTTCGAACCCCACATGCGACATGGTCACCCCCTTCGGATTTCCTTTCCCTTCGGGTTGAGAGGTTTTCTGGAGGGCAGTCTGGTGGTTGTGGCCCCAGTTCTTTAAAGTGACAAGCCACTCCTTCATCGTCATCTTCCCTTCACCACCAAAAAAGCTATTTAGTTCCCCATTGAGCTTAGGGTTAGGGAGCCGTCTGTCATGACGTGGGTTAAGTTAAGATATAGCCTAGTATTGTGTGTGTCGTTGTATTGTGATTGATATATTTCGTGTATGCGATAAATTCACCACTGGTAGCCCCAGTCGGTATTTTTTAAGAAGCTAAATCTAAGAATCTAAATCTAAGAATCTAGATCTACGAATCTAGATCTAAGAATCTAGATCTAAGAATTTAAATCTAAGAATCTAGATCTAAGAATCTAGATCTAAGAAGCTAAATCTAAGAATCTAGATCTAAGAATCTAGATCTAAGAATCTTAGATCTAAGAATCTAAATCTAAGAATCTAGATCTACGAATCTAGATCTGCGAATCTAGATCTAAGAATCTTAATCTAATCTAAGAATCTAAATCTAAGCCTTCTACCCACTTTCCACATACGAATCTCATTGTGTCCCGATCGCGGCACCGAAAACAGAAAGCTTTCCATTGAAGGAGTCCTGAAAAATTGTGAAATTTCTTTTAAACCTGTCGCAGCTATCCATTTAAATAAATATTACAATAAACTAGCTATCGTATTCCTAAAGTTTACCGTAACATCGACAAGTTGGGGAATAGAAAAACCTCTACAAAAGTCAACCATAAGAGTGATCATTATGGCTGATCAACACTCACCAACATATTCTCGATGTCCTGGGCCAATCTTGTTCCACAAAAATTTCACGAGCTCAAAATAACCATTTGTTAACGCAAAAATAAAGCATTGAGTCATAATCTGAATAAAAGATTAAAAATAAAGTCAAGTTTTAAAAACAAACTTGATTAGGCAATCGTCTTTCTGTTTCAAACATTGCTTCCCATCGAGTTTCATAAAGAGTTGACCAAAAATCGTAAACTGGATGATTGGAGAGAGTTTTTCTAGAAGAATTCGAATACAAATTCTTATTTTCTTTTACTTGAAGGTCGTTCTCCGGTGTCGATCGTATTTCCAATCATCAAGAATCTGAATTTTAACTTCGATTTAAGCGAATAACTGAACAAGGGATAGCTTTTATCATTCTTTATTCAGCTTTGCCATTCTTTATTCAGCTTCAGAGTCCTCTTATAGAGTCGAGATCTCGAATTTGTTTTTAGTTTTTAGAAGATAGAGTTTCTCTTTAGATCATTGCACAGTAATATTAGATTAAATCCACAATGAGATCTATTTTCAGTAACCTTATCTTCCATCACGTAACAGCACGCAAATTGCGCCAATAGAACGGCAGCCTTTTGCGCCAATGGAACGGTCGCTTTGAAATTTGTCTCCAGCAAAATGAACAGTCAAGATTATACTGAAGGGGTTAAAGATACTCTTCTGTCAAAGAAACGCTTCTGCCAAAGAAACTCTTCAGTCAAAGATACTCTTCTGCCGCATTTGCGCCCAATTCTTGCACTCTTTCTCCATCTCTACTCTAGTCACTTTAAGCTTTTTTAGAGATCTCTGATCTTCATTTGAATGTGACCCTTAGTTTAAGCAGAAGTACTTTTCTATGTACTCCTTCTATGTACTTCTCCTTCTATGTACTTCTTCTCCTATGTACTCCTTCTATGTACTTCTCCTCCTATGTACTTCTTCCATGTACTTCTCCTATGTACTTCTCCTATGTACTTCTCCTATGTACTTCTCCTATGTACTTCTTCTATGTACTTCTCCTATGTACTCCTTCTATGTACTTCTTCTCCTATGTACTTCTTCCATGTACTTCTCCTATGTACTTCTCCTATGTACTTCTTCCTATGTACTTCTCCTATGTACTCCTTCTATGTACTTCTCCTATATACTTCTCCTCAATGAGATCTATTTTCAGTAACCTCATCTTCCATCGCGTAACAGCACGCAAATTGCCACCGCATTTGCGCCCAACTCTTGCACTCGTTCTCCATAATACTCTTTGCTGTCTGAAGATCATCAATTTCTAATCTAAAGTAATCTAAGAGATTAGAGAACTTTGAATTCATCACCGATTTTGTTTCCAAACAATCCACGGTTGGAATGTTCGCACGTGCTCAGATCTAGGCGTTCTTCCCTTTTTCACCGCTTGAAACGGGAACATTTCCACGTGTTTGTCAGCTAAAAACAGAATTATATGTAACTTTCATTTTTAGAATGCTAAAATCAGAGATATAAATAAGAGATAAAGATTTTCCCTTTCTTTCAACAAACCCCATCTTTGCACCTCTCTCAACAGCATCGAAACAGCTTCTTGCAGAACTTTTCGGATTTTAAGCGGTAATCTAAAGTTATCTATGATATTCAACTTAGAGATTAGATTTACTTCAAAGCTCGAATGATATCTTTCAATGTTAACGCGACTTCAGTCAACCGTCTCCATCGGAGTTGTTTCTGAAAGAAAAGAGATAGTATTTAGCTTTATTAATTAGATATAATTAAATATATTGTTAGAAATAATCAATTTTTATCAATCAATCAAAGACTTTAATCAATTTAATGATTAATTTGAGAGCTTAAGCTCTCAGTGAAGGGTTAGAATTCTGCGCTACACTGATGCCAACTTTAAAGCCTTTAAGTTGAATATTGAAGTTGAATATACCACTTTAAAGCCTTTAAAGCATTTCCCAGCTACCCTAGCCTTGACTAAATCTTCTAATTTATTGGCCTGGGTTTACTGTACTGTACTGTAAGTTATTGTACCAACTATACTTAGGTTACTGTAAGCTTGGCCCTTTAAGCTTTAAGCTTGGCCCTGTTTTAAAGCGCTTACTAGAGTTGATGTTCTAGAAAAGTTTCACCGTAGAATAAATCTATTATTTCTAGACTAACTGCAAGAAAAAGCACTCAAAAAAACAATATTTTAACAATATTAAACATAAATTAGTTAATTTCAATAGTTTAAATTAATTTAAATCCCAACCTCAACCAATAGCATGGCCACTCGCCTCATTGTGCAATATTTAAGCGTCTCAACATTCATCTAAATTGTTTAAAAAACTGCATTTCACTTTCACAGAAAACTTTCAAAGCTTAACAAATCAAAAAGGTTGTTTAAAGTTGTGAAAAGCTAAAAAGTAACTAAAAAGTAACTAAAGAAAGGTATTCGTTTAATTTAAAGCTTTAAAATGTTACAAAATGTAATGAGGAAGGTGTAGAAAACTTAAATTGTATCTAAAAGATTGATTTCTTTAGAGAAATCAAGAAATTATTGTTTGAAAGAGTTTGGAAGCTATAAAGTGTTATAAACAGTAAGAGGCCACAATTGGAAGCTGATGAGAGATCGTATACAGGATCATATCGGTTCGCTCAATTGGGGATATCGGGTGCAAAAGAAGGTGAGCGATTTTCTTAGCTGTATTTACTAATCAAACCATCTAGGGTTAAAAGTGTCCTAGCTAAAAGGTAGATGTTTTGCACGTTAACGTAAATCTTAAGGTTGACTACCTTAACGCTTATGGAGCGTTTACTGGATCTCACGAAATCACGTGCACGGACAAGAAGGGAAAACAGGACAAGCTCACAGCCGACAAGTTCTTGGTTGCCATCGGATTGCGGCCCAAATTCCCTGATGTTCCGGGAGCTAAAGAATATACAATTTCTAGATAATGCTTAACGTTTATCTCTAATTTAACGAAAATTTAGTGACGATCTCTTTGCTCTTCAATATTCTCCAGGAAAAACCTATGCATTGGTAAGTAACTAAAAAAGTAACTAAAGAAAGGTATTCATTTTAACTTAAAGCTTTAAAATGTTACAAAATGTAATGGGGAAGGTGTAGAAAACTTAAATTGTATCTAAAAGATTTATTTCTTTAGAGAAATCAAGAAATTATTGTTTGAAAGAGTTTGGAAGCTATAAAGTGTTATAAACAGTAAGAAGGATACTATAGGGGATTATTCGTTCTGGATTATTCGTTGAATTGTACACTAAAACAATTTTTAGATGTTCTAAAGTGTTATAAACAGTAAGAAGCTAAGGGTTCTAGAGTATTGGTTGAAATAATCATTGCTTGAAAGAGTTCAGGGTCTATAAAGTGGCCTCTTCTCTGTTCTTTTTTCTCTTTTTTTTCTTCTCTCGAGTTTTTTTTCTTCTCAAGTGCAAACAGCTGACTGATCGAGAGAATGAGAGATTTTTTGGGTGAAAAGGAAAAAGAGAAACGACTATAAGAAAGGATTTATGGCAAATTGAGTAAAACGATTCGTAAATCTTGTTTTGTTTTGAATCCGATATTGTTGAACAGAAGAAATCTTGAAATATTTGCCTCTTCTAGCTATTAAATCATAAACTAAACATCAGTAAACAGCTTTCATTGGTTTCTTAATGAATTTCTGTATTTCTAAAATCAAAAATTGAATAAATCACATACAGAAAGATAAAGTCAATGAAAATAAAGCATATTAATCATAATTTCTAAAGTTTAGATCAATTAAGTACTCAGAATTTCGCTCAGCTCAGCTCCAGCTCAGCTCAGCTCCAGCTCAGCTCAGCTCCAGCTCAGCTCAGCTCCAGCTCAGCTCCAGCTCAGCTCAGCTCAGCTCCAGCTCCAGCTCAGCTCAGCTCAGCTCAGCTCAGCTATTAGAAAAGTTGAGAAACTATCGATAACTACCAAAGTTGCAAGAAAAAGATGGAAAGCTTATGGTGTTGAAGATTTGAAATAGCTGTGACAGTCCCGTGGTCTTTCCTGGTCTTTCCTGGTCTCTTCCTTCCCGTTGCCGAGTCTTCCACTCAGCTAGACACACAGAAAAGAGACACTCAAGAAAAAGAAACCAAACACAAACCAACATGGATCCAAAATGGATTCAGAGATAAATTGGCTGACTGAGTGTTTTCCCCGACCCTTTGCAAATATTGATGAATCACTTGAAAACTTAAATTGGCTATCGTAATCTGTAACATTTAGTTTTTGAAAAAAATGCTTTTCAAGTTTGGGGAAATGATGCCGCCGCGATATGAGGTCGAATTATTCTCTCCCGACAAGTGAGCGGATGGTGTAGTGGATAGGGTGTTAGCTTCTCGCACTCGCCGTCCCTGGTTCGAAACCCCTAACTGCCAGATTGTTTTTTTCTTTTTTGTTAGTACACTAAAACGAATTTCTAGGTGTTCTAAATAGTCAATAAACATTAAAAAGCTGCCATAGAGGTTCTGGAAAAGTCAAAAGATGACCAAAAGATGAGCAAAATTGGCCAAGAAAGATCAGAATCTATAAAAAGTTCATTAAGAATTTCAAAGTTTCAATTAAATCGTTTTCTTTTGCGTTCTTTGATTCCTGTATAGTTTTTGTAATTGTTTATAATGAATCTTTGTGTAAATAAAGTCTCTTATCACATTGAATGCATTACATCTTCACATTGACATGCGATAAATGTGTTTGATCCTTTTTACGACTCTGGAAAGCGCTTTGCATCTCGTAGGCGATGGTTGATTGAGCGAAAAGCATTCTCAAAAGTTTCCTTCTTAATCGTCGATTAAACGCCAATCCAATATAAGCTTCACTCAATGTGAACAAATCGACAGCGATCGTTAGCTGTAAACGTGAGCTGTTAGCTGCAGAGTTAGCTGTTAGCTGCAGAGTTAGCTGTTAGCTGCAGAGTTAGCTGTTAGCTGCAGAGTTAGCTGTTAGCTGCAGAGCTAGCTGTTAGCTGCAGAGTTAGCTGTTAGCTGCAGAGTTAGCTGTTAGCTTCAGAGTTAGCTGTTAGCTGCAGAGTTAGCTGTTAGCTGCAGAGTTAGCTGTAAACGTGAGCTGTTAGCTACAGAGTTAGCTGTAAACGTGAGTTGTTAGCTGCAGACTTTTCGTCTCTACTCAATCTAATCCTTTTTCTAAAGCCTGTACTTTGCGCTCAACTTTAAAGACATCATTTCTGTGTAATTCTATAAAGAAACAAAGCACTAAGTGCACCAGAAAGATGTCTTTTTCAACACAAAGTGCACTTTAACTTATGCAATCATTTAGATTATCATTGTTTATTCAAAAAGATTCTTTGAAGCTTTCTTTTTGAGCTTCGACTTTTGGAAAAGATTAATTGTTAAGTTTATTAGTTATTTTTTACCAATTATTCAATAATTGGTAAACGCGAGCTGTTAGCTGCTGTTAGCTGCTGTTAGCTGCTGTTAGCTGCTGTTAGCTGTTAGCTGTTTGCTGTTCGTCTCTACTCAACTTACAGACAATAAAGCCATTTCTGGACTATTGAATAGTTTAAAAGAGTTATCCAAATAAATCATCATCGAGAATTGCACCAAAAACGTTGTCACACAAATGATGAACAGATTGATTTCAGCGAATAAGCCGGCACCGGTTCTGGAAATGAAGATCGAGTGTTTTTTTTGGAGTCGGGAATTGATTCGAGCTATTCTATTAAGTCTACTATTTAGAACTCGGTGGTTTAAAGTCGTCTATAGCTTTTCGAGAAAGCTTTAAAAGGATTTAAAAAAAATGATTAGAGTTTTTAAAAGGAAAAGTAAAAACAATAGTTAAACAAACTGTTTTCTTGAGTATCGTAGATGCAAAATCTTTCCAAAAATCAATAAATCTATTCCAAGTGCTAGAAAGGGAAAAGTATGCCCGAGTTTGTCCATCAGAAAAACCGAAAGAGATACTTGCTAAAAATGAAGTTTTAATTTGAAATTTAGAGGAAAATCTAGGATTTCTTGGCAAGAATATGATCCGAAAGAGAGAATCATATTCTTGGCGTTCTTTGTGCGGTCGCGTAATCGCTCGTCGTCTGGAGCAGGGCTTTTACATAACCCCCTTCCCTCTCTGCTCGAGAAAAGAGAGAAAAGGAACCAAATCTAGAGAAAAAGGAAACAAGCTTTTCTCTAGATCTAGAAAGAAAAGGAACCAAATCTCTAGAGAAAAGGAACCAAATCTAGAGAAAAAGGAAACCAAATCTCTAAAGAAAAGAAACCAAATCTAGAAAGAAAAGGAACCAAATCTAGAAATAAAAGAAAACAAGCTTTTCTCTAGATCTAGAAAGAAAAAGAGCCAAATCTCTAAAGAAAAGGAACCAAATCTAGAAATAGAAACCAAATCTCTAAAGAAAAGGAACCAAATCTAGAAATAGAAACCAAATCTCTAAAGAAAAGCAACCAAATCTGGATTATATCATTTTACCGAATATAAAGCATCATTATCCATGACAAAGCCATCTTTCAATACATACAACGGTGAAACATAGAAATCAGCATAACAAATCGCAAAAGCGCAAGAGATAATGATGATTACAGTGATGAGGATGTGACGGGAAAGCCAGAGCTGGAAGTGCATTTGATTTTAAGCTAACAGATCAAACTCACTGAATAATGTGTGATTGGTAGCCAAATAGCTGTGAATCGATTCAAATGCAGCATGAGCAATGCACTATTTCCCACGTAGAAAGACGCGAATTGCCATGTGTAGAAGATGCGATATGGAAGGAAATTCGAGAGTTGCAGATAGATTGGAGAAAGGAAAGAGATTTCTCGAAGCTTCACAGTGATATAGGAGTTGATGTAAGTGCAGAGGTACTGTAAGTATACTGTAAGTGTACTGTAAGTGTACTGTAAGAGTACTGTAAGTATACTGTAACTAGAATCTTCACGAATTCCTAAGACAATCTAAGAAATGAAGAAATTCTCAAGTTTTAAAGCTAAAAATCTATCTTTAGAAAGTTGTTAGCTTTTAGAAAACAGCTTTTTGTACAGATTTTCCGCTAGTATTGCTCTAGAACTTGAAAAAATCCATTAGAATCTTGTTCTTAAACTTTCAAACTGTTTAAGTAACTTTATTTTCTAGCAAATCTAGTTATTTAACTATTATTAACTATTACCGTATTTTCTCTAATAGTAGTGCACCCCGTCGAGCCGAGTTAAGACTATTTTACGGCTTCCAAAGTTTTCCCCGAAGCTCAACACTCAAATCCCGCACTAGACCTCATCGTCAGCTACATTTTCCGACCTCACATCGATAGGTTCTGATAAGCGCTTCTCGAGATCTCGAGGAATTTAGACGACGCACTCGGTGCACTACTATTAGAGAAAAAAAACGGTATTTAAAGTCTAAACAATCCTACCGTAATCAGCACAAACAAGTAGACACGATAAAATGAGCTTTTCATGAGGGATTTACTTCGGAGAATGCAAATAATAATTAGAATCATTAAAATCGATGATGGAATACCGTATAAAATAAAGATTATCAAGTGTTCGAGCATTTTTTTCGAGCCAAAACTTTAATAAATGTTTTCAGCTTTTCACTACGCAATTTCAAAAGGAAACAGGGCAAAATTGTCCACCAAAAAGCCAGTAATTATCAAAAATTTGATGACAAATAAAAAGTTTTCAAAAGCAGCTGAAATTTTGAAATTTTTGAACCCAAGTGTTTTGATGAAAAGCAAAAAAATCATTGGAAACTGACTGAATAACAAAATGAGGCTTTTTGAGGGATTTTGGATAGGAATTAGCACTTCGCTTGAAAGATTTAGTAAAACAAACACCGCCAATCGATTCCCCGACCCAGAAAACCCCTGGGTACAAACTTTTAGCTGAATATCTTTATTTAAAGCCATTTAAAAAGCGTAAGAGAAATCTCTGTCTAAATGACTGGGCGTTCTTTGTGCGGTCGCGTAGTCGCTCGTCGTCTGGCGCAGGGCTTTTACTTAACCCCCTTCCCTCTCTGCTCTAAATGTCTAAATACTGGGCGTTCTTTTTGCGGTCGCGTAATCGCTCGTCGTCTGGCGCAGGGCTTTTACATAACCCTCTTCCCTCTCTGCTCGACAATCTCTTCTGGCCCTTTCCGAATCCTCAAATTTCACATTGACTTCTCCGCAAATCAAGGCTAATCTCAATCTAAATGTCGTCACGAACAATTTGATGTGAACTGAACATCAAATTCCTCATTTGTTCCGAATTTGGCTCTCTTTTTGACATTCAAGAATTGACATAACAATTTAAATTCAACAAATTCCATCAATTGTTATTGATGGCATGTAAAAATCGTCTTTCAAACCTCATTTTCATATTTATTCACTTCAAATTTTATTCGAAACCACTTGTGAGATTTGTGTCTGATTTTTCCCTGTTTTTTGAAAAGCACTCGGTGGATCAAAGCTGAGATTTTTTCTCCCAAAAACCATCAATATTAATTGTCGACGCAAATTTCGATTCAATGCAACCCCAATGTAGGCCTCGCTTAATGTGAACAGATCGAGAGCGAAATTTCTCTAGAAATTGAGCTATTGATTGATTTGATCAGTTTGGACAGTGTTTTTCTAAAGAGTGCAAAGCTAGCGTACTGTAATCCTTTTAGATCTTAACCATGCTACAAACCATTAGCAACATGATCTCTGGATCCTTGAATATCTCTAAATTGTAGTCCATATAGAGCATCATTGCTATTTGCACAAAGGTCGTCGAGAAACAGATGAAAAGGAGATTTATTTCGACGATGATACTTGTGGGAGAGCTGAAGGGAATGGATTGGATTGGATTTGATTTGGTTGGATTGGATTGGATTGGATTGGATTGGATTTGATTGGATTTGATTGGATTTGATTGGATTTGATTTGGTTGGATTGGATTGGATTGGATTGGATTTGATTGGATTTGATTGGATTTGATTGGATTGGATTTGATTGGATTTGATTGGATTGGATTGGATTGGATTTGATTTGGTTGGATTTGATTGGATTTGATTGGATTGGATTTGATTGGATTGGATTTGATTGGATTTGATTGGCTTGAATAACCTACCGTAATCCATTACTGTACCTTTCAACTGTACATTGAACTAATTAAAACCAAATTCAAACGTTTTTTTGAGTGCATCTGATGGAAATGTTGATTCAAATCCCCTGACTCACCCTTTCCGATTCACTCTCATATAGATAAGTTTCACGAAAATCCATAAATCCAAAAACAAAGCAGCGAACGGGAAGAAATGTCCGAAATAGCCCATCAGCATCACCGAGAGACGAACTCCCTAAGGGTTTTTGATTGGAAAACAGTTTCATTTTCAAACGCACAATGTACAACTCTCCGTTATCTACAGCATATCCATCATCTTCTACATATAATGGACTTAGCCAGAAATCTGAATAGCAGAGTCCAATCCCAAAGATTACAAGCACCAGCCCAGTAAATCTGATGTATCTGGGTTCCCAGATCTGAAAAAGGTGCTCTTTTTTTAAATCCCTGTTCATCTATTGAATGAACTGGTGTGCTAGATAACGTGTGTTTCCAATTTCAATCATTTCAATCATCTTCAAAGTCTTTAAGAACAAGTTGCTCAGTGAAATGCGTAACTAAGCCAGAAACTAAATTACTAGATCCGTGCTTGAAACCCTGGCTCTCTGAAAGCCTAGGAAAAGAATGAAACCGGCCCCGGCCCCCGGCCAACACCGGCTCAACACCGGCTCAACACCGGCTCAACACCGGCTCAACACCGGCTCAACACCGGGCTCAACACCGGCTCAACCGGGCTCAACACCGGCTCAACCGGCTCAACACCGGCTCAACCGGCTCAACATCTTCACTCACTCTTCTATGCGCAATTGGTATCCAAAGTGAAGTGAATCGATTTAAATGCAACATCATGAAAGCACTTTGGCCGATATAAAATGATGCGAATTGCCAAATATAAAACAAACGATATGGTGGGAAAGAGATCTCGATATGGAGATAGATTTGAGTGAGAATTGAGAGCTCACGGCATTTTATAATGATATAGGAATTGAGATAAGTGATCAAATACTGAAATTGATTTGAAATTTGAATCTGATCTGAGGATGAGGAATGATTTAACTAAACCTACTAAACTTTGGCTAAAAGTCATTACGTTTTCAGTCCTAAAGTTTGGTCAAACCTATTGTAGGCCAAGAAGTTCATAAAGCTTAAATAAACCTATCATAATCATTTCTTAAACCTCACCGTGATCAGTACAAAAAGATAAACTCGATAAAAGGAAGAATTCATGAAATTCTTGTTCTTCAGTATGCAAATTATCACGAAAATATTTAAAATGATGGACGGAATACCGTAGGCTAAATAGATCAGAAAATGAGAGAAAGTCATTTTGAAAGAATGGCTAAACTTGAAGGGATTTGATCTGGAATTCAATGAGATTTCATTTCTGAGAATAACATTCAACGGCAACTAGATTTCCCAAGGGAATACACGATTGTGCTGTAAAAAAAAAAATCATCTTTTGTCACAAAGTCAGAAAGAGCATTGGCTTGTTAGCTTGTTATTTGATTACTACTTATTGTAGCTTACTATCTGATTACTACTTATTGTAGCTTACTATTTGATTACTACTTATTGTAGCTTACTATTTGATTATTACTTATTGTAGCTTATTATCACTAAAATATTTAAAATGATGGACGGAATACCGTAGGCTAAATAGATCAGAAAATGAGAGAAAGTCATTTTGAAAGAATGGGTAAACTTGAAGAGATTTGATCGGGAATTCAATACATTTCATTTCTGAGAATAACATTTAATTTCACGTCAACTAGATTTCTCAAGGGAATACACTGTGCTGTAAAAAAAGAATCTTTCGTCATAAAGAAAATTGCCCTTGTTAGCTTGTTATCTGATTATTTACTTATTTGTAGCTTTTGATCTCAACAGAAAGGCTTAAAATTGCTTGTTTTTGTTAAATATTGGTCTTGGATAGGTTAAAAGTTAAAGATTACCGTTTTTTCTCTAATAGTACCCAGAACGTCGCCTAAATTCCTCGAAATCTCGAGAACCGCTTATCAGAACCTATCGATGTGGGGTGGGAAATGTAGCTGACGATGAGATCTAGTGGGGGATTAGAGTGTTGAGCTTCTGCAAAAGCCTGGAAACCGTCAACTCGGCTCGCCGGAGGTGCACTGCAATTAGAGAAAATACGGTAGTCACAAATGTCACATGAATTAATCGACGAAAATGTGGTCAGAGTTACTGTAGATTTGAGAACAGAACAGTTTACTGTAAGTGTACTTTGGCTAAGCAAAACAGCAATACAATAACTTCTTGTACGGTCTAAATCTTTGACTCTTTTTCACAGCCAATTGCTCACCGGTATGTACCGTTGCTCACCGGTATGTACCGTTGCTCACCGGTATGTACCGTTGCTCACCGGTATGTACCGTAATATACTGTTGCAACAAAAGGAACATTCAAAAAGAACTAATTTCCATAGATTTATTTGTTTTTTTCTTTGTTTTACAAGCGTCTGAAAATTTATTTAAATAAATGAACCAAGCAAAACCTTCTAACAACTACAGCTAGTTTCTATTTACATTTAGAAGTTCTTCTATTTTCCCACAGAGCCACAGGTGGCACAACATTGCTGAGACATCAATGTTGAGTAGACTGAATTGGTGCAAAGATATCTAAAAAAGGATCGATTCTGGGCACTGTATTAATGTCGATTTTCTATTGTAACTTAGTAAAGTATTGTAGTGGATACTGTAGCTGAATAAGACTAGTAAGACTCCTATTGTCTAGTAGACTCCTAGTAGACTCTCTAGTAGACTTCTAGTAAGACTCCTGGCAATGTAACGGGATCACTAACTGTCACCAACGTTCAACTAACTGTCCTAACGATCCAACTGATCGTTTATTGTTGATATTATTGTAGAGTACTGCTAGGAGTTTGTAACGACTTTTACATTTGACTCTATAATTCCTTTAGCTCTCTCTCTCTCTCTCCAATTTTCCCCCAACTCACTTCAATGCAGAGCAGTCTGAGATCCCAGTTGCAGCATTTGTCTGGTCCGTGCACGCTAAAGAACCGAACCGGATTATGAAACCAAATAAAAACTCAAACATGATGAACTGATCGAACTGTTTGATGAAGAATTGCAGAGATTGCAAGTCTTTGGACATTGAACACGCATCACATCGTAGTATGTGGAATCAGTGCAGAGAAATGAGCGACGAGGACAATCGGATACACCAGTCACTGGGTTCAGCAGATCGACACAAGTCGTGGAAGTGACTGGAAAGATTTGGAATGGAAATCTGTTTCATCCTTTCATTCTTATCATAGTAGCTTCTAAAACTAGTACCAGATTTAGCTGTGTACGTCTTGACGGTGGTTGGAGTGATCGGAATGAGATTGGCTAGTGGACAGCAAAGAAGTTCTCCCGTTGAATCGAAAGCTTTCACTGAATCCGATGGACACGGGACACCAGGAATCAGAGCTGAAATCTCTAAGATCTTAAAAGAAAGAAGATTCCTACGTCCACTCGACTCATCATTTGCACAATTGAACGTCGTTGCACCAGTCTCAATTGAAATCACTTCAGTGTTATCACAACAACCACCCGATGTACAAACGAGGCCACTTGCTTGAACAATTGTACACAAACCATTGTTACAAGCTGAATAAAGGAGATGATCGATTTAAGAATTGCTGTGGGTTAGATTATTAGATGGGTTAGGGTAATACAGAACAAATTCTACAAATCTACAAGTCAAGTCTACAAGTCTACAAGTCTACAAGTCTAGTCTACTAGTCTACAAGTCTACTAGTCTACTAGTCTACAAGTCTACTAGTCTACTAGTCTACAAGTCTACTAGTCTACTAGTCTACTAGTCTACTAGTCTACTAGTCTACTAGTCTACTAGTCTACTACTAGTAGGATTACTCTATCTTCTAGCTTCAATTCAATAGATCCAACTCACGTCCAGGTGACGCTCCAGTGCAGTTGAGAATCGCTTTCACTTGAGAAATCGAAGCAAATGAAATCAGGAGAATTGTAAGCATTTTTGAATGAAAGTTGTTGTTAAAATAGAGAAAATTCAGCTTTTTATAGTCAGCAGATAAAAAAAGGATCAAAAAGAAAGAAAAAGACAGCAGCTAGAAAAAGAACAATTTTGGTTGTTTTCTTTCTATTTATTTAGCTGATTTCGCGCTTTTAGTGACATTTTGACCGCTAAAATCGAACAAAATCCTCATTGTTTTTAGAGAGATCCTCATTGTTTTGAGATTTTGCTGCTAAATGTTCATTTTTTCAAATGTCACCCTTCCTTATTATCGGGTATAAAAGAAAGGGGAAATTTTTTTCAATCACCAACAATTCTTCTTTCATTCTCTTTCATCAATTCATCAACAAGCTTCACAAATGGCTCAATTCATCTTCCTTCTCATTGCGATTACTTCGATTTCTCAAGTGAAAGCGATTCTCAACTGCACTGGAGCGTCACCTGGACGTGAGTTGGATCTATTGAATTGAATCTAGAAGATAGAGTAATCCTACTAGTAGACTAGTAGACTTGTAGACTTGTAGACTTGTAGACTTGACTTGTAGATTTGTAGAATTTGTTCTGTATTACCCTAATCCATCTAATAATCTAACCCACAGCAATTCTTAAATCGATCATCTCCTTTATTCAGCTTGTAACAATGGTTTGTGTACAATTGTTCAAGCAAGTGGCCTCGTTTGTACATCGGGTGGTTGTTGTGATAACACTGAAGTGATTTCAATTGAGACTGGTGCAACGACGTTCAATTGTGCAAATGATGAGTCGAGTGGACGTAGGAATCTTCTTTCTTTTAAGATTTCTTTCTTTCAGCTCTGATTCCTGGTGTCCCGTGTCCATCGGATTCAGTGAAAGCTTTCGATTCAACGGGAGAACTTCTTTGCTGTCCACTAGCCAATCTCATTCCGATCACTCCAACCACCGTCAAGACGTACACAGCTAAATCTGGTACTAGTTTTAGAAGCTACTATTAAAGGGATGAAACAGATTTCCATTCCAAATCTTTCCAGTCACTTCCACGACTTGTGTCGATCTGCTGAACCCAGTGACTGGTGTATCCGATTGTCCTCGTCGCTCATTTCTCTGCACTGATTCCACATACTACGATGTGATGCGTGTTCAATGCCCGCTCACCTGTGGCTTCTGTGGAGCCTCTTCTGGATTCACAGTGGCTTCATCAAGTATAAACGTTCAAATATCTAAAGCATATATCTTTAGCTTGCACTGATCAAATAAACCCGAGCACCGGGACATCGGATTGCCCATCGTTGAAGTGAGTCTATAGATTTTCGATCTAGTATCCTCTAAAGCTCTAAAGCTAATCTAGTAATAGTCTAGTCTAGATCAACTAGTATTCTCTAAAGCTCTAAAGCTAATCTTTAATATCTTTAATATCAAGTCAAATAAAGCCCAAGTGTCTAAGTAAAGCTACAGTACTCTTACTGTAGCTTTACTTAGACACTTGTGCTTTATTTGTCTACTTTAGCGGCACTCGATCAACTAGTAGGCGTATTTAGCGAAATACTGCAATGGATACTGTAGTGAAATACACCTGACTACAGAAGCAGACTATATCTTATTCTAAGGTTACTGTAGCAGTTTACTGTGATGGGATACTGTAGCGGGCACTGTTTTCTTGATTTAACTATATCTTCAGGGACTTGTGCTCGAATCCGACCTACTCGACGCTGATGTCCACTCAATGTTGCTCAACCTGCAGCTCGATCGGGAAATAAGAAACAAATCCGCATTTTAGATTCACATAGTTGTTTAGTTTTAGATTAGCTTTCGATTATTGATCATTGTTTTATGAGTGGAATAAAGATAAAGTCAAAGATTTGAAATCAAAGACAAATCAAAGACAAATCAAAGACAAATCAAATCAAATCAATCAAATCAATCAAATCAAATCAAATCAATCAAATCAAATCAAAGGCAAATCAAAGACAAATCAAAGACAAATCAAAGACAAATCAAATCAAATCAATCAAATCAATCAAATCAAATCAAAGGCAAATCAAAGACAAATCAAAGACAAATCAAAGACAAATCAAATCAAATCAATCAAATCAATCAAATCACAATCAAATCAAATCAAATCAATCAAATAAAATAAAATGGCACAGACTACAGTGCGTTCCTACTGACAGCCCAGACAGACGCAAACAAAGAAATAAACTTGTTAGACTGTCACACATCATTAAACATTTGTTTCAAAATGATTTCACTTGTTGAACAAGATTTTAGTCATACTTGTTCCCATGAGATCTAGATTTTAGTTATTCTCAAATCAATTAGGTAACTGTGTGAGTTTAAGAAAACAACCATTGAAACAAAGCTCAACTTTTGGTTTTACTGATGTTGTAAGCCCGTATTAGTAAGTTTACAGTCTATTGTAGACATAAGAAAATTTTCTTGTTCAATAACTTTAGCATTATCTTGTTAAAGATCTTCAGCTTTACCTTGTTAAAGATCTCTAGCTTTATCTTGTTAAAGATCTCTAGCTTTATCTTGTTAAAGATCTTCAGCTTTACCTTGTTAAAGATCTCTAGCTTTATCTTGTTAAAGATCTCTAGCTTTATCTTGTTAAAGATCTTTAGCTTTACCTTGTTTAATAGCTTTAGCTTTATCTTGTTAAAGATCTGGGGGTGGCTACTTTGTGCCAAATTTTTTGCGCAATTGCGGTCATTTGCGCAACTCGTCATAACTTTGTTCTAAATAGGTCAATCTTTATGATTTTGCTGTCATTTTGTCATACTTGTTGAGATCTACAAAATGATACCAAAATCATAAGGATTGACCGACTTAGAAGAGAGTTATGGTGAGTTGCGCATATGACCTAGTTCGAAAGTTCGAAAATAATCGAAAGTAGCCACCCCCAAAGATCTTTAGCTTTAACTTGTTTAAAATCTTAAGCTTTAACTCTAAGATAACGATAGGTTAGTATCGTAAGTAAGTTTACGATAGTTGTCATGAAACGATTTAGCCAGAAGGAATCGTTGAACCAAAGATTCTTTTCTGTACAGCTCATTTCTAATTATATTTGTGAGTATTGAGTGAAATGTCAAATGAATGAGTGGAAAGAAAGAAAGAAAGAAAGAAAGAGAGAAAGAAAGAAAGAAAGAAAACTTATATAATTAGCTGAACTTTTTCCCGTTCCTCCGACAACGATTAGTAAAAAATGGGGAAATGGAAAATAACATTTGACATTTATTTTTCTTTACAATCAATTTTCTTCTTTAGAAATAGAGCTTTAGAAATAGAGCTTTGGAAATAGAGCTTTGGAAATAGAGCTTTAGAAATAGAGCTTTAGAAATAGAGCTTTAGAAATAGAGCTTTAGAAATAGAGCTTTGGAAATAGAGCTTTAGAAATATAGCTTTAGAAATATAGCTTTAGAAATAGAGCTTTAGAAATAGAGCTTTAGATATTGTTATTGTTATTGTTGTTTATTGTTATATTGTTAATCTTAATCTTTAGAATCTTCAATTCCATTATGTCAACCCTATTCGATCCAAAATTTGCTTCAAACCCGAATTATCATCAATTTGTAGCCGCTGTTTTGCAAAGTCTTCAAGTGAAAGTCATCTCATCAAGTGATATCCCAATTGGAAGCATTATGATTTGTGTGAGAATTGTTTATTTTTTAAATATCAACTTTCTCTAATGAAACAAATTATTCAATTAATGCATTTGTTGGTTTAAAAGAAAAGCAAGACAAGCTGGACAAGCTGGACTAGTTGGACTAGTTGGACAAGCTAGACAAGCTAGAGAAGCTGGACTAGCTAGACAAGCTGGACAAGCTGGACTAGCTGGACAATCTAGACAAACTAGACAATCTAGATAAGCTAGACAAGCTAGAGAAGCTAGACAAGCAAGACAAGCTAGACAATCTAGATAAACTAGACAATCTAGACAAGCTAGAGAAGCTAGACAATCTAGACAAGCTAGACAATCTAGACAAGCTAGACAAGCTAGTCTAGCTGGACAATCTAGACAAGCAAGACAAGCTAAACAATCTAGACAATCTAGACAATCTTTCACCAGATGCATCCATTCCCATTAAAATCTTACTTTTAGATCTCAATCTCCGGTATACTGATCAACTTTTGCGCAATGTACTTAATCCATTGCAATAAACGGATCAGCAGTGTCAAGATTTTTCTCATTTTCTCGTTGATCGTTAATATTTTGCACTTTTCCACTGAACTCTATTTGGCTTCGTGCATTTTCCAGTTAAAGAAATGATACTTTAATGGACTCAATCCTTTTCTAGCCCACATTGCCTTTCAACAATCGGCTATCCATGGAGTTGGATGATGTTAAATCAAATCCTTTCCACTCTCCATTACGGCACACCGCACATCTCAATAGCATTTTTGCATATAATAACAATTATACGGTGAGTTGAATCTTTGAAATCTAGATAAAAATTTCTAGATAAAGATCAAAACTCGATTTAGTGGCAGTTTTGTGTTCTCATTTCAACGTCTACCTCGTCTTCTCTCCGGGAAATTCGCAATAGTTTTCAGCGTTTTTCTCAGCGCTGCAATCATCGCCCCATTGCTTTGTATGATTAGAAGAGGCGAGTTATTGATATTTTCAAGTTAAACAAATAGTTAAGCTCAAAATTTCCTATGTCTACGTCAATAGATGAGTTTGTCTCATAGGAAAAGTTGTCCACACCAAAAAGTTGAAGTTTTTGCTACAATAAATCTACTGTATGGGAAAAGTTACTGTAACAGTAGTGATAAAAGGATGGAAGGTATTGTAATGTTATTGTATATCGAAGCTACAGTATCGTTTACCAAAAGGTACTGTAACAGTAGTGATTAAAGAATGCTAAGGTATTGTAATGTTACCGTATATAAAAGCTACAGTATCGTATACCAAAAGATACCGTAACGATTGCAAATGAACAGTTTTGTTCGTTTGGACAAATGTATTTCGTTTAAGCATTTGAAAAGAGACGCCTCAATTTACAAAACATAATCACAAAAGAAAACTATGAATGTTAAAACAAGTTTCCCTTTCAGTACCAGCAAAAGAATTCGGCTACGAGTATGCTTATTTCGGGATGAGCTTTGATACAAATGTCTATTTTGTGGATTGTATGGCTGATGGGTGGGGAGGAGTGTCCTATTGGATGGAGAGAATCTTTCTATTCCTTGTCTCGGTTCTCAAATACTTTTCCATCATCGCTCTCTTGGTCGATCTGGCTACACTGAGGAGATATATGAGTTATCAGGTATTGTATGTGATTGGGAGATGGTTGGGAGATGGTTGGGAGATGGTTGGGAGATGGTTGGGAGATGGGAGATGATTGGAGATGGTTGGGAGATGGTTGGGAGATGATTGGAGATGATTGGGAGATGGTTGGGAGATGGTTGGGAGATGGTTGAGAGATGATTCAAAGATTTAGCCTTGCTTGGCTTTACACTATAAACAAGATATAGTGTCTCCAAGCGTCGTTCCAGTATTTACAAGAATTTGCAGACTTCCTCAACAAGTACAAGCGGTAGCGGTAAACACGCCGATGTTCGTTTTTCATTTCAAGTAAGGGAAATTTCATTAAAACTATATAAATCCTCAAACATACAGCGTTTAGATGATTTTCCTTCACTTCTGTGCCTTGGCTGTACTCTTTAGTGACTTATGGATTCCATATTTTTATAAAGATTTTGGTGATCTTTATGGTTTCTTTTCGTGGGAGCTCTTGTTAAATATCCTTTCTTTTATTATTGGGTGAGTTTGAAAAGGAAAAATTGTTCTTTGTGTTAGAACTATAGACTCAAAAGTCTATAGTTATTAACACACTATAGGAAAATTTGTTCTTTGTGTTATAACTAACTTGTTAAATATCTTTTCTTTTATTATTGGGTGAGTTTGAAAAGGAAAAATTGTTCTTTTTTGATATAACTATAGACTAAAGCTTAGGAGAGTGACCAAAAATTGGAAATAATTGAAGATATTTGCCAGAAAGAGTGCGTTTATTTGAGCATAAACCTTTTCATCTTTTCAATCTTCTTTCTTCAGTTGCCTTGTTGCCTATTACAATCAACGAGAGCTCTCAAAGAGATCATTTCATGTGGCCGATCGATCAAATGGTGTCTTGATTGCTGTCGTTTCATTGAATAATTTGAGATGATAGAATTTAGATGAATAAAGATCGATAAAAGAGAGATTAAACACTGAGAAAGTGGCTTGCTTAAGACAATTGTTGTATCATTTGAACTATTTATTAACAAGAGGCATCAACTGAACTAAAGTTTAATGAATTAAGGAGATCTTCTTTTCCTTGCTCTCCTTCACCTCATCTTTTCGTTTTTCATTTTCAAAATAATCTGGCAAAGAAAAAGGCGACGGGAGGAATCGAACCCTCGACCTCAGGCAGACGATCCAGCTTGACAGAGAGACGCCCTATCCACTGAGCTACAGGCGGTTGTGGAGCCGGCGAGAAAAAGGGCTCAAGAAGGGAGGAAGAGACAGTCTCTCAAACTTTATTCAAAAGAATTAATAAAACAAACTAAAGCCGTTTTGCTCAAAGAATTGCTCAAATTGTGATCGATGAAAACTTCGAATGGAAGATCAACTGGATAGGCTAACCAAATGACATCAGCCATCAACTGGATAGGCTAACCAAATGACATCAGCCATCAACTGGATAGGCTAACCAAATGACATCAGCCATCAAAGATTCGACGCAGAATTTCACGCTAAGCACGATGCTGCTTTCCGTTTTTGTTAAGCGAAACTCTGTCAAAATTTTTAAAGTTTTGTAAGGGGTTTCAAGAAACAAACATAGACCTTAAAATTGGACTTTTCAGACTTAGAAGTCTGAAAAGACTTAGTCCTGTAGACTTAGTGCTGTAGACTTAGTCCTGTAGACTTAGTCCTGTAGACTTAGTCTACTTGGCCACTCCTGTAGGAGGGGCCAAGTGGTAGTAGGATAGAATGCAAGGCCTCCAGGATTTGTATCCGTCTGCTGACTCTTTGTTTTGCTTTTTTAGGTTTAAATGATTTGTGTGTTAGTTGGTTCGCCAATTTTTAGTTATTTCATCGCATAGCTACAGAATCTGATCTTGTCTTTTCAACAAGGCAACAAGGCAACAACAAGAAACAACAAGACAACATAGCATAGCTACAGAATCTGATCTTCTCTTTTCAATTCGAATTCTATTTTTAAAAGCTTTCATCAAAGCTTATCAAAGCTTATCAAATGATTTCCGTAAATTGAATCGTTCTTTATATTGATAACTAGAAGTTAGTGGAAGAAAAGAAAAAGAAAAAAAAGAAATGTTCTCTTTAAAACCATAAACCATTTCCACGTCCTTTTTTTAATTATCTGTGATGTTTGAGATTTTTTCAGAAAATTTGATTTTGACAGGTGTTATTTAGAGAAAAAGCAGGTGGATTCTTTCAGAATCAACAAGCTTTTGAGATCGTAGTGTTAACTGAATATTTTATTCAAACATTTTTCATTCTACTCCAGTAACCCGGTACTGCATATTTTGAAAGTATTCTTTGAGATCAATGACTTTGTTGTGCATGATCGTTTCCTATATTTGGGGTGTCCCTTCAATGATCTCGAATTTCTTGGTCTTCATTTTTATCCTACTGAATACACCAAAGAATATGAAAGTGGGGAAAAGCAAGACAATGAAACAAGAAGACAACAACAAGACAACAAGAGAACAAGGCAACAAACAAGACAACAACAAGGCAACAACCAGGCAACAAGACAACAAGACAACAGGACAACAAGGCAACAAGACAACAAGACAACAAGACAACAAGGCAACAGGACAACAAGGCAACAAGACAACAAGACAACAAGGCAACAGGACAACAAGGCAACAAGACAACAAGACAACAAGGCAACAAGACAACAAGGCAACAACAAGACAACAACAAGACAACAGCCAGGCAACAAGACAACAAGACAACAGGACAACAAGGCAACAAGACAACAAGGCAACAAGACAACAAGGCAACAAGACAACAAGGCAACAAGACAACAAGGCAACAAGACAACAAGGCAACAAGACAACAAGGCAACAAGACAACAAGGCAACAAGGCAACAACAAGACAACAACAAGACAACAACCAGGCAACAGCAAACAACAAAAAACGGGTCAACAGACAACAGACAACAGATCAACAATGGATGTCAGATCCAACAAATTTGAGTGCTCACGTTGGCTAACGTAATTTTGGTTTCAAATTCCATTTTTAGCTGAATAAGTAAGACTGTTCAAAGCTCAAAGACATCCAAATTTGCATATTGTTTTCAGTACTACAAATTCTTCCTCCTTCACACTGTTTTTTACAATTTTCAAATGAGTTTTTGCTTCTCCGCAATGCTCGAACCGGAAGTGTTCTTTCCAGCACTTGGCGCAAAGATAAACGGCCTTGGATGGTGGTTCGGCTATTGGGGATACGATGTTGGACCGTTTTTAGTGAGATTTGAGAAATTCAAAATGAACCTAAGCCAGAATTCTCAATTCCAGTGCGCCTACATTGTTGATTGCGGATGTCAGATTTTAGCGTCACTCGATCTCTGCATCACCTATCGTTACTGTTCTCTTTTGCATGGTGAAAAAGCTTTTCGAAATAACGTTTTTAACAAATTCAGGAATGGAATACTGGAAGACTTGGCTCTTTTACCTACATTTTATCAGTGCTTACATCGTTTCTTGGTCTATCTCGTTGTCACTCCAACAAGCACACGTTCCTTTAGAGGTTTAAACGATTCCGAATATGAATACGAATATGGATTCCGTTTTTGTTAAATCACAATCACAATCACAATCTCCTAGGAGTTATAAAGTTCTGTTAGGACTCTGAAAAAGCAAAAGAAAAGCCACAAAAGCAAAGGTGAAAATCGAACTTGTGTAGTCTCGCTCTGGAGAACAAACGCTCGATCACTCGGTCATGGTTGAACTGAGTTAAGGCCTCAAGGATGTCACTAAGACCATGCTAAGTCCTCCAAATGATCACATTTTCAGAGTTCTAACAAAACTTTAAAATCTTTAAACCCTTGGCAGATTGTAATTTAGCAAAAAGGGAATACAAATCAGAATAAAATTCTGCTATATAGCTCAATGAATTGACCTTTCCTGAATATCTTTAAAGATTTAATTTATTCATTGAATATCTTTAAAGATTAAAGATCATTAACTGAATATCTTTCTAGATTAAAGATCATTAGCTAAATATCTTTAAAAGCTACAGTAATCCGTCTAGTTTCCATTATTTAGATTAGAAATTCCAGAAATTTCTCGAAAAAGCGAAACAAGACGGAACCTATGATCATATTTTACCGTACATTCAAAATGATCCAAATGCGCAAATCTTTGGGTATTCTTTGGAGAAAGTCGGATGGATTTTCGGGCTTGCTGGGGTGGTTCTTTTTTCGATTGGGTTAGTTTTAAGCCAGAGATCTTTCCTGAGCCAATTTTTTAGCTTCTTAGTGATCAAAAACTCGTTTCTACTGTGGCGATTGTTGAGCCAATTCGGGAAACTCAATTTGAGTTCCACAACGGCGAGGCTTCATCGACGATTGACTGTTTTGGTTGCTATGCAGGTGAAATTGTTGATGAAAACATGTTGTTCTTAGAACAATATCGATTGAAAACTGTTGTGAAAACAGGCAGTGAGTGTGCCAAGCGGCGAGCGTTTGCTAGCATTTTTTTGCAAATAACGACCGCTATGAGATGACTGCTTTTTATGACCCCCTCTAGACCCGTGTGCCAGAAAGTGAGCGATTATGGGTGCGCACAAAGTTCAAACCGCCGTGCATGCTTTTTAGGACAAATTCCAGCAAAAATAGCATAACTTTCTTCTTTTTCAATATTTTTGCAATCTCTCTTCGAATGTTGAAAGCTTGAGGCTTTGCCAGAGTTTTTGCCGTCATTTTCAGCTATGTTAGACATAAAGAATCAAGTTGTAAGTTTGTTTAATTGTAAAAACAAGAATTGTTTGCATCAGAAATGTTTGTTTTTTTCATTTTTTCAAAGAACAATCAAAGATTCATTGTAAAGATTAATGTAAAAAAGTAAAAAGAGCTTTCAGATAACGTATCCATTTGTCGCTTTCTCTGGACCGGTCATCGTTTTCACCGTCTCTGTGCTGATGCGTTGGAATTGGGTTTATGGATCAAAGGTTGGAATTTGAAAAGAAATTTTAGAGGATTCTTATAGGATTAAAAAATTATTTTCTTAAACTTTCAAGGTTTTCCACTGGATTGTCGAGAGTTTAATCTGCAGTTTACCGCTTTTCAACGGTGTTACAACGCTTTACTTTGTGGCACCGTACAAAGAAGCGTTGATGAAGTGAGTGTTTATAAAGATCGCGAATTTAAAGCAAAAACTAGTTTCCAAATTGTTCATTTGACAAAAATTGATCTTTAAATTGATAAAAATAAACAAAAATTGGTTAAAAATTGATTGAAGCTAGTCAAAAATCGATTGAAGTTAGTCAAAAATTGATTGAAGTTAGTCAAAAATCGATTAAAGCTAGTCAAAAATCGATTAAAGCTAGTCAAAAATCGATTAAAGCTAGTCAAAAATTGATTGAAGCTAGTCAAAAATCGATTAAAGCTAGTCAAAAATCGGTTGAAGCTAATCCCTTTTAAAATCAAAACCGATCTCGCACAAGTGCAAGAGATTTTCGAATTAAAAAGGCAATTTTTAGCAAATACAAACATCTATTTTAAATACTAAATCTTTAGATCTAAATCTTTAGATTTCTTGGCCTGCTCATTGCAAGACAAAAACTCTTCCGTGTATCAGTCATGTCATCAATTGGCGAAAAATCCCTTGAATCAAAACCGTCAACTCAACTATTTCAAAGCAAAAGCTCAACAAATTTGTCATAAACTGAATAAATGTTTATTAATTATTAAAGCAAAAAGATATTCAGTCAACAATGAAGTTCTCTTCATCCAGAAAATCGTTTAGCTTTTGACGAAGCTTTGGCTGAAAGTTGATTTTATTTTAAGCTTACTAGGTGGAAGGGTAAGACATAGACAGCTATAGCTGTATTGTAGACAGCTATAGCTGTATTGTAGACAGCTATCTCTATATTATAGACAACTATCTCTATATTATAGACAGCTATCTCGATTATAGACACCTATATCTAATCAGCTAGATCTATATCTAAACAGCTATATCCTAACTTTCTAAACTTACAAAAACCCTTCTCGGCAATGGGACCAATCCAAGATTCATCTCTCGAAGCGCCAAAAAGTTTTGCAGAGAATTGAAGTCTTCGGATTCATCCGATTCCTGAAATTCATTACTTTTTTTGTTTCCTAAGACCTACATTCAACACTACATTTGAAAGCTAAAATAAGCAAAAGTTTCTCTAATTTCTCAATCCTTACCGATACTGGATAATATTCCTCTTCTTCTTCAGCCGATCCTTCTCCCGATCCAGTTTCTTCGAAGTCATCAAAAGCATTTATATCACTTAAAAATTGAACTTTTGAACTTCCTCAAGACTCTTCCTTAAAACTTCCTTAAGTCTCTTCCTTACAACTTCCTCAAGACTTTTCCTTACAACTTTCTTAAGACTCTTCCTTACAACTTCCTGAAGACTCTTCCTTATAACTTCCTTAAGACTCTTCCTTATAACTTCCTTAAGACTCTTCCTTACAACTTCCTCAAGACTCTTCCTTACAACTTCCTCAAGTCTCTTCCTTACAACTTCCTCAAGACTCTTCCTTACAACTTCCTGAAGACTCTTCCTTACAGTAAGACTCACTTTAAACTATTCATAGTTTGAATACAGTAAAATAAAGAAAATAAAATGAAAAGATTTAGTTTAGAAATGGACATGACTGGGTAAATGTGAACGGTTTTTGAAAGTTTTTGAAAGTGACTGAGTTGAGTAAACGGGTGACAAGCCAGTTGCGATGAGAAACGAGTTCTCTAGTGACAAAGAACTGGATAAGCAATGATCCGTGAAAAAAAAGCAATAGATCTTCGTTGTTCAGGTCAAATATGGTAAAGAAAACGGGAAAATGCACGTTTTTCAACTGTGAGAGAAGCTTTAGGTTACATTTTAACTGGAAATAAGAAAAGCAATGATTCTTGGTGTGCTTATCGAACTTGATTGTGATTTTAAAGCTGCATTGAAGTTGGCTATTTGGTTTTGATTTCTAGTTTAATGATTGGTTTTAGTGAAGCGTTCAAAACAGAATGTTTATCAGCTTTTTATGAAATCGCTTAAACATTTTACAATAAGCTTCGATCTCTTTTGGATCATTTCGCTGCTTCAAACTCGTGTGCAATCTTTGAAGAAGGAAATTGAAAAGAAAAGAAAGAGCAAGATGAATTTATTTAGAAATTTTTATCTTTTATCTTTATTTATTACTTATCTTTTAAGAAAATAGTGATTTCTTTTGGCTTTTGGCAAGTAAATTGTGAAAAACTGTTCATTGTTTCTTTTTTCTAAACAATTCTTATTCCTTTATCAAAACAGTTCAATTCACTTCTTTTCTTTGCTTCAAATTTCTCTATCATTCTTGTTCTTGTTTTCATTTCTCCCCATCTAAACAGATCAAAGATTCGTATTCATTTTGTATTTGTAAGTAAATAATATTATTGATCACCTCATTGCATATTTGGACTTTAAGCTTTCTTGACTTTAAAGCTTTAAACTTTAAGCTTTCTTGACTTTAAAGCTTTAAGTTTTAAGCTTTCTTGTCTTTAAAGCTTTAAACTTTAAGCTTTCTTTTGCTTTAAAAATCATAATTCTAAACTCGTGCTAGTTAGAGATTTTCTTAAAACGTATCACTTTTACCCAGTGTCCAAATCATATTCAAAAATAGAATCCACGTAGAGAGATTTTTGAAAAGGGGAAAGAATACGAAATAGAAACGGGTCAACGAAACGGGAAAGGCAATTGCCTTTCAAGTATTCTGTTTTGTGGTTTGAGAGTGTGTGGGTGCATCAAAAAGAAATGTTTTTTTTTGAACAAAAATAGGTCAAATTTTATCTCGGAATTTTTAGAAGATAAATCTACGGATGATTTGGGTTTTTTTTCAAGCTATTATAGGTTTTAGGAGCCCAACTACTTTCTGAATATCTTTGCTTGACGAATAATATTACTGGAAAGTGTCTTCTAGACAATTCTTAGGACTTGAGAGGCCTATATTCTTTCTCTTTCCTCTTTTATTGCATCTTTCCCACTGAGCAAAGAGGTACCCGTGGCTCAGTGGTAAATCGTCAACCTGTGAAGCAGGAGGTTGAGGGTTCGATTCTTTTTACCTTTTCCTTGTCAAATTGAAAAACGAAAAAGATGAATAAAGATTGAATTCATTGATTGAATATCTTTAAAGATTAAAGATCATTAACTGAATATCTTTAAAGATTAAAGATCATTACGAGACGATCAAGGGAAAAGAACGGAAAGTGGAAGAGGAAAAACGAAAGAAAAAGATCTTCTTACTGCAAAAAAAGGTTTTTCCTTGCTATTCCTTGCTTTTTGTGATGCTTTAGTGAAATCTTCAAAATGATGTAGATCTTTTTGAGTGCTGTATCATCGAGGCGACAATTTCTTTTCAATTCAAAAGGCTAAAGGTCAGTGCTAGGCAATTTCCATTAGTTCAAGGTCGTTTCATCTAAAATTTTCCCGAAAAATGTTTTCACATGATCGATTCAATGAAAAAACAGCTCTCTAAAAGGGTTGATTGAGATTCGGAAATCTGAATTGACATTTGGGAAGATTGGGGAGAAAAAAAGGAGAGAAAAGGAAGATCTTCGTGATTTTTCATCCCCATAAATTGAGTTACGGCTCGAAAATAACACGCCCATTCGGATTGTGATTTCATTGTTGACTCTGATCTGAACGTTGATCTAAAGTTTCTTTTATTTGTGGAGAGTTTGAGATACTGTAAAGTCTCAGTGTTCTTTTTCACTACAGAATATCAGACTCGATAAACAGTTATCAAAGCTATTAAAGCTATCAAAGCTATCAAAGATATCAAAGCTATCAAAGATATCAAAGCTATCAAAGATATCAAAGTTATCAAAGCTATCAAAGATATCAAAGTTATCAAAACTATCTCTAGCTTTAGCTTCATTTTAGCTGCTAATGAAATATCTTTTTGTTACTTTACTGTTATATTTAAAATAGAATATTATAGCTATCTCTAATTGCTGAGACTTTTCTATAATTGTCGATTTTGAGTAGTAAAACGATTCAACTTTATCTGATTTTCTATTCGTAAATTGTTTTCTTCAAAATTTCTCTTCAGAATCTTTATAACTCTAATATTTGATCAGAATTTCTTTTTCTTTAGAGAAAATTGAAGCTAGACTAAAAGAGGGAGAGTTCCCACGAGTTTTTCTGATTCTTGATGCCCAGAAATTCAATCAGGCAAAGGGAAAGAAGAGCTAGTTTTCCGTAAAAACAAATTCGAATCTTTATCTTAAAATTTGAGATTTATATACTTTATATACTTTATTCAGTTAAATTCTATTCTAGATTGATTTCTATATCCTTTTCTAGACCATTTTATAGTTCCATTGGGTTTTCGTTGTCTTAAAGATGTGTTTTGACATCTAAAAGCTGTGTTTTGATATCTTAAAGATGTGATTTGACATCTTAAAGCTGTGTTTTGATATCTTAAAGATGTGTTTTGACATCTTAAAGATGTTCCAAACTCCAACTCAAGCTCCAACTCAAGCTCCAACTCAAGCTCCAACTCAACCTCCAGCTCAAGCTCCAACTCAACCTCCAACTCAAGCTCCAACTCAAGCTCCAACTCAAGCTCCAACTCAAGCTCCAAGCTACTGTACTCTTTTTGTCTTAAGTCAAAAGTTAAAAACAACGAATTGTAACCTAACAAGAAGCTTGATTTTGATTTTGAATCTGTTGAAAGCTGGCTACTAATTAAACTTACTGGCTTACCTAGTAGTACGATAGCTCTTTCGAACGGAGCTTTTAGAAAATCATCTTTTCTAATCCTTGTAATAGAATACATCTTATCTAATCCTTGTAATAGAATACGATATCCATTCGCTCCAATAATCAATTCGAAAACTCTCACATTCAAAGATCATTTCATTAGCACTACTGAATTATTTACGTTTGCTCATGTTGGTTCTCGAAGAAAAAGAGCTCTAAACTCTTCTCATTCGATTTTCGTAATTGATCACATTTTAGGATGAGTGAGGCTATAAAATAAGGGAAAGAGGCGAAATTTTGGGAAAGCTCAACGTGCTCTTTGATGTCTAGAAATTGAATTGAAAGACGGATGACTGATCTTTCTTTTTTTCTCGAATTTTTTTTGTTTTTATATGCTGAAAGTAACTCGTACTTTCTATTTTAATAAACGCACATTTTCTGGCACACAAAAAGCTTAAAAGAAGCTTAAAAGGCATCACTTAAAAGAATCGCTGTGCCAGGAAATGTGCAATTGTTCAGATACAAAATACAAAGCTTGCTTTCCAAAAATAGATATTTAAACTCAAAAAGTTCCAGTTTTTTTTTGCCCAACTGTATTCTTTGCTTTGTAAAAAAATTCTTAAAGTTTTATATTTCATTTCAGTTCATTTTATTTCAGTTTTCAACACTAGAAGCTTCTTGACAAGTTGAAATGCCATCAAAAGTTCATGAGGTAAAAGATCTAGAAGATAAAGATAAAGATAAAGATTTTCAGGTAACTGGGCACAAATTTGTGGCCACCGTGCTTCGGCAACCATCTTTTTGCTCGCATTGCAAGAATTTTATTTGGGGATTTGGCAAGATGGGATACAAATGTGAATGTGGGTAATATGGATGGGGTAATAAAAGGCTTTTGTAGTCAGAAAGAGATTAGAATCTTATCCAATTACATATTTAGGTTGTAAGGTGGTTGTGCACAAGAAGTGTCACCAAGAGATTGGCTGGGAATGCCCGAAGAAGGAAGCGAGTGTACAACAAGAGGCTGAAGTGGAAATGTCTTCGGATGGGGTAAGAGAATTTTGAATGTTCTGTTGAGAATTTTGAGTTCTGTTAAGAGTTCTGTTGAATTGATGAAGTTCTGGGTTATAATAGTCGTCTAGAAATGGATTTTTAAAGCTAAAGTACTCAACGAAACTAGAAGTTTCTAATAGCTAAACAGCTAAACAGCTAAACAGCTAAAGGTTCTTTTCCAATATCGGGGGAGCGGTCCGATTATCGGGGGAGCGGAAAGAAAATCGGGGGAGCGAAAGGAAAATCGGGGGAGCAAATTTTGCCCCCTCGAAAAATGCATTTCTGGGACTTTTATTTTAACTGCAACGTTTTTTTTTTAAATTTTTTGGCAGCGCTACATATGTCCTATATTATCCAAAGTACTGCCATAAAATCCGCGAATTACCCGTTATTCTCACAACCTTTATATTAGATCACAAAAGTGACTTAAATATCTAACACCAAACATACCTCTACCTTCCCTATCGGCCGCCTTCTCTTTTTGCCGAACGCTCCACAATCCCGAACGAACAAATGGCTACCTAAAAATTTATTCATTAATAGTATAATTGATCATAACAACGAAAGAAATGTAAGCGAAGTAACCAAAACAAAAACAAAAGTAACCAAAACAAAAAGAAAAGTAACCAAAATAAAACAAAAGTAACCAAAACAAAACCTTTCTAGCAATCACAAATTAACTGTAAAAAGGGATTGTATTCATTTCCGCCCCTGCGGGCCAAAAATCGACGATGTCCTCCATGATTCGCCACAGTTGCAAATCCACGACTGGATGACTCCTTTGGTGACGAAATAATCGATTGCCGTCGATTCCTTGAACGCACAAATATCGGAGAAGCGCATCGTCGTTAAAGTTTAAAAAAAACGTTGCAGTTAAAATAAAAGTCCCAGAAATGCATTTTTCGAGGGGGCAAAATTTGCTCCCCCGATTTTCCTTTCGCTCCCCCGATTTTCTTTCCGCTCCCCCGATAATCGGACCGCTCCCCCGATATTGGAAAAGAACCCAGCTAAACATTCAGGAGCAACAATGCACAAATTCTCCTCACCAGTTCACCAAGCACACCTATAAGACACCGAAGTTCTGCGATCACTGTGGTTAGTGACTGAATTTAACACTGAACGCTAACTTTAAATGCTAACTTTAAATGCTAACTTTAAACGCTAACAATGAAATGTTCAAGGTGCTTTGATGTACGGTCTCTACAACCAAGGTCTTCAATGCTCGACCTGTCCCGTCAACATACACAAGAGGTGAGATTTAGCAAGTGTAACAAATGCGATTGTGGATACGATTCAATAAGACAAGCTGCTCAGAGTGCTATAGATAGAGTGCGCAGAGTCTTCACAGATCATTAGAATTTTAAAACTTTTCAGATGTCAAAAGAATGTGGTCAATCTGTGCCGTGTGAATACTCAACAAATGGCTGTTTGAATAGTCAAATCTTAAATTCGTCGAATTTCTGTCTAATCATTGCAAAACTTTGATTCTACTGCTTAAAAAAATCGTAAAACCTTGAAATAAAATTTTCGAAATAACAATTGAAAATGCGATTTCAACTAAATTAAATTAAAAAAAATGAGGTTTCAGTGAAATAAGTTATTTTAAAATAACGCAAAACACGCGGTTATAACTGCATAAGTTTAAAGAATTTTGTGAAAAGAGCAAGAATGGCTATTCAACAGGCTATTCAAACCAACTGCATACGAAAACTTTCCTTTCCTTGGGAGTGGGACAAATGCGACCTTTTTTTTGCGCACCTGGACATTTGCGCACCTTTTTTTTGCTAGAAAAGGCCTTAGGAAAGGTCGTAGAGCTTCAAAAAAGTTTTCATAGAAGGGAATCGTATGCGTAGATTCCGAATTTCGACAAATCAGATTTCGCTGACACGTCAAATTTGGACTAAAAGGCAAAAACTACGCAACTTAACGCTTTTCCGCAGTTTTTGCCCTTTAGCCCAAATTTGACGTGTCAGCGAGGTCTGATTTGTCGAAATTCGGAATCTACGCATACGATTCCCTTATATGGAAGTATTTTCGAAATATTTTCGAAGCTCTACGGCCTTGCCTAAGGCCTTTTCCAGCAAAAAAAGGTGCGCAAATGTCCAGGTGCGCAAAAAAAAGGTCGCATTTGTCCCACCCCCCTTTCCTTTTCATTCTTGCCAAAATTCCGAACCGCTCATTCATTTTCAGAAATTTGCATACCGTATTTCTTCGAATAGAAGACCGGGTAAAGAGTATCATCGCGTACTCCTGCGTAGCAGCCCTTTTTAAAATTTCTTTTCTGCATAAAACCTTTCAATCAAGTGCTATAGAGCTGGAAAATGGCTCAAAAATACCACATGAGCTAACAGATTTTAACAGAATCAGTATCCCACGGATCCGAAGCCACGATCCCCGGATCTAAAAATCCGCGCGCTATCCCCTCGGTATCCGCTATCCCCGCTATCACCTGCTCCTCCACGCCTCGAAAAATTTTCGTGCTCACGAACGGACGAACGGACAGACAGACAACCCTCAATTATATACAGTAGATTTTTGAAAAGCTTCCATATTTTTGTCCATTACTGTAAGTCGCCAAAAACTACGGTAGCTGAATTCTATAAAATGGGAAGGCTGCTTTTTATTTTTCGGATGATAATCTATCCTGGTCACACGTAGCAACTTTTGATCACACCCTATTCGTTCATCGTTCCATTTTTATGATATCCAATCATTTAGCGCTATGAAAACAGCCCCGTTTTACATATAGCTGACTTCTTTCTGCATCCGCGCTTTTCAATTTAATCAAATTTAAACAACTTTTGGTACTAAGACAGTTGGGGGCGGGCACTTAAAATTTTCTCAAATGTAGTTTTTCTAGGGTAATTGCTGGCGCTGATCGCGAAAAAAACATTTTTTAAAGTTATATTTTCATTTAAAAACTTATGTATTGCCGTTATATTGGGTAGTTTGTGGCCCTTGAGCGGGCCGTTGGGTTGGGTATCAGGCACATCCATTTTTCGGTACTTTGGTGGTTGGGAGGGGTCACTTTTATCCTGGCTTAGTTGGATCTAATGTTTTGAGTGGTTGTATTGATACCTTTTGTCTACCTATTCTAAGGTAATCAAATATGCTTATACTTTTAGAGCATTTACAACATGTTTTAAGTTTAATATTGCCGCTTTTATTTAATTTTCAAGCGTAAGCAGCTTTGAGGTAGCGTTTGATGGTTAAATTACATGAGATTAGGCTAGAATTGCCAAAAATTTGCTAAAATAGTCACCAATCTATTAAGCATCTTTGATTACCTTAGAATAGATAAAAGGTATCAATACAACCACTCAAAACATTAGATCCAACTAAGCCAGGATAGAAGTGGCCCCTCCCAACCACCAAAGTACCGAAAAATGTATGCGCCTGATACCCAACCCAACGGCCCGGTCAAGGGCCACAAACTACCCAATATAACGGCAATACATGCGTTTTTAATTGAAAACAAACTTTAAAAAATGTTTTTTCGCGATCAGCGCCATCAATTAACGTGGCCTAAAAGATTCCCAATCTTTTTTCTGTCCCTTTTTTAAACGCTTTCAACGTCTAACCAATTAAAGAAAGTTGTATTTTAGAGTGAAATGTATCTAAACGAGGACAACAGCAATCTCTTGGGAAAAATCAAGGAATACGTCGGAGACAGAGTTTGTTTTTATGATAGCGCTAGCAATCTTGGTTCTTTAGAAGTATCGACTCGATTGCCAGGCCGATGGATGCAAATCAACAAATAAAGGATTTCGACCACCATTTTTTCTCGAACATGTTATCTTGAAGCACCATCCAGAGTCTGTTTTTCAACTTATTAGGAATTTAACCGCTCGATAGATAGATCTGGCATTAGACTAAATGCGTTTTGAGTTTGATGAGCATATTTATGTGGCTATAATGTTTCAAAACTTTAGATTCCCAAAAAACTACAAATGTACTGAATGTCATGGCTCGTTCTTTGGCGTTGTTGAGGCTGCGTGCCACGGTCTTAGTCATAAGGGGATTGTCACGTGTAACATCCAAGAAACGGTACAAGATTTTCGTCAATTAAATGTCCCGGAGCGCCGTAAGCAGTGAGTTTTTTGTGTTGCTAAGGGTGATTTTTAATCTGTTTTCATTTTTCATATAATTGTTTTAGAGGGCAGATTTGGGAGGCAGCATACTACACATACAACATCTCGATTGTGCATGATGCCGTCAAAAGACTGATTGACGTGAGTGCTTGAGTTGAAATCTTTTTGATTTTTCTGTTTAGGATGGATTTCTTCAATATGGACCTACACTTCAAGAAATGAGGTAGCTTAGCATTTTGAATCCTTTTTATTTTTGTTTAAGAGCGTCTGCTGATGCTGGTGCCGTGGAAATTGCGTCTCTCAATTTTGGTATTCATTTTATTATGTGCAATAATGTTTCTTTTTCTAGAATCTATTTCTCACAATGATGAAGCACGAGTAATGGAGAGGCAGAACGGCAAGAGAAGAATGAACGACGAGGAATACCAAGACAATAGGGAATTTTCAAAATCACAAAGAACCGAGAACAATACCTACGATCAGGCCTTCACATCATTTTCAAGGAGTGAAAAAAAGAATGTGGACGACGGCAGCTTCAACAATTATTCTCTCCCAAATCAACACCAAATGGTAAATATCAATTAACAAGCATACAATGAATGGGAAAATATTCAGGATTACCGACGCTGTGGCGGTAGCCGTCATAGCCTTGAACCGTCGCAAGATAAGATGTCGCCACAAAAGATAATGCATAATGAGATGAACCTATCGCTTTCAAGGGGAACTTGGTCCGAGACGCCTTCTGAAATTCGCCCTCGTCAAATGAATGTAACTAAACGCGATAATGGATCTATGTGTATTACCATTTAGTACACCTCTGTTGACGAATCATTGCGGCGCCAAAGGTTTCAGGAGATGAGAAAAGCAGACAATTTGCAGAAGGGTTCTTTCAACGAAAAAGCGAAAAAGCGTAAGCTCTTTTTTTCATCGAGTTCTCATTAATCGTTTAAAATATAGCATCAACTTCAAGAAAAACTCCACCGCAGCAGAAGCAAAAGGAACAGCGGCGATCGGGAACTGTTCGAGTTAGCACATTGTTCTTTTTTTTAAAGTTAAATATTTAGGTTCCACCGGTACGCGAAAAAATTATGGATTTCAGCAGTTCTTCTCCACCGAAGACACCACGCGGACACAGGGTTTTATTGAATTGAAGGGTTTTTACAAAATTTCATTTTAGTTTAATCCAGATCCAGATCGTTCTCCCGTTCTCCCCGTTCTCCATACTTTGGTGCTGATGAAGACGACGAAGAACCAATTTTTTTTGGTTAGTGATCAAGTTGTTGCACTAAAATTTTTTCTTTAGCTAGCACTTCTTCAACTCAACAAGCAAGCCGTGCTCGAGATTGGGAGAGGCAAGGTAAAGTCTTATTACATATTTCCGTTATCTCTTTGTCCTTTTTAGATGAACGTGAGTGTCGTGATAAAAGAAGCGACTATGGAAACAAGAACAGCTCAAACTATTAAACTTATAATATTTTATATTATTTTTGTTGCTAATTTTGTTATGTAATGCATTTCTTTGCATTTGATATTGTTAATGTTTTTGCAGATTTTTTGGATAAAGTCTTGAAGTTTGAAAGAGTTGCTTTTGGTTTGATGGTATCTGAAATCGGCTTTCTCTGAGTTGACCCCTTTTCAACTTTTTGCTTGGAATTCAGAAAAGTCAATCTTAAGAAAGTTTACTATTGCATTTTGAAATATTCTTTGTCCAGCTAAGTTAACTAACTTCTCAAGGGTCGAGCTATTTATATAGGTTTTTAGATAGATGTGCGAACGTAGTCGCTCGAGGGATCGCCGAGTGAGCCGGTTCGACTCAACCATCTCAATTGAGCGTAGAAGGGATCACAACGATAGGTGACGTTATTCCAATTTAAAAGTGTACTTTTCATGGAAAGGCCACAGTTGACTAAGGTTTTGGGTGCGAAAAGCTGCTCTTACTAGATGTTGTGCTATAAAGTTGAAGCTAGACCTGTTTAAATAGCAACCCGTGTTTTTCTTAAAGTTTGAATAAATCTGAAATTTAGTCGTTCTCGTCGGCGCGATGATTCTCGTGAGGGTGATCATCTCAGGGAGCAAAGTCCTCGTCGTATTTCAGGAGAAATTTTTCGATGTAACGGTGCTTTTAAATTCATTTGAGAAAACGTTTTAGGTTATAAAAAGTAAATCGATAAATACCCAAATCTTTAGACCGTAAAAATTTTTTAATGAAGTATTTATTTAATGTTTTGAGAGTTTCGATTTTAGCTTCAGCAGCTCGTGCAATCGAGTTCACTGGCGCGCCTTTCACCGATGCTCAACTTAATGATGTGCCGAAAAAGCAATTTACCGGACGAGGTCGTCTGTACATTGGAAATTTGCCGCCCGATGTATGCCTGCAATATTAGTTGCTTTAACGTAATTTTGTGTTTAGATGAATGAAAAGGAGCTGAGGGAACTTTTCAATCCATATGGACATCTCGCCGATTGTTACTTGTCAGGAAAAGGATTTGCTTTCATCCGAATGGTAAGTTAAACAGCTGGCAAAGGGGACAAATTGTTGGTTCGCTTGGCGTAACTGACTTTTTAGATGCGATAAACTATTAGGTTGATGCATAAGTCTTTTTGTTCCTTTTCGTCTGCCGTTTCAAGCCAACAAATGCACCAATTAAACTACGGTTGATTTCATTAGAAAAACCAATTATTTTTCTGCAAAATAACATTAAAACGGGTTTAAAAATATTTAATGCCTGGATTTTCTTGAGAGTATGAAGTCGGGTAGTCAAAAAGGGCTAACTCGATGATGCGGTTTAGACACCTTAGCTAAAGAAAACCTATCTTCGTGTCAATAGATAAAAGATAGAGAAAAAAAAGTTTGATATTTCGCCAAAATTTCAGAGAAATTCATTCAGCCAATTTTTCCGTAGAGTTTTTTATAGATTTTTACGAAAAAGGCGTTTTTCACTCTCGAATTTGCTTGAAAGTGAACCGAAATTGATTTAAAAAGATGGAAATTGAACAAAAAAACACTTTTTTTATAGAGCAAACTATAGATTAATTGGTGAATTTGTTACTTTTTAACAGAAGTACGAAAAAAACGAAAAGACTTATGCATCAACCTATTACATTAGCAAACCCCTGGTAGTAAACCGATGTCCAGTGTTCTTTTACAAGTTGAATAACCATGTTTCACTATTTGTTTGGGCATAAAGTTTTTTAGAAACTTTACTTAGTCAAGCTTTCTCTATAATTTGAATTGTTTAGGACACACGTGCGCACGCGGAAAGTGCCAAAGAAGCGATCGATGGACTAGAGATCAAAGGCCGTCAAGTGCGTGTACGTTATTCGATCCACGGAGCCGCCCTTCGAATCAAAGAATTGCCACAAAGCGTCTCCAATGAATGGCTCTACCACACTTTTTCTCAATTCGGCGAAGTCGAGCGGGCTATTCACATTGTTGACGAAAAAGGACGAGCTACTGGCGAAGGAATTGTTGAATTTGAGCGAAAGCCGGCCGCCAATGAAGCTCTTGCGTGGGTTCGGGACAAAGTTTTTTTAATTGCCGCGTGAGTTTTTATTTTAGTTAATTTTGTCTTTTGCTCTATAGGCACGTTGATCTTTTTATAATAAAATTGTCACGTTTAGAACTCCAAGACCTCTTGTAGCAGAGTTGGTGGAGCCAAAAGATGAAGAGGACGGCTTAGCCGAGCGACTAGTCTCAAAAGTGCCAAAAGTGATCAAGTAAGTAATATATTTGCATTTGAAATGCATGAATTTTGTGCTTTAGAGAACGCGCATTGGGTCCTCGGTTTCCAGTTGCTCAAAGCTTTGAGTACTTCTACGGGATGAAATGGAAGGAGCTCTACGAAGCCGAGAAACGACGACGTGCACAGTTGGAAGATGAATTGAAAGCGACGCGAGAACGACTGGATCGAGATATGGCAATCGCATATCAACACTTCCAGACAAATGCACTGAGGGAAGGTTGGTGTTGTTTTAAGAAAAGTTTAGAAAAGAAAAAAGGCTCGCAAGATTTGCGTCTTTACTTCATTCTTGTGTTGAATAAAGATTATATTTGTGAAAAACTTAGAACTCGAGCGACGCCAAAAGAAACTAGAACGTTTGGAAGCCACCCGTCGCGATCGAATCACTATGTCAAGAAATGAAAGAAATGAGAACGTTTTCGGGGGAGTTTTTGGTTTGACGCAGCCGTCTTCCTACGTTCAAATGGAATCACCAAGTAAATTTTTTTTGTAATGTTAGTTAAAGCTTTAAAATGGGTGATTGAACTATTAAGTGAATTTAGGTTTGGTCAGCGGTAGCAATACTTATCGTGGAAATTTCATGCCTGTAACACCAACTAATCGCAAATCGTTTGAATCCACTAACTTGCCCTTTTCGCCTGTGCAAACTCAAGTAAGTACCTAGTGTTATTAAATGATGGTAGTCTTTCTGTTACTGCCTAACTATACCACTGCTTTAGACTGACTATTCAGCCCCGACCACCCGTCGCAGCGTATTGGATGGGGTTCAGCAGCTTCTAAGTAAGGTCAAAAGCGGAAACTTTGGAGTAAAAGAAAAGCCCGAGCTTCGTGAGTTTTATTAATATTGCTTTGAATTGCTAGATTCGAAAATTATGCGAAAAAACTCTAATTATGGATTGCCTTTTATTTTTCAGAAGAGAATGTCCAAGGTACAAGTTATCTTCAAGGAGCGTTTGGTGACTCGAGGACTTTCGATGCGTTTGATGGGATGGGACCACCAATCAAGAAGGATTGCCGTTGAGACCATCTTTTGTTGTTTTTCTGTTACTTGTTATGAGATTTAGTTACTTCTTGTTAAAACAGCTTTAGCACATTTGCTACTACAGCATTCATTACTATTCACATTTAAAAAGTGCTCTTTTCAAGCATTAAAATATATTGTTACAAGCTTTCTGGTCATTAATGTCGATAAATTTGTTGAAACTTCCGGGATAACTAATGGACAAATTAAAAGACAGATTTACATTCAGACAAGGGATCCAAGCACATGTACTTTGCGAATAAACGAAAGGAAACTTTGCTAATTTCGTTTAAATTTTAAAGTTTTAATCTTTTGTTCCAATATGATACGGAAATTGAAAAGCCCACGGAAAAATAAAACTCACGAGATTACCCCAAAAAACCCGAAAAGAGTGCCCTTGGACAAGAGCCTCTTTTCCCATTCCAGCCAACAGCACGGATGGCCGAGTGGTCTAAGGCGCCAGACTCAAGCGAACAGCTTCCCGCGAGTATGCGGGTTCGGGTCTTCTGGTATCTTCGGATGCGTGGGTTCGAATCCCACTTCGTGCAAAGATTTTGCTTTTTTTGGTTTGAGTTTGGATCTTTTATAGTTTTGACTAACTTTATCAGTAATGAGGTGAGAAACTCGGTAAAGTTTTTCGTCGATCCATTTTGTGTGGAGTTTTAGGGCGGAAAGCGTCGGCGATTCTTTTCCTGTAGGGTTGGTAGACGAAAATCGTCGTGCAAGTGAAGCCGGTTCCATAGAAACTTTGGAAAAAGTTTGTGATTGCCGAAAATGCTGTAACATTTGTAAAATGGATAAATAAAAAACGAGTACCTCCATTGGTGACACCAAATTGATAATAGATTCGAATACTGATGAATGGAACGGCAATGAAGATCAATGGGATTAAAGTCTGGATAAAGGCAAAATCTGTGCTCCCGTCTATCATTTTACCTGTGCCAAACTGTTCCGAATCCAGAGATGTTGCTTTTTGGCCGTCGTGGAAGACATGATTCGATGCATTGAGTCAAAATATCGTTTAGCAGAATAGAGCAATAAAAGAACATGACCGGTTGAGGCACCCATAAAGGAAAGAATCGAGATTGTCGGCAAGGAAAAGATTGAGCCTATCCACGTCATTGTGAACGCGTTTTGATCAATGAGGAGCGAGCTCTGCGAGTTTTTGTGAATTGCATTTGTAGATCTTTGTTCATTTTTCGTTTAATACCTTGTCAAGGAGATAAAGAGGTAGAGCAAGAATGAGCAGAAAAATGCACGAAGTGATCGGGCCGGTGAAAGAGATGAGTCTGAAGTTGATTTGTGAGTAAGGGACGAGTAAGGGACGAGCCAAATACTGGCATACAGGATAATACGGTCAATGACAATACGGCCAATGACAATACGGCCAATGACAATACTGCCAATGACAATATGGCCAATGACAATACTGTCATTCAAACAATACTGTCATTCAAACAATACTGTCATTCAAACAATACTGCCATGTCCTATCATATCAGTATTGTTCGTGTCTGAGATACAGTACTTCTAGCGACCTGCTAGCTATAGTAAGATTAGTTTTAAGCACCAGGCTGTACTGGAACTGGCCTTGCAACAATTGCGGCCAGAGATCAACTGTTTGAAAGAGAGGAACAGTAACTAATCGACCAATTTCCATCTTCACAACCCTCTTTTCCTACTTTGACATCATTCGATTCTCCTCGGGAACTATTTGACAAACGGCTCCCACAAACAAAAAGATCATCCCGTTGACCATTATAGAAGCAGCGATAAAGAACAGTATCTAAAATCTTGTACTCATTTTAAGCTATCTCTTCCTACAAATTGAATCCGAACTTCCACACCAAGCACCGTCAATATACCGCACATGATCACTTTAGTCGCGTTCTCCAGCTTTTCACTCTGGATATTGATTAGGATTCCGTAGGCTAGATCTAAGCAAATTGCGCCAAACTGAAATATTCATTATAGGATTTTTTTGACGCTTTGGCTTAGGCCTAAGCCTGAGCTTTGAACTCACATGAGCGAAAGCAATGAAGTAAGACATGTGTCGCATCTCTGGCGAAGCTGCACGCAAGACAAAGATGATCCCAGAAACATTGAAAATTAGGCAGAGACCGAAAGTTCATTTTTGTAACTGTGAGGGTTTTCTTTTCCTGAACCTTGCCCTAGATTACGATCGTTTTTCTAAAATGAAATAGAAAGCGCATTAGCCGCATTAGTGCATCTACTCGTTACTGTATAAGAAAGCGCATTAGTGCATCTACTCATTACAGTATACTGGATCGAACTGTATTCACTGACTAGACTGAATATCTTCCGAAGTCTTTAAAGTTATCTGAATTTTGGTTAAGGATTAGATCTCTCACCACTCGTGTAGCATTGAAATTTGGTGAAGAATTGCTGATTTTCTGACCACGGGTACATTATTGCAAAATCCATATCGATAAAACAAACAAAAGGCAAAAGTATTTGAAAGACGAAATTGATTTGTCTCTTTCAATTTTTGATCTTAAAAAGTCGCACACATCACGTTCCAAATGCAATTTACTCGCAACTTCATTCAAATTACTCTTTTCTTTTGGTGAGTTTGGGGAATTGAGTAATTCCCCAATCTCACCAAAAGAAAAGAGTAATTTGAATGAAAATTTGAGAGTGAGTGTGTTTTCTGTTTTCTGGAAATTGAATTCCCGTGGATAATTTGAGGGAGATGGTAAATCGACAAACAAATAAAGGAAATGGTTTAGAATGAAATGGTTTAGAATGAAATGGTTTAAGCGAGCGAGCTTTTTAGAAAGCCAGAGCTGTTTTAGAAATGGTTTAGCTTAACTTTGAAGATTGTTAAACTTTTGTTAACTCTCAGCTTTTAGTTTAACTTGTCAAATAAAGCAATCACAAAATCAAGATTTGTATTTTACTCGAACTAAACAGTCGCACTTGAGAATGCCCTGGAAAAGTTACCGTAACCACCGATTTCTGTTTTCTAAACGGCGCCCTTTTCCGTCGCGTGTTTGTCTTTATAAAATCGGGCTAGGCTAATTTCCGCCATTTTATTTGCGCAACTCGTCATAACTTTCTTCTAAGTGAGCCAATCTTTATGATTTTGGATAATTTTGTTACACTTGTTGAGATCTGCAAAATGACACCAAAATCATAAAGATTGGTCGACTTAGAAGAAAGTTATGACGAGTTGCGCAAATAAAATGGTGGAAATTAGCCTAGCCCGATTTTATAAAGACAAAGACGCGATGGAAAGAGTGCCGTAAGGGGAAAAGGGTACCTACCCCATAAAATTCTTATTTTTCAATCCATTCTCTCTCTCCTTTTTCCTTTTGAATTGCAAAAGTTTTCACTTTCAGTCAAATCTTCGTGCGTAACTGTTGTTCGATTCATCCCGCAATTCGTTGTATTTACCTGATTGAGCACTCATTTCACCTTGTCCACTCAAAAAGATAGGCTTCTCAAACTTTTTACTCTCCTTTTCATATCAAAAAACGGACCTTGACCCGCTGTGTAGCCTGAAATGAACTTTGGAGTGTTCTTTCTGTCAAGGAAATAGTCAGCATTAGTGCGAGAGAGGAGGAATTTTGGGAAAGCGCAGAGAAAAGCGGCCAATAGATCACTGACCTGACAACGTGCAGCAGCCTTCATTTTCGTCGTTCTCTTGGTGTTTTTAAGATCATAACAAACTTTTTAATGACATCATTGACTTAAAAGGTTTTTTTGATGTTTTCCTATGTCGACAAGTCAAATTTTCGTTTCTTTAGTGTTTTATCGAAGGAAACACTCGATTTCTTGTTGACAGAATGGCAGCAAAAGGTTGTTTTATTTTAATTGTAACTTTATTTTTCTATTCAGGTGTTTTCATCGTTGGAGCAAAACGCACGGCTTTTGGCACCTTTGGCGGAAAGCTCAAAAACGTTTCGGCTACCGATTTGGGAGTGGTTGGGTTTTTAGTTTTTAAATTTAATAGCTGCTTAAAGTATTTGAGTGCAAGTTGGTTGAACTTAATTTAATTTTGACTTAGTTTCAAGCTAATGGCATTTGTTATGTTAAACTTATGCCAAAATTTCTATTTTGAAATATTAAAGTGCTAAGTTTTTAGGCCGCTTCTAACGCAGCTCTACAACATGCCGGTGTGAAGGCAGAACAAATCGACCACATCATTTTCGGTAATGTGATCACCTCGTCAAAGGATGGAATCTACCTCACTCGACATATTGGACTCAAGGTTTCTTATAAGATAAATTCTTATAAGGTTTCTTATAAGCGAATCTACTTTATAATTCTTTCTTTCTAAAAATAGGACACAAACTTTATATAAAGTTTGTGTCCTATTTTTAGAAAGAAAGAATTATAAAGTAGATTATGTTAACAATTGTTTATTTTAGGCTGGTGTCCCACAAAGTGCGGGCGCGTTGACGGTGAATCGACTTTGCGGCTCCGGCTTTCAGGCAGTTGTTTCAGCGGCTCAAGTAAGTTTTTTTGAATTAAAGAAATTGGGGAAAACTAGTTTGCATTCAAGAGTGTAAGCAAAATTATCCTTTTTAGCAAATCAAAACTGGCGACTCGTCATTGGTACTAGCTGGAGGAACCGAGAATATGTCACAGACGCCATTCGTCGTGCGAAATGTTCGCTTTGGGACAGCACTTGGACAAAAATATGAAGTAAGCGTAGAATTTTATTCTTTAAAAGAGTTTTCTTTAGTTTGAAGATAACTTGTGGGAATCGTTGACCGACTCGTATGCGCAACTTCCGATGGGAATGACTGCCGAGAAGCTTGGAGCTCAATATAAGGTTGGAATTGCTATCATTTTCATTAGGCAATGCTAAAATTCAGAAATTAAATAGCACGACCTTATGAATCAAGTTTGCTGAACTTCACTTTGACTTATTCTTTATTTCAAATTCCAGGTAACTCGCGATGAGGCTGATGCTTTTGCTCTTCGATCACAAACGCTCTGGAAGAAATCTAATGACGCGGGCGTTTACAAGAACGAGATCTCCCCAATCGAGGTCAAAGGAAAAAAAGGGCCCGAAAAGTTTGAGGTACGGATATTGTTTTGCTTTTTATACATCCCATGTTCCAGGTTGATGAACATCCACGTCCAACCACTGTCGAGTCTCTTGCCAAATTGAAGGCTGTTTTCAAGAAAGATGGATTAATCAATGCTGGAAATGCTTCGGTGAGTTATTTAAAATAAGTTTTTACCCGGATCCCTTTTAGGGTGTTTCTGATGGTGCTGCCGCACTTGTCGTTGCCGGTGATGAAGCCGTGAAAGCACACGGTCTGAAGCCATTGGCTAGAGTAAGTTTAAACAGCAATTCGAATGAAACTCAGTAATTACGTTTAGATTGTCGGTTATGCTGCCGTTGGCTGTGATCCAACAATCATGGGAATCGGGCCAGCTCCAGCAATTCGACAAGCGCTGAAGAATGCCGGGCTCACCCTTGACAAGATGGATATTATTGAAGTGAGTGTTCTTATGAATTGACGGTATATGGGGCTTGCTTAGGTGAATGAAGCTTTCGCCCCGCAAGCCTTGGCCGTGCAACGTGAACTCAAGATCCCAGACGAGAAATTCAACTTGAACGGAGGTTTGTGAGACCTGGATATTGCTTAAGACTGGCATTATGCGAACAGCTCAACTGAATTTAACTTTTCTTTAGGTGCTATTGCTCTTGGACATCCGCTTGGAGCCTCGGGGGCCCGTATCTCCACTCATATCGTGCACGAACTCCAGTGGGTATTTTGGAGACTTTTTAGTTTATGTGTAGTACAAACATTTTCAAAGTTACGTAACTTGCAAAACATTTTACTTATTCAATTTTTAAAAAGTTCAATTGTATTTTAGGCGACGCAACTTGAAATACGGAATTGGCTCGGCTTGCATCGGTGGTGGACAAGGAATCGCCATCATCTTCGAGCGTCTCTAGATCAAAAGTTGATGAACATTTTGAGATTTTATGCACTTGTAGTTAATTCTAGTTGTACTTGTTGCCTTTTTCTGTGAGTATTCTTTTTTGTTTCTCTGTGATTTCTAGATACGATTGTCATTTTGGGATGTAGTTAAAACAGCGCCGAATAGAAAACGTTCAAAATAGTGAAGCCAAGTTTCTCACAATACAAAAAACCAAGCAGTTCCAAGCTATATGATGGGTGAAACGGTTTTTTAAAAAAAGTTAGTATATAAAATTGGCGTTCATATTCAAGATATTCAGTTAACCGACTGAGTATCACTCGACAGTTTGACGGTGCTGTTTTGATTGTATTTTGGAGCACTTTTAACTAGATCCCGTCATTTTTAGCCTTATTTCTGTAAAGAAGAAACGAAAATGTAAAATATTTATTTTTGACACGATTAAATACATGGTTTTATGCATTTGTGCAATCGATCACAGCTTGCTTCGGGAACGCTTGGTGAATTTTTTGGCTCCTGGAAGTTGAGTTAAATAGTTTCGACTGGCCAGCATTTAATTGGCTGACACAGTACTACCGGTGATACATAGAACTAATGCTGCTATGTGTAGAAAGAAAAATAGTATTGGAGATTTGTTCAAATTCTGCTCTCTAACCTTCAATAGCCTCAACAAGAACTTCTTGTCCCTTCTCATACTCAAAACCCATCGCGTCATCATGCGAGCATTGTGACGAATTGAAGACCGATTGACGATCAGTCAACATGCAAGCCTGAGTTAATTATCAGAGGTATCAGATTGCAAGAGATATCAGATTTATATTCACCTCGGGATGTTTCATAATAAGCCGAGCCAAATCGATTGCTTTATTAAGTGCTGAAATTCAAAAGTTTTTACCTCGTTTTAATGTTTTACCTTGGCCTTTTGGTGAAATCATAGTCGCTAATCCAATCTCTTTTGCCTCTTTAGCGTAAACATCTCTACCGGTTAGGATAATGTCAAGTGCTCGGCCAAGACCGATAATCTGAAAGGTAGTTGAATAACTTTAGCATAAAGGCCTATGAAATAAGATGCAGTAATACAGCAAGTAACTTTCATAAAAGTTTAGCATTTCTTTTCTTTTCTTAAAGTCACCTTTGGCAATCGAACGGTACCACCATCGATCAACGGGACGCCAACTCGTCGACAGAAAACTCCCATTATCGCGTCATCAGCGACAACTCGGAGATCGGCTTAAAGGTGTTCAAGGTCATTGAAAAGACAGTAGATGTAAAGTAGATGTACAGTAGATTGTACAGTAGATTGTACAGTAGTTTGTACAGTACATTGTACAGTAGATGAAATTACAGTTTTAACAATGTTTAGAGTGATTAGCTTACCCATTAGAGTCAACTCGAAACCCCCAGCCACCGCGTATCCTTCAATTGCGGCGATTATCGGCTTCTCGATTTTCAAATTTGTGGGTCCCTAAGATTTTTTGAATTATTTCTATATCTACGAGAAAAGACGAGGTTTTGGCCACAGAGGCCAGGGAGTTGAGGCCACAGAGGCCAGGGAGTTGAGGCCACAGAGGCCAGGGAGTTGAGGCCACAGAGGCCAGGGAGTTGAGGCCACAGAGGCCAGGGAGTTGAGGCCACAGAGGCCAGGGAGTTGAGGCCACAGAGGCCAGGGAGTTGAGGCCACAGAGGCCAGGGAGTTGAGGCCACAGAGGCCAGGGAGTTGAGGCCACAGAGGCCAGGGAGTTGAGGCCACAGAGGCTAGGGAGTTGAGGCCACAGAACCCTTACTGTAGTTCAATAACGGTCAATAATTCAATAAAAGTGAGAACAAAAATCGAAAACAAATAAGCTGAACGGCTTTTAAAACTAAATTTTCCGAAAACTCACTAAAAATCGATGTTTCTGAATGAAATCGACAAATTCCGGTCCCTTTTCCATGTGACGACCCTCGGAAACTTCCTGAAGATCGTAGCCGGCACAAAAAGTGCCTCCTAGAAATTGACTTTGAGATTTAATGAATTTAACGCAATTACCCTAACCCTAATGTAATTCTCTAATGTAATTGCCCTATGCTGATACATATAAACATACATTTTACAGATTAGAGCATAAAATTTATCTAATATTTCATAAATCAACAACAATAAACCAAACCTTCTCCATACAAAATGGCCACCTTGTGCTTGGGAGTCGCATTAAAGCTCTTAAAAGCCTTAAACAAAAACTTTATATATTGCTATTTATCCCAAAAAAAAAAAAAAAAAACCTCTAACAGTTGAACGGCCGTCTCGTGATTTACACAATTTTTTTTTGTTGGTCGATTAATACCGATTAGAAAGATACCATCGAATTCTTTTGTTATAACTAAATTAGCTAAATTAGCTAAATTAGCTTTATACTGCTATTTTACCTGTCATAACAAATGTGTTCATCTATTGAAAGAGATTTTGAAAGGAAAGTGGAAAGGTCACATTGAAATTGTTGTAGTTTTTCTTGTAGTTTGCTCGTTTTTGGTGATATGGGATCGGTCAGTGATCATTTTGGCAACAAAGATAAAGAAATCTGGTGGAGAATGAATCTACCGTAAATACTGTAATAGTACCCCATCCCCCTCGTACAGTCGCGTAGTCGCAAAAGTTTTTTAGTATTTCATTTTTTTTCAAAGCACCCGTACTTTCAAAAAGTGCGTCTTTGGTATCAAAAAATAGCCCTGAATTTCAGCTATTTTTTGATATCTAAACGAGCATTGTAGCATAAACCAGTGTCGAGAAAAACGCGTTTTTTCGGGATGGTTGCGTAGCCTAACTTTAAACATCCCGTTCTCCGCGCTGCTTTATGCTACAATGCGCACTTTGGTATCAAAAAATAGCCCTGAATTTCAGCTATTTTTTGATATCTAAACGAGCATTGTAGCATAAACCAGTGTCGAGAAAAACTCGTTCAAAGCTAGACTACGCAACACTCCGCACCGTCATTATGAAGGTGGGGTACTATTACAGTATTTACGGTAGGCTAACTCGTAAACGAATTGTAAGTTTCGACTTTGCATTGTGCTTTGTGTAAAGTGATTTATTGAAGTCACAATGACTACAGTATGATACTAGTTACCATTGTGATTCTTATGCTTTAAATAAAGCTCTTTGCATGCAAATTTGGACTTAAAAACGGTCCTTTATTACTGTACTGTGTCGTATAAGTGTACCGTATGATACTAAATACCGTACACTCTAGTTACAGTATCCTTTTTAGTACCTACATGATTACAGTAGCTTTTCAAATCCACCCAAAATAGTAACTAAATAAAGTACTTTACATTTAACGCATTGCAGGCTCTATATTCCGTAAATCTTTCGAGCCTCGTCGTTTACTATACTGGCTGCTTATTCTAGGCTACTGTAACTACAAGGCTAACACTAACCAAAATCGATTCTCTAACTACATTCTCTAACGATAATCTAAAAATAAAACCCTTACTTTTAAAGTAAAATTTCTGTGCTTTGTGCTTTGTACTTTGGACTTTGTACTTAGGTAAAACTTTTATTTCCGCATGATAAATTTCCTGACAAATTCGGGAGTCAATGGCAGAGGTAGAACGATTGGGATCGGGATCGGCAAAATGATTGGCAGTTTCGAGTTTTTCTCGAGCTTTTTTCGGAGATGCAACTCGAGTTGAACATCGATCGAATCATCGGAAGAAGATGAGCTTTTATTGTTCATTCGATCGGAAGAAGATGAGCTTTTATTGATCTTCCGATCGGCTACTGGTGAAGGGATTGGCGGGGGAAAGAGGAAATTTGGGGGCAAAACGATGGGGAAAGGTGGGAGTGGGAGGAAGGATGATGTGGGGAAGGGGAAAGCCGGGAATTGAGGGAAACTCGGTGGTGGGTGCAGTGGATGGGTGATTGGAGAGGAGTGGTGGCTGCAGAGGCTCGTTGACGGCTTCGGCGCTGGGGATTTGGGTTGTCCGTTGGCTCGCAACTCGTCCCAATATCTGCAAATGGTATCTTTACATTCGTTTGTATTCATAGCTCTTTTTTAGCTTACAGCTTTTAGCTACAACACCTTAGGTGGCCTAAGCCGCTTTGCCATTGGCAATCCAACTTTGAACTTAAATATCTCGGCGTTGGGCTGTTCAATTGAAATAGTTTTTAGAGAAACCGATAGAGAAAGACTTGGTGCATCCAATGATATTAAGAATATTGAAATTGGATAGCTTAAATTTAAATTGCTGATGGGAAAAGGGGCGGGGTCATTGCCCGCCCCTTTTCCCATCAGCAATCCAACTTTGAACATAAATATCTCGGTGTTGGGCTGTTCAATTGAAATAGTTTTTGTACCAATCGATAGAGAAAGACTTGGTGCATCCAATGATATTAAGAATATTGAAATTGAACAGCCGAACAGCAAGAAATTTGAGCTCAAAGTTAGATTGCTAATGGGAAAAGGACCAGGGCTTATGGGCGGGACTTAGGGGCTTATATACGCGCCCCGCCCCTTCGCCATTGACACTGCAACTTTGAACTCAAGTATCTTGGTGTTAAGCTGTTTAAATGAAATACTTTTTGTATCAATCGATAAAGAAAGACTTGGTGCATCCAATGATATTAAGAATATTGAAATTGGATAGCTTAAAGTTAAATTGCTGATGGGAAAAGGGGCGGGGCCGTTGTGGAACCTTTTATACGCGCCCCGCCCCTTTTCCCATCGGCAATCCAACTTTAAACTCAAATATCTCGGCGTTGGGTTATTCAATTGAAATAGTTTTTATAGCATTCGATAGAGAAAGACTTGATGCATCCAATGAAACCAAGAATCTTGAAATTGGATAGCTCAACACGAAGAAATTTGAGCTCAAAAGTTAGATGCCGACCTTTTATTCAATTTGTGCGGTGGATGAGGTCGATTGGTGTTTGATCGTTTCCGGTTCTCTTTCTTTATTGTCGAATGTTTCAGCGATGTCATCTGAAAAGGATGAGTAAAACAAAAAAAAAGCTTGAAGAATCTAGATTTATTCTAGATCAAGCTCTAGATTTGACTCATTTTTAGGCAAGCTATCGACTTGAATTGAAATAATCTTTCTTCAAAACAAGCCTATTTTCAAAACAAGCTTATTTTCAGAGCATTCCCTGAGAGCTTCAAAGGAAGTTTTTGAATTTGAAAACTGTGGAATTGTGAATGAAAAGAATGATTTTGATGGAAGCGTTTAGTAAAGGTAGTATTGTTTTAGATGATTAGAAGCTTTTAAATTCACCTCAAATGGTCGCTTTGTGAGGAATTCGAGTGAGAGTGGTTGATGAGGCATTGTTTGCCTTAAAAATAATAAATTCGTAATGATAAAACTATAAAAATAGTTAAAAATAGTCAAAAATAATCAAAAATCATCAAAAATCGTCAAAAATAGTCAAAAATCGTCAAAAATCGTCAAAAATAATCAAAAATAGTCAAAAATAGTCACAAATCGTCAAAAATAGTCAAAAAATAGTTAAAAATAGTCAAAAATAGATAAATAATCAAAAGAAAACTGAATAAATAGAGAACTCGATGTTTAATAGGCTGAGAATAAAAAAAAAAAATACCGACTGGGGCTACCAGTGGTGAATTTATCGCATACACGAAATATATCAATCACAATACAAGACACACACAATACAGGCATATCTTAACTAACCCAGTCATGACAGACGGCTCCCTAACCCTAAGCTCAATGGGGAACTAAATAGCTTTTTTGGTGGTGAAGGGAAGATGACGATGAAGGAATAGAAGAAAAAAAAGGTTTTTTCGGAGTTTCTAATGATAAAAGAAGAACAGAAAGATTTTGTCTTGTAAAAAGCAAAGAGTGCACCAGGAAAGATGTGTTTTTGATCAAGAATTCCATTCAAAAGCAGTTTGTTAGAAGAGAAATGTGAAAAAAAAAATGAAAAGCTTTTTTAGGAGAAAGAGAATTTTTATTGTTGAAGGATAAGGATTTAGCTTTAAAAAATTAAACCGTAAACTTTCTAGGGTCAAGTAGAAAAAAGCTCAAGAACTTGGCTCAAGAATAGAAGATTGTGAAGGGGTTTAGATGGGGTGAAAGCCAAGAAACCCGAGGAGGGTGATGGGGAGGATTGTATGGAAGGGGAAGAAGGGGAAGAAGAGGGGAAGAGGGGGAAAGAAGAGGGGAGAAGAGGGGAGAAGAGGGGAAGAAGGGAGAAGAAGAGGGGAAGAAGGGGAAGAGGGGGAAGAAGAGGGGAAGAAGGGGAAGAGGGGGAAGAAGAGGGGAGAAGAGGGGAGAAGAGGAGAAGAAGGAGAAGAAGAGGGGAGAAGAGGGGAAGAAGGGGAAGAAGGGGAAGAAGAGCGGAAGAATTGAGATCTCCGATGACAAGTAAGCCATTCAACACCCAAGCTATTCAAAAAGGCATACAACACAAGTAAAGAGAAGAAGAGGAATTGGGGGGGAAAGATAGGGGCGAGGGTAATATGAAACCATTTCTGGGAGGAGACTTTCCCATGCCATGTATTTTGATACCCTCAGCTTTGTTCAAATTGAGAGAGAAAGAGAGCCACATACAAACATTGCATTTCGAGAATCAACTGCTGGTAATTTTTGGAGGAAAAAGATAGCAAAGAATTGCAAAGAATACCGTAACCAATTAAGTTGAGTATAGTTGAGTATAGTTGACTATAGTTGACTATAGTTGACTATAATTGACTATAATTGACTATAATTGACTGTAAATTGGATTAAGCGATGAATAAATAAAGTACATTAGATAAAATGTAGAGTAAAAGCTGAAAAAAGCTGAAAAAATCATTTCATCTCTTCTTGCGTACGCCTGCAGTGAATCCCAAATGTTCTTCATCCAAAATTTCTATTCGCAACCGGAGTGTCTTCGAAGATGATAGCATTTCTATTACAAAGCAGCTACGACTCCTTGAAGACTGGGCTTCCAATTTAACGACCAAGAAAACGTTGCAACAAAGTTTGGTCTGATAAAAAAACTGTTGGAAAGCATTGGGACTTTTTTCCGACAGTTAAGCGAAAACTGGTTTACCTAGAACGATAAATGCACAGTAAAGGATAAAAAGAATATAAATGTAGAGTAAAAGCAGAAAAAGAGCAATAAATGTACAGTAAAGGATAAAAAGAACATAAATGTACAGTAAAGGCAGAAAAAGAGCGATAGATGTACAGTAAGGGCAGGAAAAGAACGATAAATGTATAGTAAAGACTAAGAAAGAGCGGTAAATGTACAGTAAAGGCCGGAAAAGAACATAAATGTAGAGTAAAAGCTGAAAAAGAGCGATAAATGTATAGTAAAGACTAAGAAAGAGCGGTAAATGTATATTAAACCCTGAAAGAGTGACGATTTGCTCTTTGAGCTAATCAGATACAGTAAATCACTCAAACTACCTTTATCTTATTAGCTTTTCTTATTAAACACATAACTATAGGATTCTTCTTTACTTTTGTCTATGATTCACCACAACAAAAAGCGATAGAATAGATCAAGTTCTCGCCCTTTTTGTTGAATGAAAGTCGATTCCTTTTCCATTCGATCCACAATCGTTTTTCCTTCTTTCACAGTGCTAAATGAGAGATCTTTCAAAGCTTTCTCATTCTTCACTCAAATATCTTCAAGCGAAAGTTTTGCGAAGTAAAAGGTTTCAAATTGCTCTCTTTTCCGGACTTAAAACCTGTTAAAACCTAAAGGAAAATACAATGCAAAAAAGTAGTGTTAGTAATCTAAAAAGTAAAAAAAACATGTAATGCTTGCCGTTTATTATCAAATCATAAACTAAAGATCAAAAAAACGAGACTGTCGGAGGCCGATTTTTCTGAAGTTATGGGGAGACCGTTGGCCAGATCGCGAGCGATTACTCAGCCGCACAACGAACGTTTTTCCTGAAGTTATGGGGAGACCGTTGGCCAGATCGCGAGCGATTACTCAGCCGCACAACGAACGATTTTCCTGAATTTATGGGGAGACCGTTGGCCAGATCGCGAGCGATTACTCAGCCGCACAACGAACTCCCGTTTACACAGAGATTTTTCTGTTTTTGTTTGTAAAGTTATAAAAAGAATCCGTGAATTTCTAGATCAAAGAACTAAATCTAGTTTCTGATTTGGATTCACATAAAATCATGTAATGCTTGCCACTTCTGATCTTTCACTTAGTCAAATCATAAGAACTAAACATATCAGAGTACAGTAAATCGCTTTCATTGCTTTGTGATGGATTGATGATTGTTTAGATCAAATTTACTCAATCAAGATTGCTGTTTCTGAGATCAAACATTGACTAAAAACACACAAAGTAACCATCATGTTTCAAGCTGGATTTCTTAGCCAACCTTGGAATGAATCAAACAACTCCCTGCCCCCAACGCATCGTCCAAGATCCAAGATTAGCGAGCCGAGCAAAGGCACGATCGTTCAACCAAAATTCGATGTTTGAAGACTGCTTTTTTGGGGTTGTGCTACCGGTATGAGGCTTATACATCACTGGTTATCTGACCGAAAGTTCCACTACCAAAAGTTCATTTCTGATTTAATCGTTGGATCAAAAAAACGAGACTGTTCAAGGCCGATTTTCCTGAACTTATCGGGAGACCGTTGGCCAGATCGCGAGCGATTACTCGGCCGCACAACGAACTCCCGTTTGCACAGGGATTTTTCTGTTTTTGCTTGTAAATGGCCTTAAATAGAGATATTTAAGCCGTAAACTTGTAGCTGAGGGTTTTCGGGGTTGGGGAAGCGATTGAAAATATTTCTAAAATATGTAAACAATCGAAATTTTAGCGAAAATGAAGATGAAGAGACCAATGAAATTCTTTTTCTAACAATTCTATTAGTTTATTTCAAATTCTGTATTAAAACTGGCTGTGATCTTGAAGTAATTGCTGAATTTTGTCATGAAATAATCAAAGAAAATTTCATTTCTGATTTCGTCGTTAGATCAAACAAACGCGACAAACAAAAACAGAAAAATCCCTGTTTAAATGGGAGTTCGTTGTGCGGCCGCGTAATCGCTCGCGATCTGGCCAACGGTCTCCCCATAACCTGCAAAAATCGGCCTCCATCAGTCTAGTCTTTTGATCCAACGACTTAGTCGGAAGTCAAACCGTCTTATCGGCGATTTTCCTCAGGTGATGGGGAGACCGTTGGCCAGATCGCGAGCGATTAAGCCGCCACACAACGAACACCCGTCTACGCAGGAATTTTTCTGTTTTTGTTTGTAAATAAATTTGAAATTCTTGCTTTAACAAGTCTATTAATTTATTTCAAATTCTGTATTAACACTGGCTGTGATCTTGATTTTGATTTCCTGAGAAGCACAAATTATATTGCAACATTTAAACTGGTCAGCACGTAAAGTATGGCTTAAGATGTCTTGATGGATGGTTTTTGGTCCTGATTTCTAGAAATGATTGCTGAATTTTGTAATGAAATAATCAAAGAAAGTTTCATTTCTGATTTGGTAGATAAAAAGAGATAAAAACGATCTTGAATCCTTTCTTGAATCCTTTTAATAAGTAACGATTTATTCTAGCTATTTTCAGATTGTCAAGCAAGCTGAAATCCCCTTTAATCGAATAAAACGGGAAGTTTCTTGTCTGATTCAAGTCAAAAGGGGAAAAGGGGGGAATGGGGAAATGGGGGGAAGTGAGATCACCCCAATTTTCAGAAAAGAGATTCGATTCGATCCAGTCAAGATCAAGTACTCGGAAGAAAGGCATAAAAGAAAGGGTTTGGATCGAAATTCGGCTTAAATATAAAAGGAAAAGATTCACATTAGGGAATTGAATGGGTTTGTCTTCTCAACAAAAGTCTCAAGCTTTATAATTCCATTGAAAATTCTTTATTCTTATTTAGTCATTGAAGCTTTGTTATTCAAATTGATTTCCTAGCTTTGAAAGAGATTTTTAACTATTAGAAAGAGATCTATTAGAAAAAAGGAACAATTCTGAACACATAACTTCTCTAACTTCAATCTTGGCTTTGTTTTACCTGGCTTTGTTTTACCTGGCTTTGTTTTATCTGCCTTTTCTTCTCTGTTAAGTTTTTCAATTCAAATTTCAAAATTGAACAGTCTCTGTCTACTGGTTTTCAGATTTCTTTGAATATTTTCATTGAGTTAGACTTAGGGACTCCATTTTCAGGGATGAAGGTCACTTCAGCCACATGGGTGGCATCCACCGTTTCAGCGGCGACACTTGCTTTATGTCTCTTAGCTATGAGCCAAATCTATTCCGAGATCAATTCCATGCAAGAGTTGCTCGACTCTGAGTTGATCACTTTCAAGGTAAAAGAAAGGTTAAAATTGGGCTTAAACCTTAAACCTTAAGGCTTGAAGTTTAAGGTTTAAACCAAACTAAGCCAACAACAAACAAAGCAACAAACTGGCCTTCTAGTCCGGAAACAGAGAACCTTCAACAAAAACGGCCCGTTTGATTACTGTAACCCGTTCAATTCGGGAGTAGTGCAACATTATCAACATTTAATATCTAGATCTAGATTTCTAGCTAACATCTAGATTTCTTTCCATTTCCAGCATTCCACTGACGGAATGTGGCGCGATATTGTGGTGATGAGCTCGGCGAGTAAGAGAGTGAGAAGACAATACCCGGCTGAGAGCAACGAGGATCGTCCATATTCGGTACAGAAATTTCTAGATCTTAAAATGGTTTTAATTGATAATTTCTAGGAGTCGAACTCTGCCCCCGGAACCCCACCAAACAACCCACCAGCTGTACCCCCAGTCTTCACCAAGGAGTCTACTCCCGATAGCCCTGGAGCCACTTGCAATTGCCAGGTACTGATTAACGGCTTGGGCTTAGGCTTAGGCATCGATGGATCCAAGTTAGAGTACATGTTTAGGCTAACAACCGCTGCCCGGCTGGCCCACCTGGACCCAAGGGATCTCCAGGAGTCAATGGTCCCAATGGTTTACCTGGTCTTGATGGAAAAGTTGGAGCAAGCGCTGAAGACGTTCCACCTCAAGACGAATCTCATTCTTGCTTCAATTGCCCAATTGGACCACCTGGCCCACCTGGCGCCTTGGGTCGACCAGGACCTCGTGGAATGAAGGGAATTGATGGCCGCAATGGAATGATTGGACGAGATGGAGAGTCAGGATTGCCTGGAGAGCAAGGACCACCTGGACCCACTGGCCCACCTGGAGACAGCGGACCACCAGGAGATAAGGGAGCTGACGGACAGAGACCAATTGGTAGACCTGGGCCTAAAGGACCTACCGGACCACCAGGACATCAGGGACCACAAGGAACGAATGGACTTCACGGGCCTAGAGGACCGTCTGGACCACCTGGACAACCTGGACCTAAAGGGCCACCAGGACCAGCTGGACCGGAAGGAGATGAAGGATTGGAAGGAGATTTGGGACGAGTAGGAGAAGACGCTGAGTACTGTCCTTGTCCGACGAGGGTCGAAGAGCCACGCGCTGGATTCAGATTCAATTAAGGGTTGAGAGAATAAATCGTTTAACAAATTTATTAGAACATCAGATAAAAGAAAACAAGAGACATGAAAAGTTGAATTGAAAGGAAATTCGTTGAGAGCTGAGTTGTTGTGAGGATTCTAGGGGTAGTTGAGTTTTCAATGGTTAAAATTGGTCTTTCATAGGCGATGAAGGGATCCATCTGGTGGTTGTTTGTCTAAATGTTAGATAAATTGGTTTAAATTACTGTAGCGTAGCGTCGTGCTTTTATTTTCGCTTAGAATATTTTATCGATCATCAATCATGTTTCAAAAGTTTCTTACAATATTCTTTTCATTAATCAGTACTTAACTCCCTCTCGAGCAAGGGGAGCAGTTGTGTTGTGGTGTATTGGTTAACACAGTTGCATGGTAAGCGGAAGGTCGCGGGTTCGAATCCCGGTCGTGCTCAAAGCTTTTGCTCTGGCCTATTTCCAACTATTAGATCTAAATTCTTTTATCTTAGCAGAATGTAGGATTGTATAATGTCTTTCAAAGCTAGTCTTTAGCAGCTTTTGAAGCTAGTTTCAAAGCCAACTAGCCGACTAGTCAAAAAAACCTACCATTATTGAATTCCTAGCCGTTTCCCAATCCTTATTGCAATAGTTTTCAGCACAAATGTAGTGAGTCGTGGTGAAGTTCATCTCACCGACCTGATTTACATTTAGAATTCTTTTTTTGCTTTTCTTAGTGGCTGGCTCTTAGTGGCTGGCTTTCTTGGTTTCTTCGTTTCTTCTTTTCTTTGTTTTATAGATCTATTCCTAGCCAAAGACCAAGCTAAAATCAAGGCCAAGTCAAGGCTTTTGACTTAGAAATGACCAGTGTACTTTGTGCTTACAAATACAGCAGACTGAACTATCCATTTTGCCCATCATCAAACAGCTGCTCTACCATTGAGCTTTGTCATTCTTTGCCCAAGAAGAAGAGCCCATCTCTACCTGTCTTCTTCTTGGGATGACATTCTTGGGAGACAGTAGAGATGGGCTCTTCTTCTTGGGCAAAGAATGGCAAAGCTCTGTTATGCTCAATGGTAGAGCATCTTTTTGATAAGAAGATCGATGGTTAAATCAATGTTTCCTTTATCATTCTTTACCTCAATTCGACCACTTGCTCTTGAATAATCCTGCGAGATACAACCACGTGCATATTCTTGCTTTAATTTTATTTATTTTTCTTTTCACAATAGTTTATAGTACTTTAAAAACAGCTGGATAGTTGAGATAAGCGATAAAACAGAATTCTCCTTTGCACATGGGAGCTGAAAGGTTTCTGAGTATAAAACAGCATTCGTTAAACAGCAAACAGCAAACATATCGACTCTTGCGTAGTTTCTAGTCATTTTGAACGCATCATCACACTTTACAGGCCTATAACTTTATCCAGAGGCAATATTTTTGTTAACTATTTATATCATTGTACAGAGAACATTTCAGGCTTTCAAATGATACTAAATAGAGTTTATTTGGGTAATTCAGTTCCAGAAAATCAGAGCCAACTCGGGGCAAATGAGCCCTATCCAACTCGGGTGTTGTTTCCCCTGGTTTGCATGGGACTGAATTACCCAAATAAACTCTATTTAGTATCATTTGAAAGCCTGAAATGTTCTCTGTACAATGATATAAAAAGTTTGCAAAGTATTGCCTCTGGATAAAGTTATAGGCTTGTAAAGTGTGACGATGCGTTTAAAAAAATAAGGATTTTTCTTAAAAATAAGGATTCTTTTAAAATACCTGGAAACTACGCAAGAGTTAACATATTTGTGGCAGAGTTTAAGTAGATCTAGTGAAGGAAAGTAAAAGAAAGTAAAGGAAAGTAAAGGAAAGTAAAGGAAAGTAAAGGAAAGTAAAGGAAAGTAAAGGAAAGTAAAGGAAAGGAAAGGAAAGTAAAGGAAAGTAAAGGAAAGTAAAGGAAAGTAAAGGAAAGTAAAGGAGAGTAAAGGAGAGTAAAAGGAAGTAAAAGACCAAGGATTTAGTTAAGTTTTACCTGATCCGGAGACATTTTTATAACCGACATAGCACCAAATGTTTGAATTTCTCGCAATCCCTGTGACATTGTTGAAATCGTTGCAAAAATCCTAATTTTCAATTTTATTTTCTTTTTCTTTTTGAAACACTTACAAAATTACAGACGAAATTATAATATTTATTTAAATTATCGAATTGGTATGACGTGAAGAGACCAAAGTAGAAACTGAAAGAAAGTTTAACTTTTGAAAGCTTCATTACTTTTGGAGCTTCTCGAGCTATAATCCGTCTACGGTAACTTTAAGGCTTTAATTCCTTACGGTGGCCAAGCGGTAAAAAATTGAGTTAAAGAAATGAATGATAAGGAAAGCCATTGATTCGGAAAGCCTATCATCGATTTAACCATCGATCTTCTTACCAAAAAGATGCTTTACCATTGAGCATAGCAGAGCTTTGCCATTCTTTGCCCAAGAAGAAGACAGTAGAGACAGTAGATGACCAGTGTACTTTACTTACAAATACAGCAGACTGAACTATCCATTTTGCCCATCATCAAACAGATACTCTACCATTGAGCCTTTACCATTCTTTGCCCAAGAAGAAGAGCCCATCTCTACCTGTCTTCTTCTTGGGCAAAGAATGGCTTTGGCTTTGCCTTTCTTTGCCTTTCTTTGCCCAAGAAGAAGAGCCCATCTCTACATGTCTTCTTCTTGGGCAATGAATGGCAAAGCTCTGCTATGCTCAATGGTAAAGCATCTGTTTGGTAAGAAGATCGATGGTTAAATGGGTTTCTTGGATGGGTTTCTTTATCATTACAAAATTACAGACCAAATTATAATATTTATTTAGATTATCGAATTGGTATGAGGTGAACAGACCAAAGTAGAAACTGAAAGAAAGTTTAACTTCTGAAAACTTGATTACTTTTGGAGCTACCATAATCCGTCTACGGTAACTTTAAACTTTTGTTTCCTTACGGTGGCCAAGCGGTGTCGCCGAGGAACATACGAAAGAGTGAACTTGTCGGATTCGCATAACCACCGTTTACATTATAAGTGCCATTCATGAAACGAGTTTGGTTTAAACCAGCCTAAAAACTAGTAAATCAAAAACGACAGAAATCGATTTATTGACATGAACAATATAAGAAAGATACTAGCAGGAAGAAGTAAAGAAAGAAGTAAAGAAAGAAGAAAGGAAAGAAGGAAAGGAAGAAGAATAGGAAGAAGAAAGGAAAGAAGAGAGGAAACAAGAATAGGAAGAAGAAAAGTCCAAAAAAGCAGACGCAGGGATTGAACCCTTGACCCTTCGACTAAGACACAAGGGTCTTAACCAGTAGGCTATGAAGGCCAGTCCACGATTGGTTTAAAAAGCTTTACAAGTGAAATGGGGAGTGGATCAAAAGGACAAATGAGAAGAGGCTTGTACAGAATTTTGCGCTGATTTCAAAAATTGGTTCTGTTTTGTTGAATGTTTTGATAATCTATCAAAAATTGGTTCTGTTTTGTTGAATGGGTTGACAATCTATCAAAAATCGGCTTTGTTTTATCAAAAAGCTTGATAATCTATCAGAAATTGGTTCTGTTTTGTTGAAAGGCTTGATGATCTATCAAAAATTGACTTTGTTTTGTTCAAAAGCTTGACAATCTATCAAGAATTGGTTCTGTTTTGTTGAAAGGCTTGACAATCTATCAAGAATTGGTTCTGTTTTGTTGAAAGGCTTGACAATCTATCAAAAATTGACTTTGTTTTATCAAAAAACGACAATCTAAAGCCAATATTGGAACCAATTCTTTCAATAAGCCAATCATTGGCTAATTGCTTGAAAGTTTTGATTTTCATTCACCTGTACTCTAATATCTATTCGACATGTTGTATCTTGGCTTGTATCTGGCACTCTTGCAAGGATTTCAATTGATGTTTCATCACCATTGTATATAAAAGAATTCTGAAATGATAGTTGTCTCAAAGAAAGCTCAAAAATCACTTCCCCTTTCACTTGGATCTTCAATTTTGACTTGGCAAAAAGAAAAGCTTGCAAAACTGGCTAAGATTTTATTTTAGACATTTTAGCTTTGATTTAACCAATATTTGAATCATTTAAAGCTACTGAAAAGAGAAAAATGTTTTCTAAACCCTGTTACCTTTATCTTGTCTTGAAAACAACGACAATCTTGTCTCATTATAACAAATAACTTACCCAAAACGCATTACAAGTTAAATACTCGTAAACGATTGTCGAGAGTTTCTTCTTTCCCATTGAGATTTTCACTGTTTTCTTATCAGAGCTCAAATTGATCACTGGATCTTCTTTATTGCAATTTGTTTGGCTAAATTTTGTTTCATTAGAAAAGCTAGATCTAGATTTGAATCTAGATTTAAAGCTAGATTTAAAGCTAGATTAAAGCTAGATTTGGATCTAGCTTTGACTCTAGCTTTGAATCTAGATTTGACTCTAGATTTGAATCTAGCTTTGACTCTAGATTTGACTCTAGATTTGACTCTAGCTTTGAATCTAGCTTTGACTCTAGATTTGAATCTAGCTTGGAATCTAGATTTGGATCTAGCTTTGACTCTAGCTTTGGATCTAGATTTGAATCTAGCTTTGAATCTAGCTTTGGATCTAGCTCTGGGTCTAGCTCTGGATCTAGCTCTGGATCTAGCTCTGAATCTAGCTTTGACTCTAGTTTGACTCTAGCTTTAAATCTAGCTTTCAACCTAAATCCAAATTAAAACCTAACTTTAAGCTCAATTTCAAACTTACTTGCAAACACAAAAATATCCCCATTTATCTCCATTTCCTTTGGTAAAAAAGCCAAAAGATTTTAGATCAAAATAGCAATTTGGAGTGTTAGGGAAGTACTGGAGATTGAATGTAAATTGATTTTTACTTTAAATCTACTTTAAATCCACTGATGCAACCGCGTCGCTGAAAAAGATTCGTCGAATAAGCCGCGGAAAAAAAGCACAAATCCGCAGTGGCACACGTCGAATCCTCACTAAATTCAGACGATTTGTCAAAAAGGTATTCTGCCTCATAGCTGAATAGCTTTATTGGTTATTGTCGAGCAGCTCTAGCTCAGCTCAGCTCAGCTCAGCTCAGCTCAGCTCAGCTCAGCTCAGCTCAGCTTAGCTCAGCTCTAGCTCTGCAGCTCAGCTCAGCTCAGCTTTGATTCTCAATGGTTTCAGAGCTTCTCTACCATTCTCAGAGCATTAAACAGTGTAATTTGTGCTTAAAAAATACAGATTCTAGCTGACTTCCAAAGCCAATCTCTATCTAAAATCCATCTAAAATCATCCATTTACAAGCCTCACATTAGAATTGAATCCTTCAAAGTGTATCGTTGAGTACAAGTCAGATTACCGGCTTTAGAGCAATAAAATATCAAAAAGAATAATAAATATAATAAAAATCGATAAGAATACATAGAAATAAAACAATTTTATCAAAGAATTGATTCAAAAAATGCAAAAAAAGGGTTTTCAATTGTTTTCGTCTAATTGTGGGGTTAAAGACAAGATTTTTAAATTAATGGTTAACTGAAAAGGTTGAAATTCTTAGACTTTCCAAATTCTTAGACTTTTCAAAGGTTTGGGGATTTATTTAATTGCCAAAACTGATTCAAACTGGTTTGTTATGTCAGTTGGGACACGTTTCCATTCAAATAAATAAAGTTCGGCAAACAAAACCAAAACAAAAACAGACCAAAACCAAAACCAAAAGCAAAACCAAACCAAAACCAAAACAAACCCAAAACCAAAACAAACCCAAAACCAAAACAAAACCATAACAAAACCAAAACCAAAACCATAACAAAACCAAAACAGACCAAAACCAAAGCCAAACCAAAACCAAACCAAACCAAAACCAAAACCAAACCATAACAAAACCATAACAAAACAAACCAAAACCAAATAAATTAAAATGTAAATTTACCTTTTCCTTTTTCTCACTCCCCAAAATTCTGGGCTTTCTCGTGGCCGAAAAAAGGACCAAAACACGACCTCGGAATTTCGAAACAAAGAATAGCCTATCGGATAGATTTTTGGACGCTGATTTCAAATCTGCAAACAGATTTTCGCTAACTCCTCCCAATCGCGAGATATTGGCGAGTTTTGGTTAGTTTTGGTTTTGGTTTTGGTTTGATTTTGTTATGGTTTTGGTTTTGTTTTGGTTTTGGTTTTGGTTTTGGGTTTGTTTTGGTTTGGTTTTGGTGGTTTTGGTTTGGTTTTGGTTTTGTTATGGTTTTGTTATGGTTTTGGTTTTGGTGGTTTTGGTTTTGGTTTTGGGTTTGTTTTGGTTTTGGGTTTGTTTTGGTTTGTTTTGGTTTTGTTATGGTTTTGGTGGTTTTGGTTTTGGTTAAGTTTTGTTTTCCGAAGTCTACAAATAAATAAATTATTTGAAATGTTTTCAATTATAAGATTACAAAAGAAGTTTATTCAGAAAAGTTATGAAGGAAAGTGATAGGAATCGTTTTATTGAGGATTTCGTGGTTGTTTCCGTCTCATCTATCACACTGATTGGAGCTGTTGTTTGAGTTGTTGTTGCTGTTGTTGCTAAATGGAGTTCGATTGAAATACAGTAAACTAACTACAGTAAACTAGCTACAGTAACCCAGCTACAGTAACCCAGCTACAGTAAACTAACTACAGTAAACTAGCTACAGTAACCCAGCTACAGTAAACTAGCTACAGTATCCATATGCAGTCAATCATCTACAGTAATCTAATAGTATCAAAGATGAGTAATCTAGCTTTAGAACTTGAAAATCTACTGTAATCTAGTGCTGTATACTGTAGTTTTGACTTTAAAATGTCTATGAAGTAACTTCTAGCCGTTTCTAGACAAAATAGAGATATAGTAGACTTCGAGATATTAAGCCTAAACCTAAGCCTAAGCCTAAACCTCAGCCTAATATGGGGATCGCCAAACGCCTGTCCCTTAGCTTCGAGAACTGGCTGAGATCCAGAAAATCGGGGTTTAGCCCAAACCCAAATAGACTTAGTGAGAGGCGCTAGCCGCTAGCCTTCGCACCAAGTCCAGGGCTAAGTCCAAGCCTAAGTTCAAGCCTAAGTCCAAGCCTAAGTTCAAGTCTAAGCCTAAGTTCAAGCTTAAGCCTAAGCCTAAGTTCAAGCCTAAGCCTAAGCCTAAGCCTAAGCCTGAGTCATACATTCACTTGAAATATTTCCAGTTGAATTCGGTGAACTGCTTTGACTTGGTCGATATGGAACAAATGGTGGCATCTTTGGCACGAATCTCTAGAAAATTAGATAATCAATTAGAATTCCGTTAACTCCAAACATTTATCGACTTTTGAGCACTTTGTTGATCTTGATTACACATATCTTCAGCGCAAATGTAGTGAGTAGACGTTAGACGCATTACTCCAACCTGTGAAATGATGCCAGAGATATCGATTATAATTTTATCGAATCAGGACCAGGACCAGGACAACTACAAGCAAAGGAAAAGATGATTAAGATTGGCTCAAACTGGGCTCCTTCTTTCTCTAAGTAATTTAATGTACCTGCAAAAGATCAGTGGTTAGAGCTCGAGAATCCGACCCTCTGAGTTCGACGATCGGAAAGCAAAAGGTTGAGGGTTTAATCCTCTCTCCGGAAATCTTCTTTGCTTCCCGATTTCTTCACTTTTTTATTATAGTTTTAGGCAATCAAACCAGAACTAGAACAACTATTAATGAATAAGATCATTGGCTCAAAGCAGACCAGGAAAGGGGTAGGACTAGAGCTCAAAGCAGACCAGGAAAGGGGTAGGACTAGAGCTCAAAGCAGACCAGGAAAGGGGTAGGACTAGGTTGACTGGTGACTAGGACTAGAGAGACAGATTAGATTGTACCAGGTCAATTCCAAGACTATCTAATTAATAAATAAGTAAAGTTAGGCTAGTCAGCTAATCAGCTAATCAGCTAATCAGTTAATCAGCTAATCAGCTAGTCAGCTAATCAGCTAATCAGCTAATCAGCTAATCAGCTAACCAGCCAATCAGCTAATCAACTAATCAGCTCTAAATCAAGGGAAGTCAAGACTTGATTTGTTCAGGATCAGACCTGAATCAAGTCAAGGAAAGATCAAGATCAAGCTGTAGCTGAGTTGAACTAGAGATCTAGTCGATTCCAGATAAAGAAACTATAGATTAGGCTAAGGCATAGTAAACTAAGCTGGAATCAGATCATCTAAATTGATCCAGAATCAAGTTAAGGCAAAACTAAACAAGATCAAATAAATAGGGGTTAATTTTCGAACAAAGAAACACCCGTACAGCAGACCTCAATACGTCCAGAAGCTTTTGAGTAGTCTTGCGATACACAACCACGTCCATAATCCGACTAAACGAAGTATTTAGATTAGAAGACTTAGCTGAAAGACTCACATTTGGGCCAACTGTTTCCTGATATTCTACATAAAAGCAGAAATGGCCCATACAAGTGTCAGCTGAAAGATTCAAAGCTCTTTTATAATAGTTAAATTGTCAAAGAATAAAATTATGATACAAATCGGTTATGGTAGTTTATTTGTAAAGTAGTAAATGCTTACTTTCTGCTGTGACATGCCAATAGCCTAGATAGCATTTGATTGTTTGATTTGTGGATAACTTTTCCAATGATGTATAATTATTGCAATTGTTCTAGAGATTTCAAAAATTAAAGTTTAGCTTTTTGAAAATTACATAATCACAAGTTAAACTGTAATATCGATGCTGAAGAAAATATTGATATGAGGTGAGGAGGTTGAAGTAGAAACTGAAAGTGGAGAGGGTTTAGTCCAGTCTTTAGTCCAGTCTTTAGTCAGTCTTTAGTCCAGTCTTTACTCAGTCTTTAGTCCAGTCTTTAGTCCAGTCTTTACTCAGTCTTTACTCAGTCTTTAGTCCAGTCTTTAGTCAGTCTTTACTCAGTCTTTAGTCCAGTCTTTAGTCAGTCTTTAGTCCAGTCTTTAGTCAGTCTTTACTCAGTCTTTAGTCCAGTCTTTAGTCCAGTCTTTAGTCCAGTCTTTAGTCAGTCTTTACTCAGTCTTTAGTCCAGTCTTTAGTCCAGTCTTTAGTCAGTCTTTAGTCCAGTCTTTAGTCCAGTCTTTACTCAGTCTTTAGTCCAGTCTTTAGTCAGTCTTTACTCAGTCTTTAGTCCAGTCTTTAGTCCAGTCTTTAGTCCAGTCTTTACTCAGTCTTTAGTCCAGTCTTTACTCAGTCTTTACTCAGTCTTTAGTCCAGTCTTTACTCAGTCTTTAGTCCAGTCTTTAGTCCAGTCTTTAGTCAGTCTTTTAAATTCAAAATAAACCCCCTTCCATTGCACTCAATTCTTCATTCTATTGGAAAGAATGAAGAATCCCGTCCACCAGAAGGGCTATGTTTACACAAAGCTTAACACTTTACAGAGTTCACCCCATAAACTACCAAAGAATAAGATCATTGGCTCAAAGCAGGCCACCCTATAAACTAGAGTGTGTTCCTCGCGAGTAATGCCTTTTTTTAAAACGAATGCTTAAGAAAAATTACCGTACTTTTAGCGAAAATTATTGCAAAAAAGTTGGCGCAAGAAATCACGAGTGCCGCCTTATATACGACTCCTTTTAAAGGGATTCAACCGTTCAAATGATTTGGTGGGAAATTCCCCTCAAATGTAAAGAGGATTACTCGTAGTTTACTCGACCGTCGATTAACCGAGTAAAGATTACTCATTCAAATTTTACTCGATTAATTACTTCCTCGCGAGGAACACACACACACACACACTCTAGTTTGATCAGAGTGCTGTGCAGTGCGTGAGAGTGCACACACACACACACACACACTCTACCATAAACATTACTCATCTAGCTTGAATCAAATAACTCTGGAAAATTCTAATCGATTGTTTTTTAAGAGCTTTTAAAAGAATTTAACTTTAATTTTTATCTTAATAAAAGAATTTTATAGAAATTAAACTTATCTAGTTAATAAAATTAAAAATCAAATAAATATAAATATAAATACTGACGGTGCCATGCGACTGTCTGCATAAAAAGCAGAAAACAGCGAGCTTGTGTCCGAAGTTTGTCCGGCAAAGACGTCAGCTTTCAGAAATTTCACTGCTGTGCTGTTGGCTTGCTAGAAAGTGTACCATAATGATTTTCGAAACTATTTTAATCACTACCACTTTAATAGATTTAAAGTTTGAGCTTTTAAATCCAAAATAAGAAATTAATAATAAGACATCTACACTCAATTACTTACAATGTTGTAAGTAATTGAGTGTAGGTCCTAGCATTGTAGGATTTTAGTCCTAGCATTGTAGCACTGTAGTCCTAGCATTGTAGCATTTTAGTCCTAGCATTGTAGCACTGTAGTCCTAGCATTGTAGCATTTTAGTCCTAGCATTGTAGCACTGTAGTCCTAGCATTGTAGCACTGTAGTCCTAGCATTGTAGGATTTTAGTCCTAGCATTGTAGCACTGTAGTCCTAGCATTGTAGCACTGTAGTCCTAGCATTGTAGCATTTTAGTCCTAGCATTGTAGAGAGAAAAGTTTGGCGAGGACGTAGGGAGGCTTTTAAAGTTCAAAAACTTTCAAATTTTTAAACAGAGAGATTACACCCGGGGTTTTCGCGGTTGGGGAATCGATTGACAGTGTTTTAAGAAAAACATTATAACTAAATTTCAAAAATTTGAAGCTTTTTGTGCAAAAAATGCAAAAAAAGAGGATCCCGGTGTGTTCCCTGTGCGCGGGCACAATCGCACTCGATCTGGCATATTGTGTTAGCAGATATCCTCTTTTTTTTCACTGGTCCAATCGGAAGCGTCCATTTTGGGTCATCCGGTAACCAATCCGTTGTCTGCCCCATATGGTCACCGCTTCCCAAAACTAACTTCGGCTGTAGAATTGGCAAACCCAGTTCCGGCTCATTTTGGCCACAATGGTGGGTTCTCCGCCGGCCGAGATGGGATCCCAAGTGCCTGTAAAAGGGTGCTGTAGGGAGCCGCTGTGAATTTTTGGATTCATCCCAAGGATTTCGGTCCGCAGGGGCAGCAGAAAAGTCAAGAAACGAGGCTACAGGGTGTTCCAAAGAAAAAAATCCACTTCGGATCAAATTTGAAAAATATTTCTGATGGCCCAAGGTGGTGTTTTTTATTTTTCCATGATTTTTACCATATCCACGACCCTCTCTATGCCAAGAAATTCGTTCGCCACAAGAAATTGTCGTGACGATCTCGTGATCGAGATCACCACGGATGGAAATGGCCAGCTCGTTCGCCCACAAAGGTGTCTGACCATTGTGGGCGAGCGCCTATTGTGCGAGATTTCATATGCGTCGCTATCCGTTCAACTCCATTGTGTGCAAGACCAAGAACAACGCCAAAGCTTCTTTATGAAAGCAATGTGAACAAGCTAAGGTGTGCCGTGGAGTCTGTGCATTTAATTTACATCTTTCTTATAGAATCAAATACTGCCGGGTGTGTGTTAGAATTGAATCCTTCGTGGCCCAGGTTTGTGTCTGTGTCGTTGCCCAGTTCTCTGTCGTTGCCCAGTTCTCTGTCGTTGCCCAGTTCTCTGTCGTGGCCCAGTTCTCTGTCGTGGCCCAGTTCTCTGTCGTGGCCCAGTTCTCTGTCGTGGCCCAGTTCTCTGTCGTGGCCCAGTTCTCTGTCGTTGCCCAGTTCTCTGTGCATTTAATCTACATCTTTCTTATAGAATCAAATACTGCCTATCAGTTGAACTTTTTTGTCGATAAATATAAGCTTAATTTGATTTTTTTAGTTTAATCATTTATCTTTTATGATAAAAACGATAAGCCTTTTGATTTCGTTGAATTTAAACCATTTAAATCTATGCTTTTCTCTAGAGTTTTTTTTCTAGATAACTTTCGACAAACTATCGCAATCTTACAGGTTTAATTTAGTTCTAAAAACTTACCTCTAAATCAGCCCATAATGCGCATGCTGTGTCGGTGACGATTTTCGAGATATTCGACCAGAATTTCAGCTCCGATTCTTTTCCATTATAAATGTAGTTTGTCTGGAAAGAGTTTTGAAAATTCTCCAATTAGTCTTGCTTTGTTTTTTCAACTTTATAGCTTTGTTTTCTAGCTTTTCTAGCTGTTTTCTAGCTTTGCTAGCTGTTCTCTAGCTTTTCTAGCTTTTCTAGCTTTTCTAGCTGTTTACTAGCTGTTTTCTAGCTGTTTTCCAGCTTTACTAGCTTTTCTAGCTGTTTACTAGCTTTTCTAGATCTTCTAGCTGTTTTCTAGCTGTTTTCTAGCCGTTTTCTAGCTGCTTTCTAGCTTTTCTAGCTTTGCATTTAATCTACATCTTTCGTATTGAATCAAATACTTCAGGGTATAAAGTTTAGAGTTTACAAAAAAGTACAAAGTACATTTCATTACCCGATATGAGCTACAGTTGACCATTGGCATTCGAGTTGATGGAAAGGTCACATTTCCAAGAGAGATTTTTAGCGAATCGTTCGAAAGAGTTAGGGAAGGAGGCTTTTTATTGCACATTGATGTACTGAAATGATTGAATAAGCCATTTTATTTCTAAAATCCCCCACTTGCACACACAAAAATACCCATCTCGATGCTTTTCGTCGTCAGTTATCACTCGGAAAGCGTTTGGATCATAATAGCATTTGGTGGCTGATGGGAAATACTGGAATTGGGTTTTGCTTGAAGATCTTTAGATCTACAGTGATCTACGGGAGATCTACAGTAGTCTACAGTGATCTACAGTGATCTACAATGATCTACAGTGATCTACAGTGATCTACAGTGATCTACAGTGATCTACAAAGATCTACAGTAATCTACAGTCATCTACAATAGATCTAGAGTGATCTACAGTGATCTACAATGATCTACAGTAATCTACATTCATCTACAAAGATCACAGAGTCACAGTGACTACAATGACTACAGTGATCTACAGTGATCTACAAAGACACAGTAATCTACAGTCATCTACAATAGATCTAGAGTGATCTACAGTGATCTACAATGATCTACAGTAATCTACATTCATCTACAATAGATCTACAGTAGTCTACAGTGATCTACAATGATCTACAGTCATCTACAGTCATCTACAATAGATCTACAGTGTCTACAGTGATCTACAATGATCTACAGTCATCTACAGTCATCTACAATAGATCTACAGTAGTCTACAGTGATCTACAATGATCTACAGTCATCTACAGTCATCTACAGCAAAATAGTTATCGATAAAGTAACGAAACGACTGCCTCAACTTCCCCCACCTTATATCCACTAATGCATCCTCGTCTCAAATAGCTCAAATCGCTGCTAGCCGACAGAAAACAGAAATCGGCATCATTGCAATTAGCATCACTTCTAGAATAGTCATCTTTTTATAAGATTTATAAGGTAACTTTAAAGCTTTAACTACATCAAAACCAAACATCAAAACGCTTCCATTCTTCAAATAGTTGATAGCACATTTCAATGTTGATGTGGTTTTTTGAAAATTGTAGAAATTCGCAATAAATATGAGCAAAAAAAGGTTTGACATTGAAAGCTAAAGTTTGAAAACTGAAATGAGAAAGAAACAAAAGTAATAGGCGAAAAGTTTGTCAAGATTTATGGCCTATAATTCAAAGCAATTAATTCGAGTACTCAATTTCGACTTCTAAAAGGGGGAAAATGGGGAAAATGGGGAAAATGAGCATTTTCCTTCCTAGCAATCAGTTAATTTGTATGTTTAGACTTTTATTCCATTAACTACAGAGTGAAGTGCACTACAGAGTGACAGCCTATCACCATTGCTATTTGTTATGTACATCCAGACGAGAGTGTTGAAGAAGACGCATCTCTTTCGACCGTCGACGTGGACTTTGGCCGGATGAAGAGGCCAGGGCCGGACCAAGAGGCCAGGGATCCATAAGACTGAGCACCGGAGAGGTGCAGGGCGGACGCGCCGAGCCACGCCCTGCACCAACAAGCATAAAATTGCTACAACAGCATAAAATTACTATAACCCTCAATAAATTTACTTCTATTATTGTTCTTAAAAAGCAAAAAAAGTTATGCTGCAGCGGGCTTCGAACCCTCTCGACACACCGCACCGGAGACAGCAGTCAATTTGCATGCGAAAACCAAACAGAACTTATACTTGCGACTTTAGGGTAATAACATTTGATTAAAGTAGATAAACAATCAAATAGAAGTCTTCTTGCAGAGATTCTTCTTGTTCTTTCGATTTCTGATGGAGGTGTTGATGGGGAATTGATGGGGAATTGATGAGAGAATCGTTAATCCAATTGTTGAGGGTACTGTAGCTTTTCCTGATTCATAGAAGACAAATGAAGCCAATTCTGGGGGAAAGTTCTCAACAATTACTTTACAATTAACGAGTTCCAGAATCTCTTTCAGATAAGTCAGATAAAATTATTTTTACTTCAAAATTTGCCGTATTTGCTTACCGTATTTTCTCTAATAGTAGTGCACCTAAAAAAGTAGTGTCTAAAAAAGTCTAATAGTAGTGCACCCAAGCGAGCCCGTCTAATAGTAGTGCACCCCAGCGAGCCCGTCTAATATTAGTGCACCCAAGCGAGCCCGTCTAATAGTAGTGCACCCCAGCGAGCCCGTCTAATAGTAGTGCACCCCAGCGAGCCGTCTAGCGAGCCCGTCTAATAGTAGTGCACCCCAGCGAGCCCGTCTAATAGTAGTGCACCCCAGCGAGCCCGTCTAATAGTAGTGCACCCCAGCGAGCCGTCTAATATTGTGCACCCAAGGAGCCCTGTCTAATAGTGTGCACCCCAGCGAGCCCGTCTAATAGTAGTGCACCCCAGCGAGCCCGTCTAATAGTAGTGCACCCCAGCGAGCCGTCTAGCGAGCCCGTCTAATAGTAGTGCACCCCAGCGAGCCGTCTAATAGACTACTATTAGACTTTGTTTAGACTTTTTTAGACACTACTTTTTTAGGTTTTTAAATGATTGAGAGACTTTTTAAAAAAAGATTTCTTTTGAATATTATGAGAAATTTTCACTTTTAAAAACAAATTTATTGACATAAATGAGTTTTGGAGTTGTTATAGTTAAAGTAGACAATTTAAAGCGTAAAAATCACAAGATCCACAAGAGAAAACACGTGAGAAATGTAAAAGTCTTCTTTATAGCGTTTTTCGTTGTCGTTTGTACTTGGAGACTTGTCGTAGATTCTTCAGTTGTTGTTGTTGTTGTTGTTACTCCTGCTGCTGCTGTTGTTGCTGATGCTGCTGCTGCTGTTGTTGTTGTTATTGTTGTTGTTGTTTTGCTCACTGTAGCTTTAGAAGTTGTTGTCGTTTTTGATGAACTAGTTATAGTCGTTAGAGCTTTTCGAGTAGTTTTTATTGATCCTGGAGTCGTCACAGGGTTTTCAAATTGTGGGGAATTCGATTGGTGAGTCTAGAATGAAAATTGTATTCTTGATAACCTTGTTTTATGCTATTGCTTTCCATTTTTACTATCCTTACTTTTGTTGAAGTTTTTGTTGACACAAGAGTCGTTCTCGAGCCACTTTCACTGTTCGCTTCACTCCAATCCGATTGGTGATTCTTAAATGAAAGGATTGAAATTCTTAGACTCAATTAGATTCGATTCTTTCAAGATTTAAGTTTAACAAAATACCATAGCCGATTTCTGTGCTGTTTCAAGATCCTTGTTGCATAAATGTTCATCACAAAACACGTGGAATGCTGTGAATTGCATTATGCCTATCTAGAATATTAAACAATAAATAAACATCAAATAAACATTATCAAATAAACAACAAATCCGTTTACCTCAACTTTCCCTAAAGCTTTTGAGTAATCCTGTGAGAAACAACCCTGTCGAGTGATTGTCTAAAATTGATTGTTGAGGTTTTAAGTAAGTTGATGTACAGGGTGCGTCATAATTATTGCAACAAGATACTCAAGGCATTGCACACCAAGAAGTTTCACTGGAAAAAGATTTTTAAACAGAAATAGCTTTATTCAATAGTAACAAATAAGGAAACAAGAGATCATTCGATATGACCGCCTTTTGCCTTGACAACAGCGCTTAATCGGTTCGGATATGCCTCCACTGCGGCCCGAATTTCATCTTGAGGAGTCGCCGTCCATCCTTTGGTCAAAGACTTCTTCAAGGTCAAAGACTTCTTCAAGGTCAAAGACTTCTTCAAGGTCAAAGACTTCTTCAAGGTCAAAGACTTCTTCAAGGTCAAAGACTTCTTCAAGGTCAAAGACTTCTTCAAGGTCAAAGAGCAGACATTAGCCTCTAAGATTGCCCAAATGGAAAAGTCCATCACATTGAGATCCGGTGAGTTTGGAGGCCATTCATCCTTGGAAAACGGTTAAACAGTAAACAGTTTGTTGTTTGTTCAACTCTTGTTGCAATAATTATGACTCACTCTGTAGTGCTCAAAAATCGAAAATCATCTTTTCCAGTTCAATAAAATTAGTGTTTCTACCTGATTGTTTAAAGTAAAACTTGTCGCATAAAAGCAAAGATCTCCAGTGCACGTTTTTAAATCTAAAAAGTTTAATTGCTTTACTGAATAGTTGAGAATTTACAATTATTCATAGCTAATTGAAATACGATTAATGTAATAAAGAAATCCTGTAATAGAGAGAGATTATAACAAAGCTTTTATCGTATTTTCTCTAATAGTAGTGTACCATGAGCCTAAATTCCTCGAAATCTCGAGAACCGCCTATCAGAATCTATCGATATGGGGTCGGAAAATGTAGCTGATGATGAGATCTAGTGGGGGATTTGAGTGTTGAGCTTCTGCAGCTTCTGTGAAAGCTTTGAAAGCCGTAAAATCGTCACCAACTCGGCTCGCTGGAGTGCACTACTATTAGAGAGAATATTGCAATATGACAGATCTACAACAGATTCAAGCTTTATGATCTAATTGTAAGATGTTCAATTCTAGGCTCCGGTGATTCCAATGTTCAATTCTAGGCTCCAGTTCAATTCAATTCAATTCCAGGTTCAATTCTAGGCTTCAATTCAATTCAATTCAATTCTAGGTTCAATTCTAGATGTTTGCGATGTTCAATTCAAATCAATTCTCTCTTTTCAGTAGTGCACCCAGAGCGTTGCCTAAATTCCTCGAAATCTCGAGATCCACTTATCAGAATCTAACGATATGGGGTCGGAAAATGTAGCTGACTGAGATCTAGTGGGGGATTTGAGGGTTGAGCTTCTGTGAAAACTTTGAAAGCCTTAAAATAGTCATCAACTCGGCTCTGGGGTGCACTACTATTAGAGAAAATACGGCAACTCAAACAAACCAGTTGTCTGACACGTTACTCCAGTTTTTTTCATCATATAAGAAAGATTTGTGTCATTATTGCAAAGTTGCTAAAGAAATGATTGATTTGATTGATTTGATTGATTTGATTGATCTACTTGATTGCAAGTGTAGTAGATTGAGACGAGAGAAGTCGAGTACTGATAGCTAGTGATTAAACCAAGATAAAAGCTAAAAGAGATTGTCAGAAATTGTCAGAAATTGTGATAATCAACGAGAAAACTAACGGTGAATATTCAGCATTTCCCTCGATAACTCGATAGAATTCTTCACTCATTTGAACACCTGGTGCTCCGGCCGCCATTGCCCAACGATCCAAAATCCCATCGTTGTCAGTGTCCTGAAAGTTTTAGGACTTTAACCTGATCGATTCTTATAAAGAAACTTAAGCGAAGACTGACTTTATGATCGATTCATTTTTCTTTTCCTTCTTTTCCTTCTTTTCCTTCTTTTCCTTTTCTTTTCCGATTCTTTGTCAAATATTAACAGATTTTCGTGTTATTTTTACCAAACAAAACAGAATTTTCTTCTGCACCAACTGATAATAAAAAGATTAAAATCTGTTCATCGTTGATAAAGTCTAGTAAACTTATTGCACCAGTATCAGTTTACTGTAGAAGTACTCTAGAATTACAAGAACTACCAGTTGACTCTAGAGCTACAAGAACAACTACCAGTTGACTCTAGAACTACAAGAACAACTACAAGTTTATTCTAGAATTACAAGAACAACTGCCAGTTTATTCTAGAACTACAAGAACAACTACCAGTTGACTCTAGAACTACAAGAACAACTACCAGTTTATTCTAGAATCACTTACCATTTGCCTATAGCAATTTTATCTGGATTCTGAATCAATTGATAGTAAAAAGATTAAAATCTGTTCATCGTTGACAAAGTTATGAGCGAAATGAAACTGACTTTTAGTTTAAGAACTGAGAAAAACTCAAATAAACTCTTTTTTTTTGAGTTGGCTCTACTAATGTAAAGGCTTTTATTGCTCTAGTATTTGAATAGATTTGTTTATTTGTTTATTTGTTTATTTGTTTGTTTAAAACAACTTTGCAAGCACTTCTTCTTACCAAAATCCTAGCAATTGTCATACAAACAACTCCTTGTTCATTCGTTTTGGCATTCGTCATATCCAAAAAGATCTTTGGCATCTTTGGATTATAGATCTTTCCAACACTTGACATCTAGAATATTCTATTTGTCAAATAAGATACTACATTATTGAATACTACATTTTTGACCTCAAAAGAACATCTAAAAACACTAGAATTCAACTTCTAGACATAGTGAACAGATTAGGATCGTAGAAATCAGTCTAGTAAGTTTGTAGAAGTACCAGTTGGCTGTAGAAGTACCAGTTTACTGTAGAAGTACCGGTTTACTGTAGAATTCCAAGAACAAGTACCAGTTTACCATAGAGTTCCAAGAACTACCAGTTTACCGTAGAATCACTTACCATATAGCAACTGTTGAATCGTGGCTCGGCAAGTGGCATCACTTGTTTATTCATTGTTACATTGCCAGTGTGCCACATGTTTGTTGTCACTGACGGAGTACCGGTATTACAATTTGTTGTACTAAAAACATAACGAATTTCAAAGTTCTTCCACTCACTTGCAAAAGCACAGCAGGCCAGAGTAGTCGTTTGAAGTAGGGGTTAATCTCATTGTTCGCAGATAGTTCCGATCATACAGACAACCGGATTCGTGGCCATAGTACTGAAAATGAGATCCTGATCGATCAAAGAAATCTCTAGCACGTTTATCTGAGCCTTTCAAGTTAGGCACGGCTCTAACTGACAAGGAGCAGTAGGCTAGAGTCAGTCTGTCAGAGTCAGTCAGCCAGCTAGAGTCAGCCAGCCAGCCAGCCAGCCAGCCAGAGTCAGCCAGCCAGCCAGCCAGCCAGCCAGAGTCAGCCAGCCAGCCAGGCGCCAGCCGCCAGAGCGCAGCCAGCCAGCCAGCGGTCGCCAGCCAGAGGCAGCCGCCAGCCAGGTCAGCCAGCCAGCCAGCCAGCCAGCCAGCCAGCCAGAGTCAGCCAGCCAGCCAGAGTCAGCCAGCCAGCCAGAGTCAGCCAGCCAGCCAGCCAGACTCAATCAGTTTATCTTTGAAGTCAGGCTTGCCACCCAGCAAGACTAGCCAAAGTCAAAGCAGTAAATCAACCAAAAAAACCTTATATCCACTAATGCATCCACGTCGTACAAAACCCTGATAATCGATCTTAAAGTAAAAGCATAAATCCGCATTTTGGCAAGTGCTCGGTTTGCTGAAGGTTTGTTTAAAATATTGATTAGAATAATTTGAGGCATTCACTTACATTAAATGTCCATTAAAATTCCATTCCAGAGCACAATCGATCGATAAAATTGTTTTCGTCAAAAAATTGATTAAAAATATCGATAAATTAATAAAATAGAGTTGATTCATTGGAATTTAAAAGTCAAAAAACATTTAAAAATCAAGTTTCAGCTATTGGAGAAGCATCTCCAATAGCTGAAACTTGTTATTAGAGTTATTAAGTGAAAATTGGGGGTTATTCTATTGATAATTATCTTTTTGAAAATTCGATTTCTTAGAAAAGTATTTCATCAAAAATTCTCTCAAAAAATTAAAGCTAAATTCGCTTTTTTTTTTCAAGGCATGAATTGAGATTAGAGACGATAGAGGCAAGGGGGTTATGTAAAAGCCTTGCGCCAGACGACGGGCGATTACGTGGCCGCACAAAGAACGCCCAGTCATTTAGACATTTGCAGAGAGGGAAGGGGGTTACGTAAAAGCCCTGCGCCAGATGACGAGTGATTACGCGACCGCACGAAGAACGCCCAGTCATTTACGGTCAAAATACGAAAAAACTCTTTGAAATCAAGAATAATTTTAGCCAAAAATCCCTTGAGATTAAAGATTTTTTGAAATTTTAGCGAAAAATTCCTTTGCTTTGTTTCCAAGTACGATATTTGAGCTTTCGAAAAGCTTAAAATTCGAATTCCCTTTTTAGAAATCGTATTTTAAATGTTTTCTATGATTTTATAGAGTCTGAGCAAAAGAATTGAGGAAAATTGAGCTTTGACTTTTTGGCTTTTACTTGTTCTTGTTCTTGTTCTTGTTCTTGTTCCTGTTCTTCTTCTTGTTCTTGTCCTTGTCCTTGTCCTTCCTTGTCCTTGTCCTTCCTTGTCCTTGTCCTTCTCTTCTCCTTCTTCTTCTCCTTCCTCTTCTCCTTCTCCTTCTCCTTCTTCTTCTCCATCTTCTTCTCCTTGTCCTTCTTCTTGTTCTTGTTCTTGCTGTTGTTGATGACTCACCGCTTGTACAACAAATCAATATTTATTCAAAAATGTATAATACAAATGAAATGGTTTCTAAAAAAAGCATAAAATCAAAGATCAGCTTTTTTGATCATGAATCTTTTCATCGTTTGGGGTTGAATGTCCATATTTATCGAGTCCCGGGGTGAAATGGTGTTTGTTTGAAGTCTAGGAATTTAAACCAAACTTTATTAAAGATTTTGTATTGTTTTTAAATAATCGGCTTTTAAAAAACGCTTTTCCCAAAGGAAACCTATAGTTTTTTTTTGATTAAGAGATAATTCTAGGAGCTAAATGATTTCTAAGATCAATCTCGAAGATCTAAGATCACTTTATAGGTTTGATTTTTCAAAAAAACTGCTTGATTTTAAAATATTTGCTTTATAAAATCTAGAAAGAGGAAGTAAATTAGGAAATTTTATTAAATTTCTGTTTCTTTTTTTGATTGATTTTCTTTGAATTTGAATTCAACTCACATTCTTGTCTTTTAATGAATTTTCATTTGTATTTGTGTTTTCCGGTTGATCAACTGGATTATACTTCTCAAAATCTGGCCTTTCTTCTTCCTGAAAAAGGATTAGAATAAAGAAACGAAGGAATTGAGAAGAGGAAGTTGGAGAGTGGATTGAACTCTCGATCTTTTCCTTTCCAGACAATTACTCTAACCACTCAGCTACAGTACTGGACAATGAAATATCATATTTGAAAAACGATCGTCACTTTCGCGCCTCTGTAACTGCCTTGTCTTTGAGTTTAAACTATTAGTGTTATACATTTTTTGAAAGCTCTTTTCAAGGGCTACACAATGGTAATATTAATATTTAGAAATACGGTAAAGGCAAGGGAGTTACAGGAGCGCGAAATTGACGGTCGTTTTTCAAATATCATATTTCATTGTCCAGTAGTGTATCTATTACCTTAGCTTCCTCAAGAGAAAGAAAGAAAGAAGAAAGAAAGAAGAAGAAGAAAGAAGAATGAAGTAATTGAGAAGAAAAAGTAGGAGAATGGATTGAACTCTCGATCTCGATCGACTCCCGATTCTTTCCAAACAATTACTCTAACCATTCAACTATCTATTACCTTAGCTTCCTCAAGAGAAAGAAGAAAGAAGAAGAACTACAGCAATCAAGAAAAGAAAATCAAGATTAACTGAAGATTATTTAAGAATACTAGATTACTGTACCTCAAGTTTTAAATATTTAAAGCAAGAAAGAAAGAAAGAAAGAAAGAAAGAAAGAAAGAGAGTTTCGAAATACAAAAAGCCTTAAGAAATCTTGAAGAAGCCGTCAGACGCTTGCCTCAAAAAGGTTTCGCTGATCTAGTGCTGATCTAGTGGATATTGTGCTAAGCATCCAAAGAACTCACATGAAATCCCATATCTTGTTGTCCTTTCATTCTTTTTATTAACGAAAAATTTGAATTTTTATAGAAAATAGTTTCAAAAATTGCTTACTCTGACTGTTTTTGAAATATTTTCATTTGTTTATTGTTTTTGTTTAACTGAGAAAGTGAACTTTGAGAGAAAGGGCAAATTTGTGTCATGAGATTTCGCAAAAACTCTAAGCAAAACACTTTTAAAGTACTTAAATAATGAAATAAAATTGTTTTTTAAATGAAATTAAAGTTTAGATTCGATAAAATTTGTAATTTCTAGCTGGAAATGAGAAAAGTTACATAATAAAATCAAATACCGTATTCTCTCTAATAGTAGTGCGCACTACTATTTTTTGAACCCCCTCCTGGACCGCAATACTATTAAAGAGTTTTATCATTTACCAAAGTAAGACAGATATAAGATTTGTTCCAAAAATTCTTGCAACTCTTTCACATACTCCTTTGGCTCCTTTTGACATACAGTTGTGGGCCGGCGAGTTGACAATTTGTGTCTTGACAAACAACAAAAAGATGTTTTTGTGATTCAACTGGAGCTTGTGATTCATCTGGAGCTTGTGATTCAACTGGAGCTTGTGATTCAACTGGAGCTTGTGATTCATCTGGAGCTTGTGATTCAACTGGAGCTTGTGATTCCTCTGGAGCTTGTGATTCATCTGGAGCACTTTGCACAACAATTTTAGATTTTTTGCTAACTTTTTCATGTGAAGAATAGTTAATAAATGAATAAAAAAAAAGCCTCACTTTTGCTTGCTTAAATAGCTTTAGAATGTCACATAAACATAAAGTCAAAAAGGTTTAAATGAAAAAGAAGCACCAGAAATTCAAATTTTTGTGGGTGCACTACTATTTTTTGAAGCCCCTCTCGAACCGCAATACTATTAAAGAGTGCACTACTATTAGAGAGCACACTACTATTAAAGAGTGCACTATTATTTTAGAGAGAATACGGTATTCGAACTTTTTTGGTCTTCTTTTCACTGGGATATTGTTTTTTTTGAGGATACTGTAGAGTTTATTCACTATAGTATTCTTGTAAATTAGAGATAAATGCTCATTTGATGGCTTTTGAGTAAGTAGTCAGATGAAATTGTGCTTTCTAGCATCAGAATTCATTACTGAAGTGAATCATGGTGAAATGCTGCTTTAGATGACAGTTTAAATGAAAAGCTACAACAAAACGAACACCGCCAATCAATTCCCCGATCCTGAAAACCCCTGGGTACACATTTATAGCTGAATATCTTTTTTGTGCGAGCTACAAAGCAAGAGAAATCCCTAGGTAAACGACTAACGAGATGTTCTTTGTGTGGCCGCGTAATCGCTCACGACCTGGCATCCGCCGCTAATACATAGTCGTTCCCTTTTCGACGAGTCAAGGGACGAAAAAGAGATCAACGACGGGGTGTTTTGGGTGTCGCTATTCCCAAAAAAACTCGGGAAACGATTCAAAGCCAAGCGATGTTGATGTGGGAAGGCGACAAGGAGTTTTCCGCGTCATTGAGATGGTTGATTCATGACAAAGCACGGATTCTCAACCGGCTGACAACCGTTTGCAACTGACGTTTCCCTCATTTTCATGGCGTCAATATACCCAAAATTTTACTTTCCTTTGGCTTTTCATTATTTTTTGTGCTGTTTTCAAAACTAATCCTTTTTTATTTTAGTGATGGACAAAAGGAAGTAATTTTCCGCTGAAGAAAAGGGGATGATTGAAGGAATGAATCAAGACAAAGCACGGATTCTCAACCGGATCAAGCGGGGATCAAGCTGGGGGACAGCTATCGAGAAATTGCCAGGAAAATCGGTCGTTCACACCAATTGATCAATACCCTATCTCAACGATTCAATGGTTTTTTTATCTAGATTCTTATGTAGATACATCCGTTTGGATTGTTTTGTTAGTTAAACAACAGCCAAATTTGGATAAAAAGCTTTTTCGGGTTATAAGCTCAGGCTTAGGCTTAGGCTCCAATTTGG